AGCCAGGGCTACACAGAGAAACCCTGTCTCGAAAAACCAAAAAAAAAAAAAAAAAAAAAAACGACCTCTTACCATACTAACCAGCTTCACGGGGCAGCTCATCCCATTTTCTTCCTCTTTTCTGGCTTAAGCTCTTTTCCTAAACTCTCCAGGATCAATAACAAACATGGTGGGCCAAGTGTAGTGCACACACTTATAATCTCAGTGGTCAGACAAGTAGAAGAAAGGGGATCAAAAGTTGATGGGTTGGTTTTCCTCAAAGTACACCTTCTGGGATATAATGGAAAGTCTTGGAGTGCATACCCAGACCAGCTGGCAGAAGACCGAGAATAGGACTAGCCTCTCAGTATATTCTGCTTCACCTTTGATGAGAAACCCTTGTCCTGTTTCCCTTACCTCCAGTTTGCTACCCTCCTTCTTACATGACCATCAGCTTATAACAGCTCTGCTGTCCTAGCTTTGGCAGTATGGGAGTCAGGCAGCTGAAAGGCTGTGTTGCAATTGATCCTATAACTATAATGTAGAAGCACTGCCTGTCAAATGTCAAATCTCTCTTCTCTCTCTTTTTTTCTTAACAAGAAAATTTAGGTGAAGCCTTTTGTCTTTGGAGACCTGAGTTACTAACCTTCTTCTGCCTGAATTTAGGTTACAGCATAAATATTTGGCCTTGCTTTTGAAAGCTGGGTTCCAATCCTACATAGCTACCTCCTACATATTAACTTCTTAGTGTCCTTCCTCCCTATCTAAAAGGTGGTGTAAGGAGGTATACAAGGGAAATGGAGCTTCCCACATCTTGGGGCTATAAGCATATTCAGCAAGAAAGTAGGGGTAGGGCCTGAACCTGGGTTGTATTTAGGGTAAGTAGCACTTCTACCAGTGCTGCTGTGACACTAGTGCTTGTTCCTTTAAGTGGCACTGTGGAGAGCTGCAGAGAACTTATCTCATCAGGTTCTCAGTGCGAACCTGATCTACTGCCTAAGAGTAGTAGTTGGAATTATATCATAACTATTCATTTTAAAAGTTAAGGCCAATTATCTCAGCTGATTCCATTTCCTTGCTATTGTAAAAAGAACAGGGATAAATGTAGACATGCAGGTATCTCTGTAGTAGAAGACATTCTTTGGACACCTCCCTAGAAGTGCTATAGCTGGGTCATAGGGAGTTCTGCTCTTAGTTTTCTGAGAAGCCTCCACATTCATGTCTGTAGTGGCTGTACTCACTCCTCTCGCACTGGGTTGCTCTCTCCCCATAGCCTCACCAATGTTTATTGTCATTTTCTTGATTACCATTCTCACTAGAGTAACATGGAGTCTCAGAATAGTTTGGTACACATATACAAATAGAATTTTATCAAGCAGTAAAGAAAAATGAGATTATGAAATTTCAAGAAAATATATAGAGCTGGGTGGAAAACATTACTTTTAAGTGAGGTGACTCAGGCTCAGAAAGGCAGAACCCTCAAGATTCTCTCCTTAGTACAGATCCTCAGCTCTAGCTGCTAGATATGTGTGTCCAAGTTGGAGAAATGTGGATAAAAGACAGAAAACTAGAAAGGGGGCACATAGGCTGGGGGGGGGGAAGATTTCATTAAGGGGGAAGGATGAGGAAAAAAGCAGAACAAAGTTCCCAGAGAAATACTAGGGCACGGTGGAGGCAGGGCACGGAGAGGAGGGGAGTGCATAAAAATCAACAAAAATGAAGTATGTGTGAAAACACCAGATGGAAACTAATTTTAAAAATAAGGTCCACAAGATAGCTCAAATGGGTACAGGTGCCTGCCACCAAGCCTGATGACCAGCGTTCAGTTCTCAGGATCACATGGTGGAAGGAGAGAACCAGCGCCTGAAGGTTATTCTTTGGCCTCCACACATTGTGCTGTGGCCTCGATGAGCTCACACGTGAGTGTGCACGCAAGTACACTAAATAAATAAATACAAAAATCTGAAAAAAGAAAAATAACTCATTATAATACATTTAGAAAACAGTCATTTATGTTACTCCCATTTAAAAAGACCAGTTAAAGGGAGAAAGTTAATGTGGAATGAAGGGAGGGAGATGGCCCAGTGGATAATGCACTTGCCACACAAGTGTGAGGACTTGAATTCAGATCTCCAGAGTCCACATAAAACTGGTGGTAAGTACCTGCCCAGCACTCTTAGGATGAGATTGGGGAGTCCCTAGCATCTTGAAAGCCAGCTTCCTTTGTTTATGTAATGGTGAACAATAAAGAGACACTGTTTCAAACAAGGTGTAAAGTGAGGTGAGCCCAAATGTACTGTGCCACACCTACACATAGTGGGAGGTTACTCTTGGGTTTTATTGTTGTTGTTTTGTTTTAGTTCCAGAACTTTTCACAGCTGGAATGAAAGTCATGTCAAATGATTCAGCCACTTGAGGAAATAGTCTGTTTCATTTGAAGGAGTTAAATACACAGTTCCCATTTGAGCTAGGAATTCTACATCTAGCTATTCACCTGAGAGCAGCAAAAGTATGTGACCATTCAAACTCATGCATATGAGACTCCATAGCAGTTTTATTTACAACAGTTCCAAGTGGAAATAACCCAGGTGTCCTTTGGTGGTAAAGTGAAAAAGCAAAAGGGGCTCATCATCATGCTAGGCGCAGCACGGACAAGAAGCGGTCTGTTGACCCTTCAGAGTGTGGTGAAGGAATGAGGAGCGTCCACACACAAGGGGCTTCACACCATGTGGTTCTCTTTAGATAAAGTGTTGGATGAGTGATGCAGCAAAGGGATTAGAGGGAAACAGGGGGAAATGATGGTTAAAGACCTGAGGTTAGTAGGGGTGAGTCTTGTATAATTCTGTAAATCCTGAATAGCCATTGAACTGTACTCGTAAACAGGTAAGTCGTGTGATATAAATTATGTCTCAATAAAGCTGCTATTAAATAGAAATTAGCTCTGAATGAGAAATTTTAATTTGGGAATAGCTTGTTCCCAACTCATGGGAAGTCCTGTGAGTGGATTGGGCTCTAGAGCCATAGTTATCTCTTTTGTAAGATTTTCTGATTGTTGTTTCCTGAATGTGGTAGGGTCCAGTAATGCCTCCTTCTGGTTAGCACTGGGCCAGTGGGGGCATCAAAAACACTACCTAAAAGGGAATGTTAATTTCCTTCTGTCCTGACTTAGTTTGAATTTCTGGTTTTGTTTTTTGAGATATTGTCTCTAGCCCTGGCTAGCCTGGATGGCCTCACTTTCAACAGGCCTCATTACTTTACTTCCCACATTCTGGGATTACAGATAGGCACCAACATATATGCCTGGCTGGCTTTGCCATTTTGAAACCCTTTCTAAAGGAAATAGAGCTGAGGTCAGGGAGGTAGAGAGGTTGAAGGCTGAGACCATGGCTATACTCAGCTGTAAGACAGGGTCTTTGGCTCACTGTCCTCCAGTTTCTAGTACTGACTGTTGCTGTGCAAAAGGGAAGAGTTGGGCTGTAGGGATCTGAACAGTTTGGTGACACTGAATCCTTGAACAGCCTGGTGGCCAAACCCTTGAGAAGAAAATACCGGGAACTTTGTTGATGTGTTTTATCATCTCCCCTTAACATCTTTTTGTATGATCTAGTGTCATAGTTTATAATCTGTTCACATAGGTCTGAAATCCATCATGGCCATTGTCAGTGTTTTAATTCCAAGAACTGGGATGGAGTTCCAGCAGTAGAGAAGAGGCATCTTTTGCAGTTCCTGTCATCTGGTCACTCCTGGCTGTCTGCACAGCTCCTGTCACTCAGTTTTCACAATCCCCATATTGTCAGTTTTCTGTCTCAGAGATAAGATGTGTCTGTCTATGGGGTGAAGAACACTTCCTTCTTTATAAGAGGACAGTTTACCCAAAGCAGGTTTAGGAGGCTGCTGGAGGGGCCAGTAGTTAAGATTTAGATGGACTAGAAGGGACTGGTACTGGAAAGAAGAGGCAAGGAAAATTAGGACCCTGCCCCGGGCCTCCCAGTCCAGAAAGTGAGCAGGGTTTGAATGTAGGCAAGACAGGGCATTAGACTACTATTCTGTCCACTGCTCCCTGAGAAGACCTGCTGCTTGGTTGCAGAACTGCCTATGCTACAAGGCTGTGCTGGATCCTCATGATACCCTTCCCCAGGGTGTGTGCTCTTGATTGAGCTCAGAGGCTCGCCAGAAAGGATTCAGATCCAACTTTCAGCCATGGGGAAGTAAAGGTGGGCCTTATGTGGATGAGAGCTCTGCTATCCTGGGGCTGCCCCACCCCCTCCCCCACCAAACTCTTAATCTGCACCAAGCAAGTTAGAACTCTTTGATGGGCCTGATGACCTTAACTAGAAAGGGCCTACAGAGGGCTTGCCTAACAGTCCACTCACCTGTGGCTTCTGGAGCAGGCTGTGCCAGTGTTTCCCGATGGGATCTGGCAGTGTGAAAGAACTGGCATAATAGGATACACTGCAGCCGGTCTGCCTTCCCAGAGTATCTGTGTTAAAACATTCCAGTGTCCTAAATGGTGTGTGTGTATATCCATGTTAACATGTATGTTGACTTTTGCCCTCTAAGAAGTCTCTGCAGGACTCCTTAAAGCCCGGATAGGTGTGGATGAGCCTTTGGGTCAATCTCCCAATCATCGAGCTAGTGCTCAAAGATGTGGCTTTACTCTACCTACCTCCTTATGTCTTTTTTTAAAAATTTTTTTTTTCTATTTTAAATCTATTTCCGAAGCTTTTCCTCACTAATCTGAGACTAGGAACTTGGCTGCCTGTTCTCTCCAGCAGTCCTCACTGAGCTATTCCCTCCCTGTCCTGCCCCCTCCTCCAGTGCAAGCCAGGACACTGTTCTCCATGTAGAAAGTAAAGTCCAGCTGCTGTCCTCTACACAAGTCCAGCTTGGCCTGCCCCCCATGGGTGGGTTGGTAGGAAGTGGTACTGTGAAGGCTGAGGACTGAAGGAGAGGGGTGGATACTGCTGGTGGCTGTGGGACCTGACACCACCCCTTTTGAGTGACTTGTTTTGTACTTGCAGCCCACCACCCTCCCTCAGGGCACCATCAACATGAACCAGTGCACAGATGTGGTGGATGGGGAGGCCCGCACAGGGCAGAAGTTCTCCCTCTGCATCCTGACACCTGACAAGGAACATTTTATCAGGGCAGAAACCAAGGAGATCATCAGTGGGTAAGTCGGTCAGAGCCACAGGAGGCACTGTGTGTTTGCTCACCCATTTCTGAGGACTCTAGGACTTCTAGGTCTTCCTTGGAACTCTTCACTGGTTGGTCATCCTCCCACCCCACATACACACCATTCTCACCCTGTGCCTTCATGGCACTCAGCTACACAGTGCTGCTCATGTCTTCCCTCATATAGACTTGCCCTCTTTTCCAGGCTGTATATCAGTCAGCCTGTGTGGCAGCCCCTTTGAGAAACCTCCAGGTGATCCACATGCATGTATTTTCTGTCCTCAGTGATGAACCCCATTTATCCTATAAGGCTGAAAGAGGGCAGGTGTGTCATTAAGGCTCTGGAAGAAATCAGTCTGAGGTTGAGGGGTATAGGCTGTAAGGGTAGAGGGAAGTAAGGACATGAAGCCATCTGGTTTAAGCAGGTATAAGGCCATTTGGAGCATTGTTGTCTTTTAGCATCCTCTAGTTGCATCTCTAAGTGTTGCAGCATATTTGGGAAGCCAGACAACTCTGGCCAAGAGATGCCCTCTGGTAGGTAGGTGACTGAGAATTCTCGTTTCCAGGCTTCTAGGAATAACCTGAAGGAGTATTTTATGTGTCTTCCTGAGTTGAACCCAGACCCAAGATTTAAGAGTTTGCAGGTCTTCTAATGAACCCATGTTCTATACCAAGGAATCTTGAGTCAGGAGTAAGAGCAGTCAGGTGTGAGTAACCGTCTGTACTTCTGACTGCAGCTGGTGCTGCCTGGCCTGATCTAACACACATGTTCCAAGTGGATCTTCCTAGGGAGCCTCACCTCCTAGACTTGGATCTAGGAGAGGGCCTGAATGGCAGTGGGACTGAAAAGGGAATCAGGGGTCTTTAGGACAAGCAGGGAGTATCTGGGACTGGGTCGATGATGCCATATGGCTCAGAGAGGTGATGTTTGGCATCTGACTGACTGATTCTTTGACAACTACCTTGGGTTCCTGGCTCTCCTCTGAGTCACTCTCCTTGGTTACCTCTCTGTCATCTGTTCTGTCAGCATACCATGGGGACCTGCTAGATAGACATGGTCGTTAATGACCATTAACTGACCAAGGTCCCAGAGGCATGTAACTTCAAAATCCTGTATGCAGGCTCTTACTTCTTGGGATCCACAGCTTGTATGGTAGATCATGGCTATAGTTATAGCAAGTCAACTGAAACTCTTTCTTTCCCCTCATTCTTAAAACTACTCTTCTGACCCAAGCAGCAGCTTCTTTAGCCTTGCCCACATGCTGGGATCTTTGGTACCCAGAGAAGTCAGGCATGGCACAGATGTTCCAAAAACAGGTGCTTTACCTCACTTTGTCTCCCTTAATCTCGATGCCCTCTCCAATGCTGTTATGGTTCTTCATCTGTGTACTCCAGGCACCATTGGCCTACATGCTCTGGTCACATCAAAAACCAGTTCCTAAGAAGATGCTTTCACCAAGCAGGTAGAACAGGGACATCTGCCACCTACCCAGCATCTCTTCCCTCATGGCATGAGTGGCTTCTAGGCTGCAGGGACTATATTTGACACAACTTTTCTAAAGGATTGGTTGGGGCTCATTTTTGCTGTCTGGCTCAGCCAGAGGCTAGTATTCTCTTCTCCCTCCCCTGCCATCAGCTCTGCCATATGGCTCTCAGATTCTCTCGTTCTTCACTGACAGCTCTGACTTCTGGAGTTGGAGAAAATAAGTCACCATCAACCTCATGTGTACTAACTGACCATCATCTCTTCACTGGGTTGTTGTTCTTAACATTTCTGGCACTTCTAAATATGTTGGGTTTCCATGACAAAATCATATGTAGCTGAGTGTGGTAGCACATGCCTGCAATTCCAACTTTTAGAAGACTGAGGCAAGAGGAGAGTCAGGAGTTCCAGGACAGCTCAACAGCCTAGGCTACATAGCAAGACCTTGGTTTGTTGTTTTAAATGGGGGGAGGAATGAAGAGATAGGTATGTAGACCTGTTCCATCATGCCTCAGCCCTGACAACTCTGACACTAGTCATGGCAAGCTTAGCAGTGACCAAGAGTCTTTCCTCAAACTCTTCCCAAGTCCCTAGCTAACTTAGCAACCAAGTTCCTCTTGATGACTTCACCCTGCCTAGGCTCCTCAGTGTTGACAATGGATAGAGTATAGGAAGTTTTAAGCACAACCCCTACATTCTACAACCCCTGCCATGTACCCCACATACCTGAGGTCCTGTGGGAAGATAATCTTGATTTAAGATTCTAGTGAAATTGTAGGGGTCACTCCCTTCAGGTGCAGGACCTCAAGTATCTGACAGAAATATCAGTTAACAGGCAGCAGTTCTAAGATCCAGGCTTCCTGAAGAAAGATAGAGCAGGAGGATAGGAGCTCAATGCCCTAGGAAGTTTGCCCATCTGCTGGTCTTCCAGACGTAACTCCGTCCTCTCTTTGGGGCCATGGAGAAGTGACCTATAAGCTCCCCTAAGGCTCTGAGGGAGTAAGCCTTTATTTGTGCTCTAGGCAACTTGTAAATCCCTACCCTAGGTCTGGACCCAGCATGGGTGCTGGTGTTTTGTGAAGTTTTTGAGCCCTATCTCTTGTCCTGCAGTTATTGCTTATCTAGAGGGAAGGCTGGCTGTTGTGCCCTACTTGGCCTTAGCTGAGGCCAGGATTCAAAAGCAAGCCTTCTTCTGTGTTACAGTCCCTCTGTCCTGAAATTCTGGACGTGTTCTCATTTAGCCACTGGTCTCAGAAATGAGATGAGCTCCCAGGGACTAGGAGCACCCTAGGATATAACCATATACATAGCGTGGCAGTGCCAGATCTGGGGTCTTAACCTTTGTCTCCACCAGCTCCACACTTTCTATTGCTGGCCCAGAGTGGCTTTCTAGAATGCTGGCTCTAGTGAAGGATCCTTGGCAACTGTGTAGCCTTGTTTAAACCTGGAGTGTGTGACATTTTTCTGTGTAAGTGGTGGTCTGATTTATTAGCCTCTTACTCCTGAGGTGAGCCACCATGGGAACTTTGCTGATAGAACTCCAAATTTTTCTCCTTTTAGTCAGTGTCTGCCCCAGTATCCCTAATTGGCTGCCAGTCATTGCCTAGTTGTGCAATCACCAAATCCAAATCTGGGTGGGCAGTTTTAAAGTTGAAACTAGGCTAATAATAGGACAACGATCTCCCTTCATTCCATGATGCCTTTGGTAGACCCCAGCCTCTTTGTCAGAATAGAGAAGTCACCTTGTTCTCAGCCCATAGTGACCGTGGAAGAGGGGTCATTGTCTAGTCCTGTCCTCATGCAGCCCATGCTTTTTCTGACTTGTTAAATGACAGTCTCAACAGCTACAGCACTGTGATCTGGAGCAACACCCACCCTGCTCAGTGTCTGACCACTGGGTAGGTATCTCCAGAAAGGGTACCTAAGAGCCTGAGGTCCTGAAGGCTTAGAGTCATAGGTCCTGAAAGGCAGGGATTTACCTGGTACTATTTCTCATCCTGTCTTCCCAGGTGGTTAGAGATGCTCATGGTGTATCCTCGAACCAACAAGCAGAACCAGAAGAAGAAGAGGAAGGTAGAACCACCTACCCCACAGGTAGGCTGGGCGGCGTGCCCCCTAATGGAGCTGGGCCTGGGAAAAAGTGAGGGCAAAAGGGTGGGGAAAGGTCTGGCCAGGGCTGAGGTGGTCACACTTTGCATGCCTCTTCCTCCCTCCTGCCTACACCCTAGGAGCCACAGGCCATATATCATCCTTTCTGAGCCATTGAGCAGACTAGCTTGCTAGAATGTCCTGGGCTGTCTTCAGGAGGTTCGAGCCAGCAGGCAAATACTGAGCAAATAGTAAATAGCAGCCTAGCATGTGTCCCTTCCCCTGGCCATCTGTCTACTTCTAGGAAGGGAAGAATGGTGGACTCTTCTGCCCCCACCAGAGGAGGGAAGTAACCCTGAGCAGCAGGGAAGGTGAGACCTGTGGGTCCCTGCTCTGACTCTTGTGTGACCAGAGCTAGGTACCTGGGGCAGTCCAGTCAGGTCAAGCCCTTCCTCTCTCTGTGTCCCCCTCGTCCTCATTCCCTCCCTCCTCCTAGCCAGTGTTCTGGGCTCATGGTAGGAAGTGCTCTGCCCCATTCTTGCTGTGTTCACCACATCCTTAGGCTCTGGAAGAGTGAAGTCACCATTCTGAATTTCCAGCAAGGGCCTCTTGCTTAGGTGGTTGTAGGTACTTAGTGTTCAACTCTCCCCCTCTGTACCAAATGTTGCTTTCATCAGGATTTTGACCTAGGTTGTATAAATCAAGTCAGTCCTGAGAATGAACATCTGGGCATCACACCTGGGCATCACAAAGCCAGAGTCCTGTGGAAGCAAAGAGAACCAGCCCAAGATAGAACCCTGAGTCCCTAGTCCAAGCAGACTTTGCTGTCTTCTCTGGCTTCTTGGGCTGCAGAAGTGAGACAAGCACAGGCTGCTGACCTGGGTCTCCACATCTCTAGACTACTGTGGACAGTTAATCCTACTAGCAGGATGTAGCCCAGGCCTGTATCCTGTTGACCAGCGTCCATCCTGCATCTCATCCTTACCCAAGAAGCCCCAGAGGGTACCCAAGCCAGGCTTCCCTCGAGAGCAATGCCCCTAACTGAAGTAATTTAAAACATGCAATCAAAGAAATTAAAATATGTAGTCAGTTTTCAGGAAACTGAAAGTAGAGCCTTCCGCTTGGGAGCAGCAGTTAATGCTCAAATCTCCCAAGCTGCCTGGTTTGAGGGAAAAGTCCTGGCTGAGTAACAGTGGTTAGGGTTACGCCTTGTTTCCATGGTGATGCCTTGGAAGCACTGCAGCATAGAGCTTCTGCCTCCAAATATGGTAACTCCCTATGTACCAGAGACTGCCTGGGTCAGGCTAGAAATTTGGATGTATCCCCTCCCCCACAACTTTGTCCCTTCCAAATAAAGCTGCCCTGTGGCCAGGATCCAACTCTCTGGCCAGTAGAAAGAGCCCTATGATCTCAGAACAGCGAAGTCACCCCTTCCCTGAGGGTATGCCTCAGAACTAGTGCACAGAGTTCTTAGCCTCCTCTACCAATGTTATGGCATGCCTCTCCCTTTCCCCACAACTAACCTCTGGTGAGTCTCAGGAAAGAGACAAGGATTACATTTGGATTGAAGTCTCTGGGTACACCCATACACACTTAAACAGCCTGCTATCAGAGCCATTTATGTAGCAGGTGAGCCTGAAGCTCAGTTTCCATCTCTTTCCCATATCCCTGCACAAAGCCTAGAAGAGTTTCAGGTTAGACCACTCAGGACTAGAAGCTTGGTTTCTGTGGGATCAAAGCTAAGTTCTTCAGCTCGACCCTAAAGAAGCTCAGAGGTGATGTTCACCAGACATACATGTCATTGAAAAGAAGGCCAAGAGTAGAGGGAGACAAGAGCCCCCAAGGCACAGTGAGAGCAAGAGTATCCTAGCTCTCCAAGAGTCTGTTGCTCATATGGAACTTGGGAGGGTGGCTTTTTTTTCCTCTGCCAGTCCCACAGCCTCGGACCACCAGGCAGAGACCTGGGTGGTGCTCCTTGCTCTGTATCTGGATATGTTGAGTTTTTGCTGTTCATTTCTAGGATTCATGGTTTTATAAGGTCTCTGCTGTCCTCTACTTCAAGGCTTTCTCCTCATTGTGGCCCCTGCTCCATTTTCATGCCAGAGAAGTAGAGAATGGCTCCCCTGAAGAGAAGGAGCTTACTCCCTTTTTCCTTGGCTCTGGAAGCCCTTCTGAGTGCCTATGATAGCAGCCAGGGTTCATCACAGTCTTACATGAACATGACAGCTGGCTGTTCGGGAATAGGGTGCAATGACCCAGGCTGGCACTGTGCAGTCTGAGCCTCTATACCTCTTTGTGGCCACATCCACCAAACTAGAGTTCTCATCTACCTGCTCAGAAGAAAAAGAATCTAACCCAAGAATGGGGATTTGTCTACCTATCCTCCAGAAGACAGAATACTGTTTATACAGGAGAAGGAACAAGCTCCTTTGGAGTCAGAGGTGTAGGTCAGGCCCAGTTATTTGGCTTGAGACTACACGGAAGTGGGATGTGGATATTTATATATCATCCCCTCTTTCTTTGTGGCAAGATAGTAATCAGCTGAAACCACCCTCTTGGCAACCCCCTCTGTAGAATGATTGGGTACAGAACACGAGTGGTTACTACAGGACAGCTGGGATTGCCATCCTGTCTTTATCTGGGTTCAACATCTAAAGAGTCCAATTCTTTGTTTACTTAGAAACTGGATTTGTGTGTCTGCTGAGTTCTGTTCAGGGCTGTACCACTTCTGTGCCCTGGGAAAACTGGGAAATGACTTGGGCTACCAATAAAGAACAGCTTGTGCTCGAGAACAAGGTGTGCATGTGACAGGTGTGGGTGTGCTGGTTTTAGTGGGATGTTGTGTGTCTCATATCAGTCCTGCTGCTATTCACAAAGTGTCAGAGTGAGGTGCTTAAACAATAGACACTGGGGTTTTCTCAGAATTCTGGAAACTGGGAAGTTCAAGGTTAAGATGCTAGCAGATGTGGGCCCACTTCCTGGTCCTCTCTCACATGATGGAAAGGTCAAAGTAGATCTCTTGGCCTCTTTTATAGGTTACCAGTTCAATTTGTGAGGGCTCCACTTTCAAGACCTAACAAAATCCTAAAGGCCCCACCTCCACAAATCATTGTCAAGGGGATAGGATTTCTAATGTGAATGACCAACAACAGTCAGGCCTTAGTGTCTATTCAGTAGCTCTTTCACATCATCCCTGGTGTTCCACTTAAGCTAAGAGTGGGTAAGACCACAAGGTGCTGTAGAATTCACTTTCTGCATTTTCCCCAATGATCTTGATAGCAGTGGGCCTGACCCAGAGGAGTGAGCTCCTCTTTTGCCTTGTCCTATCTCCCTTTGTTTATGTCTCAAGTATCTGTGCGTATAGGAATGGCAGACTCCTATGAGCTCACCCCTAATAATTGGGCTGCTATTCTAGGTATTGTCTGGCAGCATACAGAGAGAACTTTAGATACTTGGTGACATGACTCTGGTAGAAACCCAGAATCTTTCCTCTGCGAGGCCTCTTAGACAAGGCACTATAGGTCCACAATCAGGAAAAAAATGGCTTCTCATCCCCCCAACACTGTTTTGCTGTCCTTGTATTCCTTGTAATTTAGCAGCCAGGACCTGTATGCTAGCTTAGGCTATGTGCTTATATGCTACCACCCTTACTGCTATCTCTCCAGGAACCTGGGCCTGCTAAAATGGCCGTTACTAGCAGTAGTGGCGGCAGCGGTGGTAGCAGCAGCAGCAGCATTCCAAGTGCCGAGAAAGTCCCCACCACCAAATCCACGCTCTGGCAGGAAGAAATGCGAGCCAAAGACCAACCTGATGGGACCAGCCTGAGTCCAGCTCAGAGTCCCAGCCAAAGCCAGCCTCCTGCTGCTTGCACGCCACGGGAAACAGGGCTAGAAAGCAAAGAAGGTGAGCAGCAGCTGATGAGCCTGTGGGCCTGCTTGTTGTGGTGATCTGACTTAGACTGCTGGAGTGGGCCTCCATCCAGGAGATAGGAAGTGACAGTGGGCATGTGATACAGGACCCCAGCTAGAGTCCTGTCATGGGTCCTGAACTTTTCCTCCCTCTGTGTATCATTTATCATCAGTTCTGGGCAGCACTGGCCTGGCATGACTGGGTTTCTGGCCTGTGAGATTGAGTTTGGCTTCTCTACCTAACCTGTAAAGGAGAAAGGTGTAAGCTACTCCATTGGCCTTAGGAAATCTATAAACACTATTCTTTCTGCCTCTCTGGACTTCTGTTCCTGTACCACAGGTTCCTACCTCATTAGCTCTTAGAACCTGCTGGGTTGGGTGCCTCCTGTCTTTAGAGGGATAGCAGTTAGGACAGCAGTGCCCCTCTCCTCATTGTTACCATCTTGCTCAGCTTCTGGAGGAGAAGAAAGGCCAGGGAGGACACCATTGACATCACTGTGCCCTCACCACTTGGTGTGTGGTACTGCCCTAGCAAAGTTAGTTTCCTTCTTTGCCTGCCTCAATTGGAGCTCTTTAGCATACACATCTATCCACATTTAAAGTCCATGTGCTTCATGTCATGCCTACAAAAGGCCTCCTCCCTGCCTCAGAAATGGACTAAGAGCCTGAAAGATGTCTTTTTGATTGGTTTCCTCCTGTGGTCTGGTAAGAAAACATTGGTTAATATGTAGTCCCGCTTCCCCACCAGAACTGTATGAAGTGGACTGCCTGCAGGTCTGACTGCAAAGTGACCAGACTGGAGGAAAGGGTAGGGAGTAAAGGCAATGGAGATAGGTGGTCCATTTCTGCCCAGTTTTCTCCTTTTACCTCTAGCCCGTTTGTAGTTGTGGAGTATGAATATGGAGGGTGTTGAGGAAGCTCCTGGTTGATCATGTGGGCTTTTGGAAAGTTCTCATGACAGAACTGACAGCAGTCTGAGCAAGCCTCCTCTTGTCTTCTAGATGAAAGCACCATAAGTGGGGACCGTGTGGATGGTGGTCGGAAAGTACGGGTAGAGAGCGGCTACTTCTCCCTGGAGAAGGCCAAACAGGACCTGAGGGCTGAGGAGCAGCTGCCCCCACTACTCTCCCCACCCAGCCCCAGCACCCCACACAGCAGGTATGGTTGTCCTGGATCGCCTTCACAGGAACTCAGCCACTCCCTTCACTCCCCAGGTCTTCCAGCCCCAAGCCGCATGGTCTACAGCATCTGCCCTGACAGCCTGGGTGAGGCCAGCAGGCCACCCAACCACATGGACTCCAGCAGTGCTGGGGGGTGGGGAACAGAGATACTGGGGAGCACCTTTGCCTTTAAAGCCAGCAGGCAGTATGCCGCCCTGGCCGACATCCCTAAGGCCATCCGGATCAGCCATCGAGAAGCCTTCCAGGTGGAGAGAAGGCGGTTGGAGCATAGGACTCGGGCCCGGAGCCCTGGCAGGGAAGAGGTGGCCCGTCTGTTTGGCAACGAACGGAGGTAAGGAGGGCACTAGAGGACTAAAATCATGTATGTACTCACATAAGCATACTTCAGGAACATGATTTCTGTTCAGTGTATGGAGCACTTCCTCTATGGGTCCCAGATGGTGGTACTAGTTCTCAGTTCCTGGCAACCAGATATAGGACTAAGTGTCTACAGGCTGGCAGCTGTAGGATGTGCTTCCCAGATTAGGCCTAATATGGCTGAGTCTTAAGCTTCTTGGCCTTCTCTCTTCTGAGAGAGAACTTCTGTTCTCTGAGAAGACTCAGAGCTGCAGATAGGGACCAGGCCCTCCTCATGCTGCCAGTTCTGCAGTTCTCAGAGGGCATTGAAGAGGTTCTAAGATACAGGAAAGTGAAGGGGCAGCATAGGTCCTTCCCACCAAGATGCAATAGGCAGCAAGAAAAGCTGCTGGGCGTCTCAGGTACAACTTTTACAAACCTCTGGGCGTTGCTGAAACGGCTTCCCGCCAGTGGCAGAGACGCAGTACTTACTGCTGAAAAGACAAGGCTCCGGCCTGCTCTTCCTCTGCCCTGTCCCCAGGCTTGAGGACCAGGGAACGGTCTACCCATGAGCCCCCTGTCCCCAGGCTTGAGGACCAGGGAATGGTCTACCCATGAGCCCCCTGTTCCCAGGCTTGAGGACCAGGGAACGGTCTACCCATGAGTCCCCTGTTCCCAGGCTTGAGGACTAGGGAACGGTCTACCCATGAGCCCCTGTCCCCAGGCTTGAGGACTAGGGAACGGTCTACCCATGAGCCCCCGTCCCCAGGCTTGAGGACCAGGGAACGGTCTACCCATGAGCCCCCTGTCCCCAGGCTTGAGGACCAGGGAACGGTCTACCCATGAGTCCCCTGTTCCCAGGCTTGAGGACTAGGGAACGGTCTACCCATGAGCCCCTGTCCCCAGGCTTGAGGACTAGGGAACGGTCTACCCATGAGCCCCCGTCCCCAGGCTTGAGGACCAGGGAACGGTCTACCCATGAGCCCCCTGTCCCCAGGCTTGAGGACCAGGGAACGGTCTACCCATGAGCCCCTGTCCCCAGGCTTGAGGACTAGGGAACGGTCTACCCATGAGCCCCCGTCCCCAGGCTTGAGGACCAGGGAACGGTCTACCCATGAGCCCCCTGTCCCCAGGCTTGAGGACCAGGGAACGGTCTACCCATGAGTCCCCTGTTCCCAGGCTTGAGGACTAGGGAACGGTCTACCCATGAGCCCCCTGTCCCCAGGCTTGAGGACTAGGGAACGGTCTACCCATGAGCCCCTCAGGTTCTCTGTCTTTGTGTCCAGGCCATGTTTCTTGCTGAACAGGTTTCTAAAGACCCATGGCGCCCCCCAGGAGAGTTTAAAAGCACATCCTTCTGCTTTGCTGTGCGGGATGGGGGGTAGGCCACAGCTTTCATTAGGTTTACAAAGAAGGCCTCTGTTCAAAATGGCAACTCCAGAAATATCCTGAGTGTCTTCTTCCTTGCCCTGGGTTCAGGCCGAAAGTTCAGTCAGGTGTTGAAGGCAGGATGAAATTGGGGAGGACTTTCTCTGGTCTCCTTTTCTCAACTCACAATTAGTTGACACCCAACCCAGCTTCTTTCAAATGGCCTATGGACCCTCAGGTAGACAGTGGATACCGAGTGTTACTCAGTTCCCTGGCTTTCCATATAGTTGTCAATCTTCACAGTCTAACAGTTGGCTCAATAAGGCACCTTGATTCAAGGATGTGAAAACTTGGATGATCCCCACCCCTCATGGTTAATAACAGCTAGTGGGTAGGCCTTCAGCAAGAAGTCTCTGATCCTATGATAGGAACCAGCGCCAGAGCTCCTGGTGTCCTTTTGAAGCATTTGGGCTAACAGAAATAAAAGGTCTTGTTAACCATTAAAGAGGCTTTCAGGGTGGGCAGGGGCAGGTTTGCACTGGCTACTGAGCAGGCTAATTCTGATGGTTCCAAAATGGGGTCAGTTATGCCTTAAGTTTAGTGCCAGGCCAGAGTTTAACATTTTCCCCGCATGCTTGGCTAAGCTCCTTGTCAGAGATTTTAATTTTGAATGCATTCTTGTCTACCTGCCTGAGATAGATGCAGTCTCTAGGCTTTATTCTTGCATGTTCTTCGCCACTATAGGGATGAGTTTCAGCTGGTGTTGGTGCCTGGACTACCTCTGCACATTAACCCTGTAGCTATCTCTTTCTGAATGATCTCGCTGGTCAGTGTTGCTCTTTGAGGACTGCTATCTGAGGCCCAACAGTCTACCTGGTACTGGACTGGATCCTGGTCCCTGATAGGTTAGAGTGACAAGATGTCAGTTACTTTGCATTGAGTTACTGTAGCCTAGACAGACCTGCCACACAGCCAAGAAGTTGAAACCACAGGGTTACTTTTGGAAAACTTTGGTAAGCCAGTAAGCAACCCCACCTGAGTACCAGCAGCCCTGAGCTTGGAATTTGCTCTTGAGACTTCCAAGCCTTTGAAGGAGTTCTTACAGGAGGTTCTTAGACCTGTGTTGGCTAAGTGTGGAGAAGCTACCATCCTTATAACACTTTTAGTGACTAACAGAAAGCCAATGGAACCCTGACCTCTTCACCTTCCTTTGTGAGAGCTACACTTGTCAGTGTAGCCTGAGTAAAGCCCTTCTTGTCAACCTCTGTTGCTTCAGAAACACCACAGAGCACCAGCTGTATACAGAGGTTGCCCAAGCTCCTGGTCTTACCATGTCTTGGCAGCCTCTGTCAAGCAGCTATAGCAAGTGCCTCCTATTTCTCATGTTAACTACTCTGCCTGGAGCCCTACAGACCTATATACCATGCATGCCAGTCCGGTCTGGGACAGCCCTCCCACTATCCTGGGGCCTTGAAGTCCTCTAGCCAGCCAGGTACAGTGCTCTCAGCCCAAGAAGAGACTGTAGCCCTGGGCGGTGGGTGTCCAGATCTTCCTGCAGCAGTGTAGCTGTGCTGCAGGCCGCCTTGGCTGCTCTTAGGTTTTCCTCTTCTTGGCAGCCAGCAGCTGCTTAGCTCACTGCTCTCACAGCCAGTCTCCTCACCGCAGCCTCTCTGGGCACAGCAAGCTAACCCGGCCCCGGTCTTCTAACAGTACTGCGTGTGGAGGCAGAGCACACACAAGTCCTCCTGAGCCCTGGCTGCCCTTGCCCTTACCTCCCTGAGGAAAGGAACTCTTAAGGGAGATTTGTAGTGACCCCTGAAAAGAGAACTTCCTGGGTTCTAGGCTATGTTCTTCCTCTTGCTTAGAGATTTTACTTTTCTGAGAGGGACCTTTATCACTTCCTCTCAGCTCCACACCACTGGTTCAAAATGCATGCCACGCCCACCCTCATTGTGAGGGAGTAGGATATCCCTAGGAGAGCAGGTCTCAGGTTTGGTGAGAAGAGACCATCCTCCCAGCAGGTTTAAGTCAGCTCTAGGACCCCAGGTAGGCAGCCTAATCCTTCTGCCTAATCCCACTAGGTGACTCCTTAGGCTATGGGGTAATTATGGGTTTCCTCTCTTCAGCCATTACCTTGGGGTTTGCTGCTTTAAATCTGAGATAACTTTGATTTATCATTATTTGATTTTTAAAAGCGGTCTTTTTCTGTTCATTCATTTCCCAGCCTTATTTTCTTTCAGGTCTTGCCCTCTCCACCCTCTGCTGTGTTCGCGCCTCCTCCACCCGCTTCGCTTCCATCTCAGCTCCGTCGTCCCAGCCACAGACCGCCTGACAAGGCCGCTGGCCTTTCACATGAAATCAACTGCTTTGTTTTATTTTGATTTTGATTCCTTTTAATGTTAGCAGAAACTGTTAATTCATGGGCTTTTATCTTGCTAAATTTTGAACACCCTACTGTGGGGTGCATTGTAATTAGAGGGTGCAATGTGGAGGTGGTGGTTGTCCTTTATTGTGTCTGGCTCAGGGAGGTTACCAAGGTATACAAGGTGTGTGAGTCCAGTGTTGGGGCAGGGCCAGTACAGGCCTAGTGTGGAAAGGTCCTATGGCTGTTCCAGCCCAGCATGAATGGGGGAAAATGGAGCTCAAGTAGACTGACTCTGTGCCCTAAGTCCTCTCAGTACTGTGTAAACAGTGCCTCACATGCTTAACAGGAAGACTTAACACTGGAGCCCAGTGAGGTAGGCCAGGTGTGCAAGTTGACTACAGGAGCAAGTTGACTACTGGACTCGAGACAAAGTCCACCTTGGGAACAGGGAGACTCTGGTTCAGCAGCTTCATGTCCTCTTTTGTAGGAGGTCCCAGGTAATTGAGAAATTTGAGGCCTTGGACATTGAAAAAGCAGAGCACATGGAAACCAACATGCTGATTCTGACCACTCCATCAAGTGACACTCGTCAGGGCCGCAGTGAGAGACGGGCCATCCCTAGAAAGCGGGTGAGCTCCAGTGTGGGGCTAAGTGGGCCCTTTGGCAGCCTGGCTTGGGTCTGGGGAACACACTACCCTGTATGTTCTGAGTCTCATACATACTAGGGACATGTTTCTTCTGGGCCTCCACTCTGGTCTCTTCCATTAGCCTCTTGAGCACCACCTGTCTTCCATATCTCCCTCCTACAGCGTTAGCCTTCTGTGCCACAAGATGCTTCAATGAGTTTTAGATCTCAGTTGTAACTAGCACAATTTCTTCCTACTGAGGCCACCCAGAAACAAAGCTGACTATGATACCTTTTTTTCCTTCTTTTGTTTTTTGGAGTGGCAAGCTGTACCCTCATTTCTCTGCTTAGCCCACAAGGTCCATCAGACCTCAGCAGTCCTCCTCCTCCTAGATTCCTCTATCCTTTTGCCCACCTGCCTCTTCTGTGGCATGCTGTACCCAAGCTCTTCTTCCCAGTTTCTTTGTTGCTCACAAGATGCCTGCTATCTTTCTTCTGTAACCTGAGAAGCTGCAAAATTGAGTGGGGCCAGTACAGTGATAACCAGGCATCCAAAGAAAAGGCAGCTCCACTGACCAAAACATGCCAGGACATGGGTCATCCCAGAACCTGCTGTGGGACCTAGACAGCACTGCCCCCACTCAAGGAGGGATGAACTACCCAACTTGTTGCCCCCATGCCTGCCCAAGCTGCCTGAGCTGTACTGATGGGTGGCTGCTCTTTGCCACAGGACTTTGCCAGCGAAGCCCCCACAGCTCCTCTCTCAGATGCTTGTCCCCTGTCTCCACACCGAAGAGCCAAGTCATTGGACAGGAGGTCCACAGAATCCTCCATGACGGTGAGCCCAGGCCACGTGCCAAGTTCTCTGGAGATCTGTGCCACTATCGCTGCTGCTTCTGGCCACTCTGGGCCACTGTCCATTTATGTCTATATGTCCATACCAGCCCTCCCTCTGTACCACCCTCATGCCTGTGAGTGCCCCACCCACTGGTCAATGACCCATTGGAAACTGACCATTCTTCCCCATGTGGTGCCCTGAGTAGCAGCACATGGAGGTCTCTGTGCACAGGAGGCTGCACAGGGCCACTGCAGATGTAAAGCCCCAACTTAACCTCTGCTGTCTTGCTTTTGGTGTTTATTTTTGTGGCACTTTGGAACAGGATCATGTTGTATTGACAGTTTGTTCCACTTGAGGGTGTGTACAGGAATGAAGCTGCAGTCAAAGTTCGGTTCCTCAACACAGCCTACAGCCTTCCAGGAGTTGGCACACTCACCAACTGTCATCCCCCATCCAGAGCAGTTTCTCTATCAGCTCAGCTGGTAGCCACTATTCCTGACAACCACAGAGACCTAGAGAGAAAAGACCCACAGGGACCCACTTCCACCATTCCTTGAGGCAGGCCCAACAATGATTACCACAGCAGAAAGTTTAAGACTCTTTCATAGATCAGCAGCTCAGCAGGGGAGCCAGAAAGGCAGTGAGTGGGCCTTCATCCCAAGTCTGATGAAGCAACAACTGTGCACCATCAAAAAGGGATTTCCCTTTGTACAGGTCCCAGGGATGGAGCATCCTAAAGTTTGTCTCCATTTCTGTTGGTTCTTCAAACAATTCTTGCAGAAGGAAGTCTTGTGAAGCATGGGTTACAGAAAGGCTCCACAAAGGGAAGCCTCATCTTACTGTGTTCAGTTGTGGCATGGCAAGAGCCTGTTGTGGCCTCTCCACAATGAAGCAGGAACTTCCAGGATGCCTGTCCTGGTTGGTGTCACTTCTCTGGATAACTCCCTGTCCTTGGAGTAGTAAGAGACATCAAAACCAGTTTCTAATCAGGACAGCTGTGGAAGAGACCTGAGAGCACTGGGGGCCACAGAAGGGGTGGCTGGGGTCTTCGAAGCCTGTCTTTCTGGGTATACTTGGAGCAGATGAGAACTTTGACCCAAGTGGAATGCAGGCTGTCCTCAGTAGAGCCAGCACCCACTCAGGTCTGCTGATGGTCCTTGACCTACCTTCCTGTGTAGGGAATAAGACTGAACTTCTCCCTAGTATAAGAGTAACCTTTAAGTTGGACAAGGTTTCTGCTACTGCTTTGTCCACCCCAGACATGGTTTGCCTCTTAGGCTTCTGGCCTTCAATCCTTCTGTAGTTTCAGCAGGAGCCTTTGGATTCACCTTTCACCTGTTACTGCAGGTGTCCCCTTGGACTTAAAGTACCTGGGGACTCTTCATCTGGACAAATGCTATGACCCAGGGCAGAATGAGCACAAGCCCTGAATAAGCCAGAATGGAGATCTCAGGGCAGACAGGCAGCCTGTGCTCCTAAGCCCAGGTTTGTCCCTCAACTACTTCCTCAGGAACATATGCCTCTGGGCAGCAAAGCTGGGACAAGTGAGTGGGCTGGCTTATCTGGTAGGTGGTAGAAACTGTTTATAGTGCTGCTTCATCTACATGAAAACAACCCTGTTGAGCACAGTTGTCCATCACTGGGGAACCCAGATGGTTTTCATTGAGCTATTCTTTTTTCTTTCTCAGCCTGACCTGCTGAATTTCAAGAAAGGCTGGCTAACCAAGCAGTATGAGGATGGCCAGGTGAGTGTGTGTAAGTGCTGAGGCCTGGAAGACTAGGGAGCAGATACAAGTCCCAGCTTGTCTTGTCTCCAGTGGTATTTATGATCCCTGATTCATGCCCTTGGCCTGCAGACATCCTACAACATCCTATAGTTCCAGCTCCTGCCTATGATTGCTCCTAAAAATTCTCTTTTTAAAGAGTCTATGCTTCCTCAGAGCAGAACACCCAGCCTATAGCTGTGGGGTTGGCTTGTGTTTCCATACAAAGCAGCTATATATGGGCAGACACACAAGGCTGCAAAACCCTGTTGTTGGACCATCTCAGCTTTAAGGACACCATTAGGTCCTGAGAATTGTGAATATTACCAAGTCCAAACAGGAAGAAATTGCAAGCCTCATCTTGACCAGAAGCATGTTAGGCCCTTGCCTTAGAAGCCCATAAAAACCCAATCTACTATCCTAGCTCCTTTTGTCTTGGGAGACTGTGCCAAAGCGTCCCCTCTTTCTCCTTCTTCTGCCATATTTAATGCCCTTGGCTTTACCTGAAGACTCAAGTTCCCTTCCTCAGAATGAAGACTGGAATTTTGGCAGGTTAGTTTGTGCCTCCTAGCACAGTGGAGCTCACACTGGTGTACCAGCCAAGTGGCTGGGCCTCTCAGCACCCTTTCACAGCCACCTTTCTGTGTGATGGACAGAAGAGCTATCTGAGGTCTCTGAAGTTAGGATGGAGGCCTGCGAAGCACCAGTCACCACCCACACACTGGGGCACAGAGCTGGCCAAGGCCCACTACTCTCCATGGCCTCATTGCTGGAGTGCATCTAAACAGGGCCTCCCTGAGGCCATGAGTGCATGGCTGCCCACCAGAACAGTCGTCTGTTGCCTGCTTTATCTGTGCTCTCCAGGGTGCCTAGACTCAGCTGGGGTCAGGGAGGGGCGTCAGGTATGTTTGCAGGGTAGTTGGATGTTTATCTTTCTCTCCCTTAGTGGAAGAAACACTGGTTTGTCCTGGCAGATCAGAGCCTGAGATACTACAGGGATTCCGTGGCTGAGGAGGTGAGAACACTACAAGGCATAAGTGACATCTAAAAGTCCAGGGCTGAAGTCTGTGAAAAGGTAGCCTACTGCCTTGGGTGTCATAGTCTTCAGTCTACTGGGACAGTACATACAGATGGACTAGCTTTGATGGCAGAACTGTTGCACTCCTCAGACATTATGGTCATCCTCTGAGGACTTGAGTTAGGTATCTTGATGCAGTGGGTTTTGACTACTTTATTTCCTATATTCTTATAAGAACAATGAAGTGGGCCTGGAAAAATGGCTCAGCAGTTAAGAGAATTTGCTTTTGTAGAGGATCTGGGTTTCTACACCTGCATATTGACTCACTACTATCTGTAACTCGAATTCCAAGGGATCTGATAACCTCTTCGTACTCTTTCTCTCCAAGTACACATGTGATGCACAGGCATGCACACATGCAAAACACTCATACAAATAAGTCTAAAAAATAAAAGAACAATGAAGTTAATACTCTACGTGAACTCAGGTCTAGTTTTGTCTTTGGTCTTCAACAAAAAGATGGTGGTAAATTGAGTCACTAGACAGGTTATGTCTTGCTATGCCTTCTGGTAGAGGAACTTACTTTTAAAAGATCATTTTTTGTGTGTGTGTATTGGCATGGGGGGAAACGCTTTGGCCATGGGACACTAGTGGATGTCAGAGGACAACTTACGGGGAAGCCCATTGTCTCCTACCATGGTGGTCCTGGCACTTTACCAGATGAGCTGTTTCCTCACCACTCCTAGACCAACCAGAAGGGCTCTTTCCTTCACCTACCAAAAAGTCTTTTGAACAACCTGACAAATCTATGTCCTGCTTTTCCGCTGATAACTCCATATGGGGTCCTTCAGAATCACCCATCCATCTTCAAGAATCTCACATTTGCCATTCCATGCTCTTATAATTGGAAGAGAAAAAAAAAGAAAAGAATCTCTTGGTTGGTTTAATGTATATAAATTCTTGAGATTAGCCTCCAAGGCCTAAAGAGGAGGCTGTTGATGAGATAGGCAGGGGTGGACCTAGTACTCAAAACTTTGTTTTTGTGTGTGCCACAACATGGTATAGAGGTCAACTTGTAGGAGTTCTCTCCTTCTACCAAGTAGGTTCCAGGAGTTGAACTCAAACTATCAGGCTTAGTCACAAGAACCTTTACCTGCTGAAAATATAAATATTCAGGGAAAGTCAAAACTGCTAGCAGAACTGTGTTGATATAACACGGCACAAAAGCAGAGGTAGATAAAACTGCCAATGCCTTGACAACAGGCCAGAATCAGATTGTACCAGCAGTCAGTGGGCTTGTAGTGCTCTACAGTTATGATGTTTAAAACAATAAAATGGGTTCCTGGTATTTTTAAGTTGCAGTCTTTGAATGCCATTCTCTTTAGTGTTCTTTTTTTACTTTTATTATTACTGTGTTTGTGTGTGTGCATGTGTGCATGATCTTCTATTGTGTGGTTACATACATGCCACAGCTCTCTTGTGGACATCTGAGACTACCTGAAGTCGATTCTTTTCTACTACCTTTAAATGTGTTCTGGGGATAGAACTCAGTCATCAGATTTGTGGGGAGCACCTTTATTGAGCATCCCCTTTTTAATAGTCTGTAAGTGGGAAATGTCCATCAGTCATTCAGCTGCATGGCAAAGCCTTACCAGGGAAATTACCAACTGAACTAGCCACTTCTCTGTGGAATATTATTTGTAGAAACAGCTGACAGTTAAGCTCTGGTCACTCAATTTTGAGAGTTTGGTGGCCATTTTTATGAAAATAAACCAGGAATCTATTCCTTCAAGGACAATTGTTGCCAGTAATGAGTAGAGTTTGAATAGAGTTTGAGTTTTCAAAACAACAACAACAAAACAAAACCAAAAAAAAAAAAACCAATTTGGGCTGAAGAGTTGGGTCAGCAGTCAAGAGAACTTGCTGCTCTTACAGAGGACCACGTGAGGGTTCACAACTGCCTTTACCTACAGTTCCTGGGGATCCAATGCCACCTCCTGGTAGGCGCTACTCACCCATAGTACACATATAGGCATACAGATTGTGTCTACACAATTCGATATTGCCTGGGACCACTTGTAAAGTTACAGAACATACCTGGCAAAAGAGATGTTTTTTTGTTTTTTTGAGACAGGGTTTCTCTGTGTAGTCCTGGCTGTCCTGGGACTCTGTAGACCAGGCTGGCCTCGAACTCAGAAATCCACGTGCCTCTGCCTCCCAGGTGCTGGGATTAAAGGTGTGCGCCACCACCGCCCGGCAAAAGAAATGTTAAAGTGATAGAACAACTATCATTTCATTGTTAACAGTACAGAAAATTCACTTGATAGGACTGCAGATTCCACACTGCAGTTAAGATTTAAAACATGACTACTCATCAAGGCAGACCAGCCAGCCAGTTCCTAGAAAATTCTTCCTTTCCCATCTCTGTGTTAGACCACTTTCTCTTCATATATGTTAGCCAAAATGGTCCATGAAAAACTGATGGTAGGCTGGGGAGTGGTGGTGCATGCCTTTAATCCCAGCACTTGGGAGGTAGAGGCAGGTGGATTTCTGAGTTCGAGGCCAGCCTGGTCTATAGAGTGAGTTCCAGGACAGCCAGGGCTACACTGAGAAACCCTATCTCGGAAAAACAAAACAAACAAAACACTGACGGCAGAAGTAGAAGAGTCCAGCATCCTCTCCCGAGTCAGGCCTGGAGACTGCAGGATGTCAGTACTGCCGCTCACTGTAGACAGACAGTGAGTGTGCAGGATGTCAGCACTGCCACTCACTGTAGACAGGACAGTGAGTGTGGGGTCAAGTCAGGCCTGGAGACTGCAGGATGTCAGCACTGCCGCTCACTGTAAACAGTGAGTGTGGATCATATTTTAATTTTTTAATTCTATTTTAATTTCAACATGAATTGGGTTTGGTATGTGATTCAAACTAGCTTTAAACTTACAGTGCTCCTCTCCAACCTCCCAGGTGCTCAAATTGAAGATGTGAACTACCACACCCAGGTTTTATTAAAGTTTTCCTTAAGTGAATAAATAATGTTTAAATTTTCTGTTTTTAATACAGAAAATATCATCAGTAGGTAAACTTCACATAGACAAAATTCTTAAGAGTGTGTCCTAGTTTTTTGTTGTTGTTGTTGTTGTTATAAACACAATGGCTTATAGCAATTTGAAGAAAGGGTTTATTTCATCTTACAGTCTATAGTGCGTTACAAAGGGAAGTCAGGTCAGGAACTGAAGCAGAGACTGTGGAAGAACACTGATTACTGGCTTGCTCTCTATGGCTCACTCAGTTTGTTTTTCTTATACCACCCAGGACCACCTGCCCCAGGGTCAGAATGCCCATGGTGGACTAGGCCCTTCCACATCTATCAAGAAAATGCCTATAGGCAATCTGATGAGGCAATCCTCGATTAAGGTGTTTTTTTTTTTCCAGATGACCCTAGTTTATGTCAAGTTGAAACAAATCTAGCCAGCATAGAGGGTCTTCTTACTTTTTAGGCATTTAAAAAGATTTTAATAAAACATTTGGGGATCACTGGTATAGGATTTCTTTGGCTAGATACACAGAGAAATGGTAGCATAGACACCCCAAGGGACCACACTTGTAGGACAGTTGGTTATAGTCTAGTTCTGGGAAGACATTTATCACAGAAACATGTTCACTTGAGTATCCTCTCTTCCTCAATCTCCTCATGCCCTCTCATTTTTCTCTGCAGGCAGCTGACCTAGATGGAGAAATTGACTTGTCCACTTGCTATGATGTCACTGAGTATCCAGTCCAGAGAAACTATGGCTTTCAGATACATGTGAGTCTGGGGATGGATGAAGTTGCCAGCAGGGTTATATCGTAACATATGTGGTCATCGTTCCATCTTTCCTGTTAGTGGTGATCTCTCCATCCTGTGACTACTGACCTGTACTTCTGATACATGATACGGACAAAAAAATGGGTTTCTGCATCTTTTTTCCCCAAGGCTTTTGAAAGGCTTTGTTGCAGAAATTGCTCTTTTTCTTTTATTTTTATATTGGAATGTAGAACCATTGAAAGGATGAAGAGTGTGGGGAATAAAAGATTAAGGGCTGCTGGAATCAGGTTAAGGGATTTCTAGTACATTTGTCGTCTTCAGTGAGTCTTCATAATGGTTATAGTCAACTGGTTACTCTCCTTTTATTTGGTATCCATCTCTAAGCCCAGGTTCATGATTGTTGTTTTTCCTCTCTGATGTGGGAATTTGTCCTTTATATCATCTTGTCACTACCAGATGGGGGTCCTAGGCACAGCACAGTAGCTCTCTAGTCACCCAGAATTCTGGACATGTACTGTGCACCTGTGTGGAAGCTGTAGTAGGCTGGGCCACTACTTTCCCTGTTTCCAGCCAGTTTTGTGTCCTTGTCCCTAGGGCTAGCCGAGCTTTTTGAGGAGAGGAACATATATGACTGTCTATTATGTGTCAGCAACTAGCAAGTGTATACTGCCTTGTTTAGGGGACACCCAGTTTACCTCTTCCCAAGGTATGGCCCTATTAGTCTGCCTGTCTCAAGCAGGTCATATACAACATTCCTAGGAAAATCACCTAGCCTAGCCCTCTTCCTTTTGGGACTTTGTTTACTTTAGAGATGGAGGCAGCACTCACCCCAATGGGCTGACCACTGATGGTTAGTTTTGTTTTTTTTTTTGTGTGTGTGTGTGTGTAGACCAAGGAGGGTGAGTTTACCCTGTCAGCCATGACATCTGGCATACGACGAAACTGGATCCAGACCATTATGAAACATGTGCTCCCAACATCTGCCCCAGATGTGACCAGGTAAGATGGAGGCCTTGCCAGTTGTCCTTGGATACCTGCCATTCCCTGAGGCCTAAGCCCAACTACACTACAACACGAATTACTTTCCTCTTCCTGGCCCACTGTCAGCTGGCTACATGTTCCCTGTGGCTCTTTGTTTTTCTTCCTCTGCGGGCCTTTCTTATGTTGAGCTGGCCTGATAAGCCACACAGGTCACTTTCATGCCTATTCTCAGAGTGGAGGTCTTTATAGCAGAGTTTTAGCCCACAGACTGGGTTCAGGCTCCACTGTAGGCTTTCTCTGGTAGCTGCACCCCAGCTCTAGGTGGGAGCAGTTTTGTTTTATTTCCACTGTAGTTTCACCCTGTTGTTTTTCACTTCCTCATCAGAGAGTCCTACATCTATCTGTCTGGTTGTTAATATAATCGGGAGATGCTTCTGTCTCAGATGGTGGGTCCTGAAGCCCACATTTGAAAAAACTGTTCTCATCTGTGTTAACATGCTATTGTGTATATTTCTTGGAACATGCAACATGCCTCCCTTTTCTATTCTGAAGATTCTAGATCTACCAGTGTTCATCTTCAGGACAACACAGATGTTCCATGTGGAAAAGTCTTACTGTGCTTCATCCAGGTTTCATCTTGAGCACTTTGTGTCTCTCTTGGTTCATGTTGCTGCCAAGTATGGTTTTGGGATCAGAAGATTCAGTGTATGTTGGTCAAAGGATACTAGCGTGTGACAGCATTAACTATACCTATTCTTGCCTCAAACTTTCTCCTCTTTCTGGCTGGTTCTATTTCTTCTTGAATAAGAAGGAAAGGAAACCTGAACTCTTGTCTTCAGTACCCCTTTCAGGGATTGTTACATAGTCATTTCTTTACTCAGCAAATAGTTGCTGACTTCTGCATTATAGGACCATTAGGTCTGCAAGGCCTACTTTTATCCATTAATTGCCCTCTGCCATTCTTAAGAACTATGCTAGGGTGCTAGAGAGATGGCTGCTCTTTCAGAGGCCAGGTTCGAGTCTCCACACCTACTGAGTTCCAGGAGATCCAACATCCTTTTCTGGCTTTCATAGGCACTGTGTATACATGGCACACAGATCTACATGCAGGCAAAACACCTATACACATAAAAAAATTAAATTTTAAATTTCTTTGAAAAAGAGCTGTTGAAAAATGAGCAGTGGCCTCCCTACCTCCATGGCTCCTCCAGTCAAGAGAAGAGCAAGTAGTACAAAGCCCTATAGCAAAGTGAAAGGGACTTCAGCTGCTCTTCTCAGACTGCATGCAGATGGAGGGCCACGGCTGCAGGGAATTAGTGTCTAGGGCTGGTGCTGAGAACATTCATATGTGCATGTTTATGCTGTGTTCCATGGGAGGACTGGGGCCCAAGGTATCAACATAGAAACCTCATATCTCTCTTTTGTACACCAGTCTTCCTGCCTAGAATCTACTTTATAATTTAAGGTGTCTTTAAGCTGACGTGGTGCCCTGTACACCCACTTGTTTTTAGCCTGTGTTGTTCTGTTTGGACCATCAGAAGGTATTTGATGCAAGGACAGCAGTATCAGCTCTCTTCTCGTTTCTGTCATGTTGTATATAGTGAGGATATAGTCTCACATTACTATAATACTTCTGGGTTGGGACATCCTCCCCCAGGAGCATAACTGTTGGGAATCCTGTCTCTGGTCCCCAATTAGTTTCAACTCCCCACATAGACCTGAGACGTCACCAATTTTCTCAGAATTCTAAAAAGTCCACTCTGGGTTGTTTTGGTTTTCCCTGTGCAAGGATCTTGCTACATTGCCCAGGTTGGCCTCCCACTCTGCCATCCTGCCTAGTCTACCATGTGCTGGGTCATGCCATGCTGCAACTTGTTTTCAATGGATGGCTGTGAGCTGCCTGTGGGTGCTAGAAACCAAGCCAGGTCCGCTGCAAGAGCAGGATGTGCTCTTCACTACCACACCATTGATTCAGCCCTTTCCAACTCATTTTTAGTTGTGTGTTTGTATGATCTTAAACTGGACCCTTGCTGATCCTTCTGCTCGAAAGCGTTTGGTTATTTCTTAGTGTGTGGATTGTTGGGGGGCATGGCTTCACAGCACACTTTTGGAGGTCAGGGGACAAGTTTGCCTGTTAGTTTTCAACATTTATTGTTTGTGTACATGTGCCTTGGCTGTTGTGTACATGTGGAGGTCAGAAAATAATTTGTAGGAGCTGGTTCTCTCCTTCGACCATGTGGATTCCAGGAAGAACTTGTCTGGGTTTGGTAGCAAGTGCCCCTACCTACTGAGCCACCTCACTGGCCCAAGCACTTTGGTTTTTACTGTTTGCTTCTAGAACAGGTGGCCCAAGGGTAATGGGAGTCACTTTCTCTTTTGTTTGATGTCCCTTTGACAATCTCCTTGTTGGTCCTGGCATAAATACAAGTGCTCCCTGGTTCTTTCTCCTTGGGCCATCCTATCACCAAGTCACTTCTCACTCTGTTAAGACTTGGACAAGACCAGGGCTATCTAGCAATCACTGGGACTTATGCCCAGTGAGCCCAGTTAGCCCCTTTCCATGTTGCTAATAGTGATGTCTTAACTCTCTCTCCTGCTGGAGTAAAGGCCTCTCCAGAAATCTTCCTTGGGGAAGACTGGGAAGAGGCAGATATCCTTCAAGCTAACCAACTCCTGTTATCTCGGTGTAGTTTGAAGGACTAACAAGATTGATCTGCATGGGTGTGCTCCCTAGTCACTTCCTTCCTCAGAATGGTGGGTATTACGCTACCTTCCACCTGATTGTGTGGCCTTGTGACTACATGAGTTACTTCTCCCCTTGTCCCACAGATAGTCACAGCCTCACTCTGACCTATCTGTCATGTCTGGAGCCAGAGTAAGTTTTGAAATTAAGATGAGGGTGTCTCCTGTTTATTGAAATCCTTGAGCTCTTCTAAGAAGGGCTAGTTCTCAATCATTCTGCCACTGCATAGTGTAGGGTTACTTCATAACCAACCTCACCAAGGGTCTGGACAGTGGATGGGCCCTTCTCTCCCCTGGAACTTATAAAAGTCCATTGGCTTTATCCCTGTCATCCATGATAGAGACTGCCATGACATTTCCTGCATACAATGATACTTCATTGTTAAGGATGAAAACTGAAGTCTAAGGAATAGCTGAGGCTCTTTTCCCTTCCCATCTCTATCAACTAGGTTTGAGGTCTCCAAGAGAGGACCAAGTACATGTGGAACACTCTTTTGGGGATCAGAATGGGTGTGTGGGCTGGCTGGCCTTGTGACCCGCTAACGTGTCCAAGCTCCCTGACAGGTTTGTGTTGCCTTACTGCCCTACAGCTCATTGCCTGAGGGAAAGAATAAAAGCACATCTTTTGAGACCTGCTCAAGGCCAAATGAGAAGCAAGAAGCTGAGCCAGGAGAGCCAGATCCTGAGCAGAAGAAGAGCCGTGCTCGAGAGCGGAGGCGGGAGGGTCGCTCCAAGACCTTTGACTGGGCTGAATTCCGCCCCATCCAACAGGCTCTGGCTCAAGAAAGGGCCAGCACTGTTGGGTCTTCTGATTCTGGTGACCCTGGGTGTCTTGAAACCGAGTCAGGTGAGCTGGAGCGTGAACGAGCTCGTCGTCGAGAGGAGCGCCGCAAGCGCTTTGGGATGCTGGACACCAGTGATGGGCCAGCGATGGAGGACACCGCCCTGCGTATGGACATTGACCGGAGCCCGGGGCTGCTAGGAACCCCTGACCTCAAGACACAGAATGTCCACGTGGAAATTGAGCAGCGGTGGCACCAAGTGGAGACCACCCCTCTCAGGGAGGAGAAACAGGTGCCCATTGCCCCTCTGCACCTATCCTTGGAGGACAGAAGTGATCGGCTCTCCACACATGAGCTCACCTCTCTGCTAGAGAAGGAGGTAATGTGGGGCAGCTCCCTTCCAGCATGTAAAAAATTGTTAAATAAAACCACATCTTTGTACTATGATAGAAGGATGTGGCCTGGGAATATGGTGAGATCGAGTTGGGAGACATTCTAACATCTTGGTACAGAACCATATAAGCTAGCCCCTGTGTTATATGGCATAGGATCCTCATCAAATATGTCCAATTACATCTGCCCATATATTTATGTCAGTAGTGAATTCTATGACCAAAGAAGTTACAGGATGAATTTTTAATCCAAAAGTCTCATATGCTTCAAAATCCAAAAGACTTTCGTTGTCACCATGACACAAGCAGAAAATTCTCTGCCATGAAGTTTTGTTTCTATATAAATTAGTAAATACTATACTGTAGTGGACTTGGGTTACAGTATTTGCATAATCCACAAAGCCCTGGGAGTTCAGTCTCCAGCACTGGCAAAACAAAGCAAAATGTACAAATAACGTGTATAAACCATATCATATGTATAAAGTAAAGATATAACATGGTTGAAGTTCATATTTAGATTTGGCCCTATCCCACAATGTATACAGTTACTCCAGAATCATTTCAAAAGCAAAATAATAAACCCAAAAGTCCAGAATATTCACATGAGCTATTTGAGATGTGTGGTCAGCCTCTATAGGGTTCTGTCTGATTTTTGTCCCCTTTAGGGCATCTTCCTCAGCAAATCTCAGGCATATTCTTAGACTCTTTCCATAATAGCCAATTGCTACTTCATCATACCTTTTTTGCATTTTGTTTTGTGTTATTGCCTGTATGAGCCTGATAGATGTTCACTAACGCTCACACTTTGATTTTTTTCATTTTCTGTATCCCTCAGGTAAAATGAAATTGAGTAATTTCTAGGCTACCAAAATGAGCCCTCTGGCCCGCAGGCTGCATCCTGAGGTGTTTGTTTTTCAAGACAGGGTTTCTTTGTGTAGTCCTGGCTGTCCTGGAACTCACTCTGTAGACCAGGCTGGCCTTGAATTCACAGAGATGTACCTGCCTTTGCTTACCAAGTGCTGGGATTAAAGGCTGTGCCACCACTGCCCAGTTGAATTCTAAATTCTTAACTGAATAGTAGTCTGGGGTTCAGTATTTAACATCCCCCTGCCTCTCTTGACCCAGAAGTCTAGGGTAACCCCCATAGAGCATCAGTAAAGGTTTCAGAATTTTGGGGAAGAGTAGATGGTGACTTTGAACCTGTTGAAAACAGAATGTAGAACCTGTTACAGGTTTTCTTGTTTCATTTGAGGATATATTAGAACTTTATGTGGAATCCACTCTGTAAACCTACTAAGATTCAGTTTCTACTGAATATTCAGTAGGACCTGAAAGTGAGACCTACATGCTAGGCCAAGGACCCCCCCCCCCCCAATCTTTCTTCTGATAAAAATGTAAACCATTCTTTTCTCAATGAAGTACAACCACCTCCCCGATAGGAACTTGACACTTGGGCTATTTAGCCTCCACAGTACAACTGTGAACCAATGCGGAAACTTATTGGGACTAGGCAGGGCTTACCTAAGGCAAGAACAGGGAACATGTACCTTGGCCACCAGAGGAGAGAGCTGGTGTTGATGTTGTGTATGGTTCTATATGCTGTGTATCCAATGAGATGTCCAATGCCAGTGAACAATCCCCATTGTCTTGGCCACCTGTGGTCAGCTGCTTTTGCTTATTGTCATGTTTGTGAAGTGTATGTGTATATGTTTTCACCAACAGCTGGAGCAGAGCCAGAAAGAAGCCTCGGATCTTCTAGAGCAGAACCGGCTTCTGCAGGACCAGTTGAGGGTGGCCCTGGGCAGAGAGCAGAGTGCCCGGGAGGGCTATGTGCTGCAGGTAGGGTGGGCAGCTGCCAAGTGAACAGTGTACTCGGGCTTCCGTGTAAAAGTTGTGCTCAGGCCCACAGGCTAGGAATGTGCAAACATGGCAAAGCTGTGGTCAGTCAGCAAGACCAAGGCTCTTAGTGCTGTGGTGTTCTGTATATTTTCCTTGCTGTTGAGATATTGATTTGGGGAAATATGTCCCAAATCTCTATAGCTAAGGACTTGATCATGAAATCATTTTGTGATCGCTTCTTTGGACTTTCTAGACATTGTGATTTTTGTGAAAGCCCATGTATCTGTATGTCATTTCTCATTGTTTTCACCATAGTGAGATTGGGCCCAATGCACATACTGAAAAAACTGGACCATACAGCATGCCAAGTGCCACTTTAGGGCTAACAGCAAGTTAGTGAAGAGCTAGAAAATTATACCCCCATTCCTTTTTACCCAGTCTAAGTTTCAGAAGGATATATGACAACCTAGCCAATGTCACCAACCAGGAACAGGGTAAAAGTGGTGGCAGCTAGGTGCTGAGCTGATATGGCCCAAGGCCAGTGTCCTCCTTCTTAAGGCATCTTCCAGAACTCTGCTGTACTCAGATCCCTAGGGTACCCCTGATGTAGATATGTCAAAAACAGTCTCCAGGTAGCCTGGTATAAGGACAAGTGCTATGTGTTATCATATAGCCAGCTTCCTAGGATCCATGCTAGCTCTGGGACATGAAGAAGATGTAATGTTGCCAGCTGTTGGGGAACAAAAATTCGAGGGAGAATGGAATGGGGTAGTAGAACTGAGCTGAAGCTCTCAGCAAAGACCAAGGATAAGATACTGGTTTTAGACTGCTGTTATGATCCCAGGTTCTAGTCTTGACTCTGCCACTGATCCCAGAAGCACACTCCTTGCCCTACAGTAGCAGCCTTCTGCCGGTGTAATTTAGAACTAGTTCTCCAAAGGCCTTCAGCTTTCAAAGACCTGGAGTCTCTGCCAAGTTGCTTGTTGGCATGCCCAGACCCTTGTGTATTGACCTCAATCTTTGTCATCTGGTTGCAAGTAGACCTAGGGTCCTTCACCCCCCCTCAGCCAAATCCTGTGTTACCTTCATGTCTATCCCTCACACTGCTGTGTGTGTTTCTGGCTTACCTTTGTCCCCGATCTGACATTACTGTACCATCTTCCCTTCCAGCCAATTCACTGTTGCCCTACTTGAGACCTTGCCTGGAACTGGCCATGGCAGGCGTCTCCCTTCTACACAGCCTACTCAGAAAGCCTTTAAGGGTATTCATTCAGACTATCCCTAATTTAAGGTTCATTTCCTTAAGCCTTTGTTGATTTCATAAGACTTGACTTCCTACTTGGTGGTAAAGAGACGGCTAAGGAGCTTTGCACATTGCTAACTTGTGTATCTAACATGGACCATCATGTGTATCTATACTGAACAACCTTGGTCAGCATGGGGGCAGCAGCTTCCTGCTGAATCTAATAATGATTACCCATGAGCTTCGAAAATGCTTGCAGTCAGAAGGGGAAAGGGGCCTTTGGGACAATGAGGGAGGGCTCAGAGATGCAAGCTCGGGGTAGGGTGCTGTGCTTCCTGCTGGGAGGGCTGCATGCTTTGGTGAATATGGTGTGGAACTGGAACTTACCTGAGTGTCACATCTGTGGCTTCCCCACCAACAGACTGAGGGAGCCTGGGCAGGCCAGATTCTAGGTGGGGCTCGCCTGACTTAGCTGTGTTGTATCCCCTGCTCTATATTAGTTCTGTCTCTTTTGTGTGTCTCTCAGTATGGGGAGTTTGTGTTTTATTTTGGGTTTTGCATTCACTCTTATTTTGAGCTTTATGAAGGTTTGTTTTTATTACATTTTGCTTCATGATCTGCATTCCCCTTGTTCTGTCTTCTTGCAGGTAGAGATTAGTTTTCTCCTTACGGTGGAGGCCTGACTACGCTTTCTAAAGGAAATGTTCCAATGTTACTTTGCTGACATCTCTCAAGTAGTTACCTGCCTTCCTTCTCTTCCTGTCATGGAAGGAAGTGACGTCACTTTCGTGTGCCTTATGCCTTGTGCTGCTTTAAACGTGTGGTCTAGAACTGCATACTTTGTTTTGCAAAACCAATTATTTCTTCCTTCAGTCTCTGTTGTACTTCTCAGTGTGTTCCATTATTCAGCTTTATTTGGTTCATTTCTTCTAGATACTATTCAGTTAGAGCTGTTTTATTGGTGTTTTTGTCCTTGTGTTCTGTTTATGTAGAAGCAACTCTATATTTACCCAAAACAAAACAAACAAAACCCACATTAATTTGAATTTTTTCTTTAAATGAAGAAAAAAAAAGTTGTACAAAGGATTAAAGGCAAACCCACCAAGGAGCTTTTCTATGATTGATCCTGGCCAGAGGTGTGACACTCAGAACAGGGTGGCCTGAGTGTTACTAACCAGTATTTAATCGGTTTTTTTAAGACTGAAGTGGCCACCTCTCCATCGGGTGCCTGGCAGAGGCTCCATAGAGTCAACCAAGACCTCCAAAGTGAGCTGGAAGCTCAGTGCCGGCGGCAGGCGCTCATCACACAGCAGATTCAGACTCTGAAACATAGCTATGGGGAGGCCAAGGATGCAATCCGGCACCATGAGGCTGAGATTCAGACCCTGCAAACAAGACTTAGTAATGCTGCTGCAGAGCTAGCCATTAAAGAGCAGGCTCTAGCCAAGCTCAAGGGTGAGCTGAAGCTGGAGCAGGGCAAGGTTCGAGAGCAGCTGGAGGAGTGGCAGCACAGCAAGGCCATGCTGAGTGGCCAGCTGAGGGCCAGTGAGCAGAAACTCAAAAGTACAGAAGCCCTGCTGTTAGAGAAGACACAGGAACTCAGGGACCTGGAAACACAACAGGCATTGCAACGAGACCGACAGAAGGAGGTGCAGAGGCTGCAAGAATGTATTGCTGAGCTCAGCCAACAGCTCGGTACCAGTGAGCAAGCCCAGCGTCTGATGGAGAAGAAGTTGAAGAGGAACTATACATTGTTGCTGGAGAGCTGTGAGCAGGAAAAGCAGGCACTGTTGCAGAACCTCAAGGAAGTCGAGGACAAGGCCAGTGCCTATGAGGATCAGCTACAAGGCCACATGCAGCAGGTGGAGGCCCTCCAGAAAGAGAAGCTGAGTGAAACATGCAAAGGCAGTGAGCAGGTACACAAGCTAGAGGAAGAGCTGGAGGCCCGAGAGGCCAGCATCCGCCAATTAGCCCAGCATGTACAGAGCCTCCATGATGAACGGGATCTCATCAAGCATCAGTTTCAAGAGCTCATGGAACGTGTGGCCACATCCGATGGGGATGTGGCTGAGCTCCAAGAGAAGTTGAGGGGAAGGGAAGCTGACTACCAGAACCTTGAGCACTCACACCACAGGGTCTCTATCCAGCTACAGAGCGTGCGCACTCTGCTGAGAGAAAAGGAAGAGGAGCTGAAGCACATTAAGGAAGCACATGAGAGAGTTCTGGAAAAGAAAGACCAAGACCTCAATGAGGCTTTAGTTAAAATGATTGCCTTGGGCAGCAGCTTAGAGGAAACAGAAATTAAGCTGCAGGAAAAGGAAGAGTGTCTAAGGAGATTTGTGAGTGATTCTCCAAAGGATGCCAAAGAGCCTCACAGTACCACAGACCCAACAGAGGACGACAGTGGCATTTTGCCCTTAGGCTCAGTCACCAGAGTATTTCCTGGCTTTCCCCACTCACAACCAGAGGATGAAGATCCAAGTACTGGCCTGGGGGATGAGGGTAGCAGTGGTAGCCTCAGCAAAGAGGAAAACATCATACCCCCAAAGTCAGCCGATATGCCTGACAGGGAGGGGCATCTGCAAAGCACATCTAAGTCTGATCAGGGAGCACCTGTAAAAAGGCCAAGAATCAGGTTCTCCACAATCCAGTGTCAAAGATACATACACCCTGAAGGGTGTGCAAAGGCCTGGACTAGCAGCACATCATCAGACACCAGCCAGGACCAGTCACCCTCAGAGGATAGTGTGTCCTCAGAAGCTACCCCTAGCACACTCCCAGCAGCTGCAGATGCTGAAACGTACATCTCTATAATCCACTCTCTGGAGACGAAGCTCTATGTCACAGAGGAGAAACTCAAAGATGTGACTGTGAGGCTAGAAAGCCAGCAGGGGCAGAGTCAGGAGGCATTGCTTGCACTGCACCAGCAGTGGGCTGGCACTGAGGCACAGTTGCGGGAGCAGCTCCGTGCCAGCCTGCTGCAGGCTAGCGCTCTGGCCTCTCAGCTAGAGCAGGAAAGACAACAGAAGGCCACAAACATTGAGCATCACCCTGGGGAGCTGGAAGACTTCCAAGCCAAAAATAGCCAAGCCCTGACATGCTTAGAAAACTGCTGGAAAAAGCTAAGGTCTTTGCCATGGGCCGACCAGGAGGAGGGCCAGGATGCATGTGCAGCCTCCCTGGCTAACATAGAGAGTATGCTTGTGAGTGCTATCAAGGCCCTTCAACCATGGGCTTCCCCTGCAGAGAGCAGGACACAGGCTGAGCAAGAGAAGGGGCAACCCATGGAAAGTGGCATGGCAGCCCCTGTGCAGCAGTCCTGTCAGCCTATCTTGAATGAGCAGGAGCACAGGAAGCTTCTTTCTGCTCAGATAGTCCTGGAGGCCTCACTCATCAACAAGATAGCTGATTCTCTAAAAAATACCACTTCAGATGTATATGGTGTTCTCTGTGAGCTTACTCAGTCAGGGGAGTGGCCACTGAAGGAAGAAGGTGCTGCCCCCTCTGCTGGGGCTTCAATGGAGATCTGGGCCAAGAAGGTACTGGTGAATGGTGAGTTCTGGAGCCAGGTCGAGTCGCTAAGTAAACACCTAGGGACACTGGGAGAAGAAACAGCCTGCACATCAGGAGACAGGCAGCAGCATACTCCCCAGAGTCTGGCTGATGCCACATGGATTCGTGCAGAGCTCAGCTATGCCACACAATCAGTAAGAGAAGTGTTTCACCATAGGCTGCAGAGCATACAGGAGACCCTACAGGGGACCCAGGCAGCCCTACAGCAGCACAAGTGCATGTTGGGAGAAATCTTGGGAGCCTACCAAACCCCAGACTTTGAAAGAATAATACAGCAGATCTTAGAAACCCTCAGGCATCCAACTGGCAGGGAGGACCAGGTACAGACATCCTGGGATCAGAGCCCATTAGGAGAGGTACTGAGGCCAGGCACAGATGGCTCCCAAGAACCTTTGCAGGCTTTGCATCAGAGCCCCGAAGTCCTTGCTGCCATTCAGGATGAGCTAGCCCAGCAGCTGAGAGAAAAGGCTAGCATCCTTGAGGAGATTTCAGCTGCCTTGCCAGTCTTGCCTCCCACAGAGCCACTTGGGGATTGCCAGAGGCTTCTGCGGATGTCCCAACATCTCTCATATGATGCTTGTCTAGAGGGCCTTGGTCAGTATTCTTCATTACTGGTTCAAGACGCAATTATTCAGGCTCAAGTGTGCTATGCAGCGTGCAGAATTCGGCTGGAGTATGAAAAGGAGCTGAGATTTTACAAGAAGGCCTATCAGGAGGCTAGGGGAGCTTCTTGCCAGAACCGTGCACAAGCAGTTGGGGCCCTGAAGGAAGAATATGAAGAACTTCTCCACAAGCAGAAGAGTGAGTACCAGAAGGTTATCGCCCTCATTGAAAAAGAAAACACTGAGCTCAAGGCCAAAGTGAGCCAGATGGACCATCAGCAGAGATGTCTACAAGAAGCAGAAAGCAAACACAGTGAGAGCATGTTTGCCCTACAGGGCAGGTATGAGGAAGAGATCAGGTGCATGGTGGAGCAGCTGAGCCACACTGAAAATACACTGCAGGCTGAGCGTAGCCGGGTTCTCAGCCAGCTAGACGCCTCAGTCAAAGACAGGCAGGCCATGGAACAGCATCATGTGCAGCAAATGAAGATGCTGGAGGACAGGTTCCAGCTGAAGGTCCGGGAGCTGCAGGCTGTTCATCAGGAGGAACTGAGGGCCTTGCAGGAACATTACATATGGAGCCTGCGGGGAGCCCTCAGCCTCTGCCAACCTTCACACCCAGCCCCTGGGTCATCTGAGTCCAGAGCTGTGCCAGCAGCTAAGGATGAGGCCGAGTCCATGACTGGGCTGCGAGAACGTATCCAGGAGCTGGAAGCCCAAATGGGTGTCATGCGAGAGGAGCTGGGCCACAAAGAGCTGGAGGGTGATGTGGCTGCCCTGCAGGAGAAGTACCAGCGGGACTTTGAGAGCCTCAAGGTCTTTAGCACCGTTTATTTTTCAGAGCCACTTCTCTTTAGTGATGCTAGAAAGGGGACATTCTGGGCAACAAGGGTCTTGGATTCGGGATAAGAGATAGTTCTTAACTCTCACTCAGCTGCTACACAGGCAGAACTGAGTAACATTCTTATGCTCCTCTATTCCTGACCCAGAAGGGAAGCTAGCAAGGAAAGCAGCATCCTTGTGGGAAAGGAGAGACATCTTCCCTTTGCCTGTCCATGCCTCCAGGCATGGACACCCTTCACCTTCTTACTCTCACAGAACCTCTTCTGGCTTCAAAGTTGAGGCATCAGTATGAAGACTGCCTCACATCTCTGAAGGGTCGTCACCCACCTGACTCCTCTGAGAGAGCGAGGTTTGCACTTCACAACACAGGAATATTTGCAAAGCAATGTCAAGGGTTCCTTCCTTGCCTAGCCTAGCTTCCCAAGGCAGAGTTGACATGATGAGCACTGGCTGAGAAGGCTTTCCCACACTCTGTCTCCCAGGCTGCCTGTCATGCTTCTGTGAACACTCCTTTATCTTAGACTATGTAGTGTGTGGCCGCCTGGCCATAATCATGGAAGGTCTTAATCATCTCTTAGAATCCATAGGTGGCCTGGTAGTTGTGTCTTCTTCATCCCCGCTGGAAGGTAGAGAGGCCCCAAGGTTGCCTGTGCCAGGTTCCAGCTGTCTTTTTACAGGCCAGTGTTGCTGCACAGTGTCACAGCTGTAGCTCAGCAGGGCATCTATGACTGTTTCCCAATACCTTTTTTCTCCATACTGAAGGGAAACAAAGGAACATTCAAGCTAGAGCTTTTCCTTTACCTCTCCCTCTCTGACACAGGAGAGGCTGATGATACTTGAGGCACTAGTTCTCAGCACTCTTTTCCTGACTTCTGTCTAGACTTTTAAAAAACATTAAGCATTGTGTGAAAATCACAAATTGTGTATTCAGTGATCCTGTGGGGAGCCTGGGTCACCCTCACCAGCTCCTCTTCACAGCTGCAGGAGCTTCCACAGCCTGGCAACTTGTTAGTTAGCAGGACGTCAGAATGGTTATGAAGGTCTCATGGTCACCTAGTGGGAGAACACCTTAGCAACAAAAGGTACAGGTTAAGAGGAAGCATTGGGCTTGACCATGTATGTATGTGCCCAAGAACTTGAGGCCCTCTGTGGAGCTTGTGGCACAGCTGCACAGCAGACTGTCTGAGAGCTGAACAGGGAACAGTTTTTCTCTGGATTTCTGCCCAGATCAGTAAGCCACTGCCTCACACCACTTATCATGAGTCCACATCTCAGTCACTGAAGAATTTGTTTTGATTCTAGGGATGATTTAAAAACTAAAATTTGGAGCTGAAGAGATGGCTCAGTGTTTAAGGTACTTAGCAGCAAGCTAAGGACAGGAGTTGGAACCCTCAACACTCAATGTAAATGCTGTGTAGTATGATGTGGTGGTCCCCTTATACTTCTAGTATGAGGTAGATGGCAGTGAATGATCCCCAAAGATAGATAGATAGCTAAATCAGCAAGCTCTCGGACCAAGTGAGAAACTCTCTGTATGAGGTGGAAGCGATCAAGGCAGATCAACATTCAGTGTCAGCCATCAACCATGGCGTCCATAGACATATATATACACTCAGTTTTTTGTTGTTCTTTTGATTGCTTTTTGGGGGGTTGTTTGTTGTTGTTGTTGCTATTATTTGTGTTTTGTGGGGGTTTTTTTTTTTTTTGGTTAGTTTTTCTTTTAGTTTTTTCAAAACAGAGTTTCTCTATGTAGCCCTGGCTTTCCTCGAATTCACTCTGTAGACCAGGCTAACCTTGAACTCACAGAGATCTGCCTGCCTCTACTTCCCGAGTGCTGAGATTAAAGGCATATGCCACCACTATCCAGTATACTTTAAAAAAAATAAATTAGATTTATTTATTTATTTTATGTGAGAGTACACTACTGCTGTCTTCAGACACACCAGAAGAGGGCATCAGATTCCATTACTGATGGTTGTGAGCCACCATGTGGTTGCTGAGAATTGAACTCAGGATCTCTGGAAGAGCAGTCTTAACCGCTGAGCCATCTCTCCACCCCTCAAAAAATTTAAATTGGTTTATAGAGTGACAATTTTTAAATGTAATACATTTAACAGTGAAGCAACCTAGTTGTTAAAGATACATTAGTGTTTCTGTTATAGGAATTTTGGACCCTATCTTCATGTATTCCAAGATGCTCAAATCAAAATAAATGGAAGAGACTTCCTGTAGGGTAGGCATCCATTATATGGACCTCAAAATCTGGAAAAAAGCCAACATTTAAAATATTCTCAGCACTAATAGACTTCAACAAGCAGACACTCCCACAGTAAACATTCTGTGATAAGTCCCATTTAACCTGCAGGCACAATAAACAGGCTGTGTGGAGAAGGTGACTGGTACAGCACACACACTGCACTCAACCCCAGGATGGAAGCAGGAATTTAAAGTTGCTGAATAGAGGCTCTTCGAAACTCCCCTCAGTGACAGCGAGCGAGGCTCAGTAAAAAAAGTCAAAGCCTGGTGATTGGATACTTGGTGTTCTTTATTGAATCCATTAGCAAAACAATAGGGTAGGAACACAAAGAGCCACATTCCTTCAGTTTTTTTTAAATTATGAGAAAGCTTGTTTTGCCCAGAAGTGGCTATCACAAGGTTAGGCAGAATGACCCACAGTCAAAGTAGCTGTGAGCTGCAGATAGAACAGGGCATGTACTACTGCTTGGTTGGGGAGACCAGCCCTGACAGGCCATGCCTGAGGCTCCATGGCTGTGGGAGATGGGGAGTGAGTTCCCTAGGACTCACGTATCTATTCTGCTTGGAAGGTTGTAAGGTTCTCAGTGGGTAGCCTCTGCTCTCTTTAAAGGAGAGAAAGAAGAAAGAAGGCACAGGCTGGCAGGAAAGATGTTGGTTCTGCTCTGGCTCCTATGAGGATATCCTTGAAGTTTAGTGAACAGCTGAGGCACCTAATCTCCCAGAAATAAGCCCCAGCCCACAGAGATAATCTCAGTCTCTCCACCTAGCACATCGGTGAGAGCATATCTGCCACTCTAACCAATATAGGCAATAGATGTACCACCTGGTTGTGATGCCACATATTCCCAGGACAAAGCTACACACAGCCTTGGTACCTGATACTAGAATCACCAGCCACATCTTGAGACCATACATTTCCTGGACCAAGCAGGTGGCTACCTTATTTATTACACGAGACAGCCACTTGGAGGCAAAGAAAAACCAATGAGCCCTCTTCCGTTCTGCAGGCTACATGTGAGAGAGGCTTTGCTGCCATGGAAGAGACACATCAGAAGAAGATTGAAGATCTACAGAGGCAACACCAACGGGAGCTAGAAAAGCTGCGGGAGGAAAAAGACCGCCTCCTGGCTGAGGAAACAGCTGCCACCATATCAGGTGGGGCTAAGTCCATGAGCACAGGTTTCTCATGTCTTGGGCTGAACCTGTAGTCCAGAAGAGGATTGGCCTTAACATTGCTTTTCTCTGAGAGTTAACTTTTCTCTTAGAAGGTGGTGGTAGGCAGGGTCTCTATCCCAAGCCAGCCTTAAACTCCCTATGTAGATGAGGATAACCTTGAACCCACTCTCCTCCATTCACGTCCTCCATGCTGGAGTAACAGATAACAGACATGTACCACCCTACCCCCTGTATGTATTGATGAAGATTAAACATGGTTTCATGCATGGTACTGGACTAAGTCAGTGCCAGCCATAGCCTTAAGCTTCATTTTGGAGAGAGGTATTTGAAGATTCAAAGTGAGTCAAGGACTAGCTTGAGAAGTCTATTGAGAGCCTCCAAACTGAAAGCCAGTGCCCCAGCTGTTTGTGACACTGCAGAGCTGGTCTCCAATAGGTGTCCCTCACTCGGAGTATTCTTCAGCAGAGCATGAATATACTCTAACACAGCCCCAGCAAATGTGGGTCACCCATGTCATGTTGCAATTTCTCCACATGATTAATGACAGTACAGAGGTTTATTTTAGCAGCAGGGAAAAAAGTAAAGCAGCTGTCAGACATTCTTATTTTGTAAACTCATGCGTGAATAGAACATTGACATTTACCTGATCATCGTAGAGTCTTTCCGATAGCAAATATAACATACCTATAGCCCTTCCAGGGGAAATTAGTTTGTGAATTCTCTTGCCCTTTATCTATCCCAGAGAGCTGGTCTAGGATAGACCATCCTGCTTTGGAGTCCTACTGCTGCTGGAGTCAGTGTCAACAGGGGACAGATATCACACTAGCCTATCCTTGGCCTTGTGGAGGGATAATATAGTAGAGAAACTGCCACTTGTAGCCCTAGATTTTGGTGCTGAGGGTTGGTTGTGTCCTTCCTGCAGCCATTGAAGCCATGAAGAATGCTCACCGAGAGGAGATGGAACGCGAGTTAGAGAAGAGCCAGCGGTCTCAGATCAGCAGCATCAATTCAGACATAGAAGCCCTGAGGCGACAGTACCTGTGAGTCACCTGCCCCTATGAGAGCCCTGTGAGCGAGGGCTGCTTTACCAAGTCTAAGACAGCTTTAAGGCTGCTCTTGGGGAGGTGAGGCCATGGCTCCAAGGACAGCCCACACTACCTTGCTCTCCTGTGGCTTAAATTAAGGCTGATCTCTAAAATGCAGAGAAACAAATGTAGCAAATGACATTTTAAAATCATAACTTAAGCTAGGCATGATGATATTTTTAATCCCAGCACTTAGTTGCCTGAGGCTGGAAGATTGCCACAAATCTGAAGCCAACCTGGGCTATATATGGAGACCCTGTTCTAAAACAAAACAAAGTGCCTTGTGCTTATTAAGGTTGACTGCAGACACCATCCCCCAATTTGTTTGGACCACTGGTACTATATCAGCACCTTAAAAGGAGCCAGGGTCTAGCTGGTGTTTTATGCCTGGTATACCACAGCAGTTTGTGTCAAAAATGGCCACAGTGTTCTAGAAATCTCATGAACTGACTACACAGATATCACCAAGTGCAGCGTGGAAACACCTTGAGAATTTCTCCTTGATAGGAGTCACACTGCTAGGGGCCCTTGGGTTAGTACCAGAAGTATCCATTGATTAGACTTTGCTGGTGTCTCTGGGATGTTCTGGGGCTGAAAGCAGTAACTCAAGAAGTCCAGTAGTCATGCTTCCTGGGCTGGAGGCTCATCTGGAAGGTCCTTCTCAACTCTACTGGATGTGGCCCTTCTGGATGTGGAGTGCTGAGAACAGAATCTCCAGGCCTGGTTTCCTGTTGTGCTGAGTGTCTGTGTTTTGAAATGACACACTGCCCGAGTGGGTGCTTTCCACCTATGACCTCTCAGAAACTCAGCCCTGCTGTCACACTGGTTCTGCCTCCTAGTTACATCACCAGTGTGCCACCTGTGGATAGCCCAGCAAAGACAGTCATTTCTGCAAAGTGTCCCTGACATTCTGTGGGTAGACACTGTACTATCAATGTCTAGCTGTCCCAGTCCTACAGTGGGAACAGGCTGAACATTCCCTCTCTGCAGGGAGGAGCTACAGTCAGTGCAGCGGGAGCTGGAGGTCCTTTCAGAGCAGTACTCCCAGAAGTGCCTGGAGAATGCACACCTAGCCCAGGCACTGGAGGCCGAGCGGCAGGCCCTGCGGCAATGCCAGCGTGAGAACCAGGAACTCAACGCCCACAACCAGGTAAGGCCCAAAGAAACTAAGCCCCACCTACATAGAGGCTACTAGCCATGGTCTGCCCTACCTGAGACTTAAGAATCTGGGGACTTCTCTGAATCTCTGGTCCTCTAGTTGGAGTATCTCAAGTCTATCTCAGAGTTGGGATCTTCTGTCCTCCAGTGGCTGGGCTTACTCTCTCACATTTGTTTCTATAAGTCATGCTCTTAGTTAGAATTTAGTGCTCCTTAGGAAATTGGGGTTCTCTAGAATCCCAGATGAGTAGGTTATGATACTAAGTTCAATATAAGCTCTTTCATCAACATCCTATTTTTGCCTGCCTCAAGCTCTATCATGCTTGCTCTCCCTGGCTTCTCAAACCACACTTGCACTGTGGGTGTAACTACTTGGGAGTCACTGAACCACTGCAGTGGCTTGAAGAAGACTATGTATATCAGTCAGAAAGAAGGTCTGAGAAATTGGAGGGACAGAAGTAGAATAGTCTTTGGCAGCTCAAGTGGAACAAGATAACATTGCCCACAGCAGAAGGATTTTAATTTTAGGTCCGTGGAATCTTAGCTCTAGAGACACAATTGGTCTTTTGCTGCTCTGAGTTCTAAATCAGTTCTAAATTGAACTGACCATACATAGGAAAACATAGTTTTCACTGGGCATCTACTATTTTCTTATCACTACTCCCTAAGTAATATATTACAACTAAGTACTTAGGAATTACATGGATGGTACTGGATATTAGACATAGTCTAGAGACCATGCTACTGTATATGGGAGGATGTATGCAGATATTGTGTGCCATTTGTAATGGAACTTGAACATCCACAGAATCTGGTGCCTAATAGAGGTCCTAGAACCAATTTGACAGGTTATAAGTCCTCACATAGCCCATATGAACAGCTTTTATGTAGTAACAGCCTTAAATGTCTACCTTAAACATAGCACTGAACATGCACACGGCTTGGGGGCTCCATTCTTAGGCCTCTGCACACTACTGGTAAGAAATGACCTCCTCTATTGTCTTAAGCAACTGTGTGTGGGGGTGGTCACTGTTGTATTGTGCTGTTGTCCCCCAGGAGCTGAATAACCGCCTGGCTGCGGAGATCACACGGTTGCGGACACTACTGACTGGAGACGGTGGCGGGGAGTCCACTGGATTGCCGCTCACACAGGGCAAGGATGCCTATGAGTTAGAGGTACTGTAAGAAGCAGGGCACTGCCTTACTCAGGAGCTCCTGCGTCACACAAGAGCTCTTTATCTTAAGAGTCATTGAGGGACCAGATTTTAAGAAAGGGCCAGAAGGGTATAGTTCAATAGTAGAACTCCTGCTTAACATCCAAAACTCTGGGTTCATCTCTAGGTCTGCAACAACCACAAAAAAGAAAGCTTCAAGCTAACATGTATGAAAGCTGTGGGAAGGCCCAAAGACATTGGGGATACCAGTTAGCTGACAGGTACCCTAAGGTCCACAGGCAGGAGCAGGGGCCCCTCTAGATGCCATGAGGATTTTTCAGTCCCACCCTTCCCCTTACCTGCCCACAAAAATGGTCTCAATAAAGTGCCCTATTTCAGAGCTACAGGAATCCTGCTGTTCTCAGGATTATATCATGACTTAACTTCTCAGAGTCCAGGATGTTTGTTTGCAATCAGAACAGCTCATTCTGTGGCATGTAGTTGTAATCCCAACTACTTAGGAAAGTGAAGCAAGAGGATTCCAGAGCAGTCTAAAAGGAAAAGGAAAAAAACAAACACTGTTGAAAGAGGGAGAGAAAAAGGAAAGACTCTAATGTGTGTAGGGCCGTGGTTCTCAACCAGTGGGTTGAGACCCCTCTTGGGGCACACATCAGATATCCAGCCTATTGGATATTTATGTTACAGTTCATAGTAGTAGCAAAATTGCAGTTATGAAATAGCAACAAAATAATTTTATGATTGGGGGTCATCACAACATGAGGAACTATATTAAAGAGTTGCAGCATTGGGAAGGTTGAGAAGCACCAGTGTAAAGCATCCTCAAGAAGACCCCAAGTAGGTTAAGATTTTCCTTTATACACGATTCAGACTGTGCCATACTGACAGGTGAGTGGGAGGAGCTGGGTAGAGTTGGCAGAAGTTCCTATCGGAATCATGTGTCTAGCCTTTGACAGCTACATCTCAGGGAGCAAGCTCCTCAGTAGTGGGAACTCAATGTAGCCCTCATGCCTCTGGCCCCAAGTTCTCGGAACTAGGAAGGCTAACAGTATTTTTCCTCTTTCCATTTCTGTAGAAGGACTGAGCAGTATTTAAGTCATGTGTTCAGTAAGGGTTAGCTCTCTTCTCCCCAGTGTATGAAGCAACTGTCTGCCAGCCATCCTGTGTATGCAGACTGCAGGATACCTGGTTCCTCATTTTCCCTCTCCTTATAGGTCTTATTGCGGGTCAAAGAGTCAGAAATTCAATACCTGAAACAGGAGATCAGCTCCCTCAAGGATGAACTCCAGACAGCCCTGCGGGTAAGGGCCAAGTGTTTGGAGGCAGGACAAAGTGGGAAAAAGCTGAGAGGTCTGGCCAGGTCCTGCTGGGCTCATTTTTGCGTGGCAGGACATTCTACAAAATTGCGATCCTAAAGTCAGGTAAAACACCAGCCTCTAAGCATATGCCTCAGAAGTGAATAAGGAAGTCTCCCTGGCCTAGTGGTGCTTCCTGTGTTTCCACACATTTGCACAGAATGCTAAGTGGATGAAGTGAGGCTTGGCATGCTATTCAGGCTGGTCTAGTTGGACTCATCTCAAAGGGATTCCTGGAGTCCAAAAGTAATGATGGGATCCTTGGTGTGATCAGGTCACTTAGCAAATCTAAAAACTAGAGGCTCTCCCTGGCTGACTCCACAAAGAAGTGTTGGGCAGTCAGGACCACAGCAGGCTGCCTGAGCTTGCCCCCTGTAGTTGTCATCTGCTCACTGCATGTTTTCTTCAGTGTTCAGTCTTTGCCTCAGAGAGGGAGGGTACAGGGCCATTCCCAAGCCACAGTTAGTTCTCCCAGTGCGTCAGCCCCAAGACCAGAGTTGCAAGTGAGCCTGACACCATCTACAGCTGGACTCACTTGTCGTCCCTTTACTCTCCAGGATAAGAAGTATGCTAGTGACAAGTACAAAGACATCTACACAGAGCTCAGCATTGCGAAGGCCAAGGCTGACTGCGACATCAGCAGGCTGAAGGAGCAGCTGAAAGCAGCCACAGAGGCATTGGGCGAGAAATCTCCTGAAGGCACTACTGTGTCAGGATATGGTGAGCGATCTGGGTGCTCCTTATGAAGATGGTTTGGCACTTGAATCAAACCCCCCAAAAATGTCTTGAGCCATCCAAATCTCCTTGGGGGGCCCCACATGCACAGGCTCCCCAGAGGAACTGTTCCTCCCATATCCTGCAGCCCTTTTACACAGAGCTGCTTCCATAGAAGCAAGGGGTCACACAGTCTGTTTTCTGAAAAACTTAGGTGGGGGGAGTTCTTGCTAGTTCCTTGATCTAAAGATTTTGCCATAAAATCTTTGAGGGCCACTGGCAAGCAGAACAGAAGGAACCTACAAGCTGCTTAAGAACAATAAAACTGACCTCTTTGTGCTGGGTGAAAATATCCAGGCTCTGTGCAAAACAGCTGGGAAAGAGGCTGCAGAGCCACGTACTGTTGGATACTTTCTGATCGTTTAGGATTTCATCTTACCTTCATTGTGACTCTTTCTTTGTAAAAGCTCCACACACTGAAAATCTGTCCAAATCCCCTAATATCCCTGTAACTCAGCATTCCTTCGGCAAGTTCAGCAAGTTTCCATGACAACATTCAGACATACTTGGTTGGAACAGTCCTCTGTGTTGCTTATGAGATACAGACACCCACTTTTCTGGAAGGCTGCTAACAACAGCACAGTTTACAATCTAGCTTACTGTAAAAGGGTGCTCACCATGGTCTCTGAATAGGAAACCAAGAGCCGAGGCATTAGAGGGAAGGAAGCAAAGCTAGAATGGGGAAGTACATGTGCTTTCGTCCTGCCCTGATGACTAACCTCTGAAGAGCATGCACAGGGCACTGCATCTGTAGACAAGCATCAGCCATGGACAGCAGTCTGCACAACAGTGCAAACTGACTGTTGGAAGCTGCACAGTGTGCAGTTCTTAGGAAGACAGGGAGGTGTTTTTGTGTTGATGTAAAGAGAATTTTGTGAGAGTTTAGTAAACAAAATGAAAGCCCCATCCCCATGACATACTTTGTGGTATGACCCAGTGTGCATCTTTCACATCTGTATTTAATAGACTGTAAGAACTGTTTTCTTGATGGGGTGGATCATGAAAAGAATTTGTTCTGATTCTGTTTGATAGCAGTCCTATGTCAGAAATAAGCTAGAGATAATGAGGCCAGTTGGTATGCCCAGAAGTCAAGGTCTGATGCCAGAGTAAGAGATCCTATCCTTTGTTGACAGTATTGTGTGCCTCAGAAGTTGTGACTTAAACCCCAGTGGGAACCCAGTACTCTGGTTCTTGGTTGTATCCAAGAAGAGCATACTGTGGATTGGCTATTGGATTTAGGATATGTACTATACTAGTGAACTCAGAACTTCCCACACATTCTATTTGGTTCAGAAGATTGTAGAAAGCAAAAGTAATGAGTCTTTTTGTTCCTTCAGATATAATGAAATCTAAGAGCAATCCTGACTTCCTGAAGAAAGATAGATCCTGTGTTACCCGGCAACTCAGAAACATCAGGTCCAAGGTGAGTGAGGTCCAGCTTATAGATGAGATGGGGCTAGAGGATACTGGAGAGATGGAGCCCAGTGCAAGCACTATCCCAGCTGTGTAGTCACAATGTTTGGATGATTCTAGTGACTGCAAGGTCCATGTTCCATGTCATCAGAACCATCTCTGGGCCAGGGCTTCAAGAAGCAAGACATGAAGAGATTCGTGTCTCACACAAATCTTGAGCCTCACAGAAGGTGGGGTAAATCTGACCTCTTGGCTCCACTGTATGTCTGTTCTCTGCACAGCTGTCATCACACTGACACTGCCAACCTTGGAGAAATGAAGTCAGTGATCCCAGAGTGCTCTCAGATGGATGTGTCTGGGGGGGATGGGCGGAGAGGGCCTGGCCAGCATACTGCATTTAGAACTGATTGTGTGTGTGTCTTATTTTTTGCTCTTTCCTCTGACAGTCCGTAATTGAGCAGGTCTCATGGGATAACTGAGTCGCGCCCGCTTCCAAGTCCCCTGTCGTGTAGGTAAACCACTTCTCTGCCCACTACCCGCACAGGCGGCTCTGCATGCACTGCTCACACCTCCATAGCACACCTCTGTGTAATTACCTTCATCCTTCTCCAACAAACATACACAGTCTACATGAGATCTCAGTAACTGTCCTGGAAGTTGGCACTCTAACCTCTTCACATAGCTGAGCCTGCCCAGGGCCTCCTCAGCTTGATGGGTGGGCACAAGCCAGCATGCATACTGGGTGACTTGCACAACACTGAGCTCCTGTCTCCTCTCTTGGAAACAAATTGCAGGGAGGTAGCAGATACCCACTGTGTCTGGCAAGCACTTTGCTCTCATGAAAGACCTCATCCATCCAGTTGGTAATAAGCTGTTTCAGGGAGACCCCTGCAGATAAAACAGATCCCAATTGTGCTGTTCTGTGTGGAACTGATCAATACTGCATGGGTAGAGTCTGGGAAATTATTTTGTTCTTAAGGGCCTGGCAACCATGCACATAGGGCTGAACATGACTGCTTTTGTTTTTTATGTAATACAAAAGTCTGTCTCCCATAGACAGTAGTAGAGTTGGCCATGTTAAGGTTAGTGCTAGGGATGCTGTGCCCTAAGTGTATGTGCTGACCTTCTGTATGCGGTGAGAACAGCTCAAGGACTCTGGCTTGGCTGTTCCCACTGGCAGTTAAGTACCCAGGCGTGCCAGTTCCTGCTATACATGAGCCTCCCTACCTTCCAGCAAGACAGAAGCCAGCAAGGGCAATCAGCTTGAGACAAAGTAGCCTTAGGGAAGTGTATTGAGAAAGCCCAAGGTTTTTTCCTTTAGTTCCAAACTAACTTATATGCAAATGTGGTTTAAGTATAATGGAGAATTTCTCCAACCTAAGGTTAAACTCAGCTCTTGCCCAGAAGCCCTCAGAAAGCACAGTGGTCACTATGAACAAGTAGGGCTTTTGGGTTAGAATAAGAAAGGCCATCCAGGAATGGGCACCATGAGGAAGATATGTAGTGAGGTGAACTTGTGGGGATGCCGAACACAGGGCTCAGTAACAAGGAACTGAGTGGTGGTAATGCTAGGAACAAGGAGTCTCCATTCTAGCTAGATCCCTATGGCAAAGACAGCCTTGAGAACCATTGAGGGCTGCTGTAATCAGCTGGGTCACTAGTCACACAATGCTAGGGCAGCTCTATGCTCATGGAATCACTAGAGCCGTGGTAGGTGGGAAAGGCCATTGGTTTCCAGAGGGCACCTAACCCTCTGAGGAAGCAGGAGGGCAGAGACCCAGAGCTGTTTCTCACATGATTTGTCAGGATTTGCATGGGGACCCAGTTCCATTATTGTGCTTTGTATCCAAACTCGGCACACACACACACACGCACAAAGTGGGGTCCAAGATGGCAGTGCACTTGGAGCCCTGTTGAGAGAGAGACTGAGACCTCCATCAGATGCTGTGTCATCTCTTGCCTTGGTCAGCTGCATAGCAGCAGCACGGCCTCTTTTGAGATCCAGAGCAAAAAGGATTCTCCTCAGTGTTGTCATGGGATGGGTGTGGGATGCTGAGCCCTAAGGGTAACTGGCTGCACCTGAGGCCAGAGAAATGACACTTATCAAGGTATAAGGGACAGTGGGTCTTGAATGTTCTCTGTCCCGTAGACTCTTGAATGGTAGTGAGTATAGTGACTAGGCTCACACCTTCTCTGGGCATCATAGGGCCACTGTGACCACTCAGAGCCTGCTCCTGTCACATGAGGATTTTCCTCCAGCACATGGAGCCCAGTACTAGAGCACAAGGAGTCTTAGGGCAGCATGATACTAAGTCCTCAGCTAGAACAGAACATTTATGCCAATGCCTATATCCCCATTCTCCTGGGGTGTACGTTGGTTTGGCCAGTTGGTGAGTGGTAAAGGCAAAAGGCCCATGTAACATCTTTTGGGGAGTCTGGCTGACATGGAACTACCTGAACTCAAGAGGAGGTGAGACTTCAAAGATACCTTGAAGCAAGTGTGGATGTCATAGTTCACACATAATCTGTTAGTAAAAAAAGACAATTATGAGAACCTAACTCAAAAAACAAAGTATATATTATGGACAATGTGGTGGTAAGGACACCAACCACAGCCCAGTTCTTCATACCCTGCAGGAAGCTGGGCCTCAACCTCAAGAAGCACCTTGACTGCCCCTTTCCTAGTATAACATGCATTTATGGCGAGGCTGAGCCTGACACCAAGGCTGATTGCCAACAAGAATCAATGCTGACCTGGGCAGGCTAAAAATATGTTGATTGCCAGTTCTCTAAGAACTGGAGTGTTTCTTCCAGAAAAGAAAGCATTGGGGAAGAGAAAAGATATTTAAGGGAGATGTGGTAAATATTTCTGTTCTCCAGTTAAAATGTCCTTTACCTTAAGAAATAATACCAAGATCACAGGAGTAAGTCCCAGTGTGTGTGTGTGTGTGTGTGTGCGCGCGCGAGTGTGGACAGCTCTATCTGGTGGTCTGTCAGGGATGCCTCTTGAGTCGATCTGTTCATGAAGACAAAAGAATGAGACATGCAGGGTAGGTGCCCAGGTTTCCAGTTCTCCACCCAAGTGTTTCGTGGTTTTGTCTGAAGAACCAGCCCTAAACTAGAGTTGAGCTATGACATGATCTTATTTCTCTTATTTTTTCCCCTTTCTCACCCAAGTAAATTTCTACAGGAGAAAGCAAATTCCAGTAACACTACTTCTCAAGGGGATTTTCTCAGGGCCTTCTGCCCTCGCATGCCCACTAATCTCAGGATCCCTCACCTGCACCTGCTACTGAAGCCCACTACACTGCTGCACCAACACCTAACTGCTTCTTCTTCCTCTGTCTCCACCAGAGTCTGAAGGAAGGCCTGACGGTGCAGGAGCGCTTGAAGCTCTTTGAATCCAGGGACTTGAAGAAAGATTAGCTGCATCCATTCCACTGACATCCTTCCCAGCTGGTGGCAGCACAAGCCAAGTGTGGCTTTCATCTCCATCTGTGCTTTCTCATTGTTGCTGTCATTAACTGTGGGTATGGATGCATGAGAGACTGCTGTGGGGTGTTTGCTCCATTCCCTCCCTGTTAATTCCAACTTCCTGTTGTCTTTATCACAGCTTTTTTCCCCATGGTATTCTCAGATTAGTCACGCGCAAGCAGTAGAGTGGGGAGGTTTCCCCACTGATACCTGAGCAAGCCCCCTTGTCCTCCCAGCACACTCACTGTCAGTATTAAGGCACAGCAGCCTGTTAATAAGCTAGCCCTGCCTCAGAGTGCACATGTGGGGACCTGCCAGTGGCTCTGCTCTGCTGCACACAGTGGAGCACCACCCTTGCTGGTCAGAACAGAGCCACCGAACATTCTAGGCTGGCCTGGTTTCTGAAGGGCCTAGGATAGTGTCCAGCCTGGCCCACTTCCTTTTGATGTGGGAGGAGGACAGCATCTTGTATTTGGCCCACTAATGCAGCTTAGAACCATACCCAGATAATCCTGGCAAATCTTTCACAACCTGGAAAATGTTGAAAGCAACCATTCCTATTTTGGTTTTTTATTAAATCTTGCACAAAAGCCCCGACCCCTCTCATTCCTTCCTCCGCTCGTGCCTCTCTTGCTGTGCTAATCCTGGTCTTCTGGTGGCCAGGAAGAATGACTTGCAGCCTGAAGCTTCAGACTTGTCAAGTGTGATGGAGCCTCCTCAAGGTCACCTAGAGGAAACATGGCTGGGTTTTAATCTGTCTGAAAAGAATATTGCTTGGGGAAGGGTGAGGAGCAGACCGTGTGTGAGACAGACTATCAGGACTAGTGAAAACAGCAGCATGTGCTCAGGACTCTGATCTGTCTGGGCTCTGGAAGGTTCCCTTGAATTGTCTGCTTCTCATGGAGCCATTGACAGGGAGCCTGTGCTAATTTTGCTTTTCTAGCTGCTGAGTAGGACCTTTCTAACTGCTCAAAGCATTCTACAGCATTTACTTGGAAAAAAAAATTATTTCTATTCTAATAAGCATTCATACTGTAAGACGCAGCACACAAGAGGCCCCGTGTCAAATGGAGAGTCAGTGGCCTCACAACTAAGATTCACGTCCTGGCTTGTTAGTGTTAAGTGGGTTGGATGGTCTCTGAGTATACACATTGAACCCATGAGTCCCCAAATGGTTCTACATGAGTTGAGGTTCAAGGTCATTCACAGTGTCTAGCTGGCCTAATGATAGGCAGGTCGAAATTTTAAGATAATGGATTTGTGACATACCAAAGTGTGCCCCTGACCAGCAGACAAGCCCTGGGCCTCCCCTTTTTTACAAGTTTTTAAGTTGTACACTGGCACATGCTCAGTGACCATTTATGTTTTGGGTATTATGGGCAAGTCAGATCTGTTAAGATGAGCAGCTGTTGCCGGGCAGTGGTGGCGCACGCCTTTAATCCCAGCACTTGGGAGGCAGAGGCAGGCGGATTTCTGAGTTCGAGGCCAGCCTGGTCTACAGAATGAGTTACAGGACAGCCAGGGCTACACAGAGAAACCCTGTCTCTTGAGCTCAGAGTGGGCTGGCCTTCAGGAGCTGTAGTTCTGGGTTGAGGACTCCTGTTCTCTCTCTTTGAGAGGCTGCCCTTGGGACCCTCTAGCCCCATTGCAATTGTGGTTCCTGCAATGCTACAAAGAGCCTGCTGAAGATGCCAAGCCTAGCATTCAAAAGGACATTTGATCTTTTGCTCTTCACCTCAGAATCCTGAGCTTTGCTAAAAATACAAGTACCTGGGCGTCAGAAGCAAGGGCTAGGAGACAGGCATGCTGCACTTAATCTGTCACTCAAGGCTCTTACTCCAGGCTTATTTTTGCTGTGATATAGCACACCACACTGCTCCAGGGCTTGGTTTCATGTGTGAGTATTTGATTATGTTGGCCAAATGCTGAATTGGTACAGGACAGAGATTCCTGGATCATCTCCCACTGTCCAAGCCAGGCTGAACAGTAATGTGTGGATCAGGGTGAATCTTGAGTTTCTTGGTGGTGACACTTCTGGCTTCTGGCAAAAGTGAACCAAACAAGCAGCTGGCCTTCCTGAGTCCCTGATGGCCATGCAGGCCCACTGCAGCAGTTTACTTTGGACTGACACATGTCCTCTGTCCATTCCCTTCCCGCACTCCCCGAGCCAGGTTCACTTTTTTGCCTGACCTCCCTACAGGCTTCCCATCCCCTGGAAAGAAGCTGAAGCTGGTGTATTCAGAGAAGACGTATCCAATGTGCAGGTGGAGTTGGTCCAGGCATATGTAGAAGAGAATGCTTGGCTGAGGATGGGTAGTATAGATCAAGAAGTCACAGGCTGCTCCCAGTCCAGTCGGTGGGCATGCTTTCTTTCCCCACTTGATGATAGGAACAGAATTTTATTTTCCCATAAATACACATTTGTGATCTGCCAGCATCTAGAAGCAAACTGCTATTACAGGGAACATACCTGACTTCATTTGACAGCAAATGTAAACATGCTTAAATTACATCATGCTTGTGTGGTGCCTAGCACCAGAGCAAAGAACACATTTGTCACACAGGGCTACTGGCTGCACCTTTTCCAGTATGGTTGTGGCCACAATGCCAGGACCATGAGAGGAAGCCAGAGACCCATGAAGTAGGGAATTACCAGAGGGAAGAATGCCGGGAATGTGTGGATTCACTGAGTGAAAGCAAAGGTCAGGGTTGACCTCCACTGGATCCAGCATAACACTGAACTGGGCGTAGTGGTTTATGTCTATACTCCCACCACTTGAGGCTCCAAAGTACCAGGTCAGTCTGGACTATATAGCAAGACTGTGTCAAAATACAGGTGAGCTAAGGGGAGATATATAGATATATATAAAAGTAAATCTGGGTTCAACCACAGCACTACAGAGAGCACACTTGTGGTCTCTGGAACATTTGTTCAAAAGGAGCCTGAGGGATTTGACTAGGAAACAAACCAGGTGTGAAAGATATTTGATTGTGTACTACTATTAACTTCCCTACAGGGGGAGATGGTGCACTGACTTATTTTTACCCTGGAAATGCAGAGAACTAAGCAGACTCCTCACTGCAGACACCTAGCTGGTGCTGAGGGAAGTAGCTGGATAGCACACAGCCTATACTGTGTTGTGTGAACCTGGGCATTAGCTCAGATTCCTGCAGGCCTGTCCAAAAGTGGTCTTTCTCCTGACCTCCACCTATGCCCTGGCTCTCAAAGATAAGCTGGATAAGCACCTAGAGGCCCTATGCAGCCTTCCCACTCATGCCATACTCCATGTCAGTACCCAATACAAGCTGCACACCAAAGTCTGCTGGCAGCTACAGGTACAAACAGTCCCCAGATGCATAGTAACACCCAAACCCCAGACTCTGCTGGTGGAGGAACAGTAATTACCTCTTGGCTGATTGTCCTGCACCTGCTATGCAAGAGGGTTAGCTGTGCTTGCTATGCTGTAAAGAGGACATCACCTATTAAGCTACATAGAGACTGTCAGTGTAGGGGCTCAAAGCCTTTTTCACAGGAACTCCCAGCATACTACAGGATAGCCTGTGGCCCTGCACTTCACTTGCTCAGCCTTTTCTGTATATCAGAGCAAGTAATGTTAAGTATTTCTAAGACATGGCACAGGGATTTTTGTGCAAAGTTTGTGTGAGTTTTTACCCCTTTTGAAGGTATAGAAAGGCAGCGTTCAGTGCAAATCCCTCTCAAATATCAAGACCGTTAGTTAGCTAGGCATGGTAGCTCACACATTTAATTAGCACTTGGGAAGCAGAGGCAGGCTAAGTTCAAGACCAATCTGGTCTACAAAGAGAGTTCTAAAAGAACCAGGGTTACACAGCAAAACCCTGTCTAAAAATAAAACAACAAAAACCGACTATATTAATAAGTAATGTCTTTTAACGTTTTGGTTACTCAACAGACTCTGAAGAGTGTATCCTTACCCACACTCCTGGCAAGCCCTAATTCTTGTTTAAAGTATTCTGTGAGACTTGCATGGAGCCACTCAAGGAAAACCAGTAATAAGGAGGGACTTTCAGCACCCTGCCCTCAGGTTTCTCAGGGTGTTTTTGTTAGAACTGGCTAGAAGCATAGGCTGCTTCGGGTCCAAGTGCCCAGTTCTGACAACTGCGGGGCTGGACTTGTATGCAGAGCAGTCCAGCTACCCTGTCTCTAGCTGCCCGACTATATAGCATGAGATTCCAGGTAGCTCCATGGCTGTATTTCTGTACTGGTAAGGAGCTAGCCCATCAGTAGAGCTAAAAATGGGACAGTCCAAAACGGAAGGATTTGAGGGCCTCTCCAGTTTCCCATGAGTCACAGGTTAGCCTGGAGCAGCTTCCATTGTGGGGCAGGACTCCATAGCCAGCATCTGCCTTAAAGAGAGGCACCATTGTTAAGAGTCCTAGCCAGTCCACTCCAGCTTGTCATAGTAGACATGCCATTGGCTCATCTCTCCTCTAGAAGTCAGTCAAACCACACATCTAATTTTATCTTAGCAAGGTAGATTGTAAAGAACACTAAATTGACTATTTTTTGTTTCTGTCACAAACTTTGATTTAAATGGATTTTAAAAATCATTTTAAGATTCACCTTCAGTATTAATGCTTAATTCCAGGATCCAAAACCAGTTCTGTGGTTACTAACCGATGTGGCTTTCTGTAGGTATGCTGTGTAGAATATTAAGAACCCCAGTCACAGTGGCTCCTTGACAATCAGAACTCTAGGTGACCTTCCATTACTGCTGCTTGACTGGGGATGGGGGTGGGGTGAGCGTGTGTGAACAGGGTACCTGGCAGGGCCTCTTCACTACAGCGCGACAGAAACAGGCTTGTACCATCTCACCTGCTATTTAGGTATTTTGTTGTGATACAATCAGTCCAGTTGCCAGACTAAAAGAAAGCGGAGCCTCACTGAGCCAGACAGGCTTCAAGCACAGCTTCTCAGAGCCAGTTTAGGCTTCCTGTATATGCACAGGGTGTGGCTTCCTGCAGATAAAGTGTCCCCCAACTCCTCCTTCAAGATTTTATGGTTCAGTGTAAGGCATTTCCTACAAAGTTTGTCATCAGGTTCACTACAATTGAAATGTTAATTTGTAGAAATATTTATTCCTTTGTGTGACAAGCTAGAGTCCTTGGCTGTAGCTAACCATTTTTATTGTGTAAATACTGCTTGGTTTTACATGAACTGTATCATAATAAACTATTTTTGCATTGCCCTCTCCATGCATATGGCTGCTGACTCTGCCAGTCAAAGAGCAGAACCTAAAGTCCTGAGTCGTAAGTGTACTAGAGACTAGAATGGGCTGGATAGAACCTGTTGCTCCCCTCTACAGTGTTCCCCTGAGTTCTCGTTTTTTCAGGATATTTACATTAGATTTCACATTAAAAGAGATTTTACATTTTTACATATAAGCCATAATATTTTTTGTCTAAAGTCTATGGTACTTTTGACTTGGTATAGAAACTTCGGGGGTTAAAGGAACAGCAAAAAAATTCTGATGGGGATTCCTTCATTAATCAAGATACTATAACTCTTCATCGTAGCTCTCTTGTGTTTTTATTTTGTGGTGCTGGAGCCCAGGGCCTCAAGCATGCTAGGCAGTGCCTCTACAACATGAGCCCTCAAGTTACAGCTCAGACTGGCCTCCTCATCTAGTACTAGTGGGCACCACTCTATCTGGCCTGTCTTTCATGGATTTACCTCCGATTATAAATTTTTTTTTGTTCTGTTTCAAAGCATCATGGCCTAAAATAGCCCAAAATAACAAAATAGTGTTATCTAATTGTGGTAAATCTAAATCCTTGATGGTTCTATTTCATTTTTTGTTCATTAAGTTTAGAATAAACAAGGCCAGACATAATGGCTGTCAACCTGGTGATTCCAGCCCATGAGAGGCTAAGGTGAGAGGTTTCAGTTTGAGGCCAGCCTGGGTTATATAGCAAGACCCTGTCTATCCCCATAGCAACCCCCCCCCCCAAAGAAAAGGTAATAACTGGGTTTTTCAATATTGTCACAAACCTTATAATAAAAGTATTTGGAACTGACTGGAAATACAAAAGTTTTTTCTACTAATTAGTAATCAACATAAGTTTATAAAACAGCAAAACAAAGATGTAAAAAGACAAAAGAATAAATACTTTTTAGTATGTTATTGCAGTCGTTTAGGGACTTTTTGTCCATTAAAAACCAATATAGCCAGGCGGTGGTGGCACACGCCTTTAATCCCAGCACTTGGGAGGGAGAGGCAGGCGGATTTCTGAGTTCTAGGACAGCCTGGTCTACCAAGTGAGTTCCAGGACAGCCAGGACTATACAGAGAAACCCTGTCTCGAAAAAACCAAAACCAAAACAAAACAAAACTAATATAGCTGTCTAAAAAAAAAACTATTATAAACAAATGTACATAAAAAAAGAAAAGTTTTGGGGCACTGACCTGATATGATCTGTAGTTTTAGCACATTTTCTTTTCTTTTTTAGAAGAAAGGTGGGGGGAGGGAAGAGATCTGCTGGAAACACATGGGGCGGGGGAGAGGGGTCATAAAGAAAAAGGTCATTGAGAGGAAAGGGTCAGAGACTGTTTTCTTGAAAGCTGTGAGTGCAATTTAAAATTAGTTGGCAAGCCAAACAGTAGTAGTCTTTTATGATTAAAATTGTTCAAAAACCATGAAAAGAATCACCCTTCCTACCCTGCTTATCACAGTCAGTAATGAAAGACTGATAGTTCCCTAGGATTTTGATCTCACTGAAGAAGTCTTCCACCATTTCCATTCAGTATGGCACAGAGGATCTAACCAAAGTAGTTCAGCAAGAGAGAGGCACTGATTGAAAGGAAACAAATAAAGCTCTTCCTTTTAAATGAGCTCTGCTTGGTGCTTGTGTTAGGTAGGCCTCTGAAACCCAGCACAAACAGATGAGGTGCACATTAACGTATCAAAGTGGAGTCTGGCCAGCTCTCCCAGCATCCCTCAGTACCTGTGGCTCCTCCCAGCTCTTCTCACCCAACTCCCTACCCCAAAATTGCCCTTCCCGGAGCTGGTTTTCCACATTTTGCCCCCTAAAACCTGATCCCTATTTAGCCATTTTGGCTACATGACTCGTTTGGCCTCTGCCTACCACCTGTCTTGGTAAAAGCTCCTCTCTTGCTCGTTCTCCTCTCGCTCACTCTCCTCTCCTGTTTAGTGCGCAGGCCATTCTCGGCCTGGTTCTCCTCCATACTTTAGGCAAGTCCTCCTCTTTTTTTTCACTTTTTCATTCAGTTAGCATTACTAAATTTAGCAAGTTAAGCTACAAAGCTCAGTTGTATTTCTACACAGTAGTTCTAAAGACTGAAATAATTCCATTTACAGTAACATGAGTAATAAAAAAATACTCAAAACTATAAACACTGCTGTGAGATACTCCAGCCAAGTGAACAAAAATCAAACCAGATGGAAAATACTTAGGACCACCAACACCAAGATTAAAAGGTCAAAAATCCTTCAAAAGACAGAAAGGGAAAGCAAAACAAAACAAAAAACTTTAAAAAACCAAAAGGACCTAGTTCTGTAGAATACTTTAAAAGAAAATGCAAGTAAGTAATAGAATGGTGTATTGAACAGCTATGGGCACTACTGGGAAATTACACCCAAAGACAGGAAAAGAGGAAAGGAGGAAACATACAGCTCACACTGGGTACCATTGATAATCCAGACCTCCAGCCTTGACTTTAATCCTAATCCCCTCTCATGACCGGCCAGCCATACCGCTCAAGTAGAAGCAATCTCTTCTCTTCCTAAGGTGTTTTTCTTTCACTCGTGATTCCAAGAACATAGCTGCTTCTTTATGAGTGTACACGCCTTATCTCTTTAATGTTTCCTTGCCTTTGGATCTCTTTAGCTGCCTGATAAATTTTTGAGTAAACAACAAAAAACCTACAAGCATCAAGAAATTAAAGATAAAGCCAGATATATATGCCCAAGGATCAGAAAATTCAAGATGGCAGCCCCACTTGATATACAGATCAACATAATCCTTATCAAAGCCCTAGACACCTTTTAATTTTTGCCAGTGATGATTAATTGATATGTTCATTTTAAGATTCACATGGGATATAAGAAGTTAAGAATGTGTTGTGGTTCGTGTTGCCAGTTCTCAAAACAACACATCTAGACTGCTTCAGGCATTACCACAGTGAGATAATGCGGAGCCAGACATAGACCATTAAATTTTATGGTCAGTTGATTTTCAACAAAGGTTTTAATACCACTTGTTAGGGGAAATCATCTTACTGTTGCTTAGACAAGTGGAATGGATGTCCATGTGTACTGTGCCCACCTCACAGCTCTCAAAAGTGTGCACACTGTACCCAGTGCTTAAGTGAGGGGCAGGAGGATAAGGTCAGTCTTAACAGCCATAATGAGTTTGAGACCAGCCTGGTCTACACAGTGAGATGGTCTCAAACAACGAAAGAAAACATATGAAGTGATGTTACTTCATAAGTCTTCACACATTTCTGAAGATAACAAAGCTACTCTACTGAGAGTAACCATATTTGAATGCAGCAGGCTAAGGTAGACATGTAGCAGTTGAGACTCGAAAATATTTATTGAAATATGCCAGAAGTTAAGAGTCCTCAACGACACTGTCACTCAAAGGACACTTTGTGATCTTATACACACACACACACACACACACACACACACACACACACACACTCCTTCCCTTAAGAATCCACAGGCTCCAAAAGGGTAGGAACTTATCCAACATAACTGAGTATATTATACTTTACAGCTTCTGTTAAATCTTTTGGAAAATCAACATCAAGTTTACTTATCTAACACTAAATAAAAGGAACAATAAAAAGTGTGAAAACTGCTGGACATGGTGGTGCACGCCTTTAATCCCAGTTTGTGAGGCAGACCCAGGCAGATCTCTGTGAACTGAAGACCAGCCTGGTCTACATAGTGAGTTCCAGGTCAGCCAGGGCTACACAAGTGAGACCCTCCCCACCTCCTCCCCTGCAACCCCCACCCTTTTTTTTAAGTAAGAAAACATGCATTGTGCACTATCTGCTGTTAAGCTAAAGGACACTTCACCAATCAGACCAGGGAGCCACATGGTGCTGGTCATGCACACAAGCAGGAACAATGACAAACTAGCTCATGTCGCTTGACCTACTTGCATATAAAAAATAATTTGAAACATGTCATAGATGCATGTGAGAAGCTGTTCCTCCAACTCCTGTAAATGCCCACCAGGTAACAGCCTGGGCAATCTGCTTACCTCCAATATTCCCTTTGTCGTCAACTTCTGATCCATTACTGAGCAAAAAGCCATGAGTAAATCCACTGAGTCCACCACAGGTGCTAGAGGCGAGGTCACTCCTAAGTCCACAGTATTGCTCTAAATGTGAGGGGCGTGAAAAAGGAAAAGCAAAACCTGGACACAGCTGCAGGCATGGCCAACTGGTCATGACATGTCTAGACACTGCAGGGAGACAATCCCAGTTGCTGAAGATCAGTATACTATGATGCATGTCTAATGATGCCCAGAAGCCACTGGGCCCAGAAGAGGATGCTGCCTATCTAGGCAACTACTAGGATAGCCTACAGCACTGTCCAACACTGTCACCTCCTTCCTAACTTCTGGTGGGGATGCACACACAGGAAGACTATCGGCTGCTCTCCAGCCAGCCAGGACAGGCTTGTGCAAAGCAGAAAAGAACATCACAACAACAATCTGGAAGACTGAGCAAGGCAAAGCAGCTCAGTGCCCTCGCTGCTTTTGGGGGAAAAAGCTGTACTTGGTGGGGTCAAATTCTTCCCAGATGCGCTCAAACTCCTCCAGGAACAGCCGCACATACTCGGTGTCCTCCATAATCAGAACGTTCTCACGGTTGTTCTGGATGGCCTGTGTGGTCCAATTGAGGGAGCCAGTGATGAGCACCTTCTTGTCAACGATGGCAAACTTATGGTGCATGTAGCCTAGGTCCTGGTCATGCCGTACCTGTATACCTGTGGAGCCAAGACAGCCTTTACTTCACCTGCCCAGGTGCAGCTATCCCCCAAGCTTGCCGATGCCCTGTGTTGTGCAGCTATTCCCCAAGCTTGCCGATGTCCTGTGCTGGAGACAAGGACACCCAGGGGCTGTCCTAGGGTGGTGCTGAGATTACAGAGAGAATCTGAGTCTGTCATCCAGGTCAGCACACAGAAAGCAAGGTCTGGATACCAAACACTCATCTGAGGTCAGCACACCTTTGGGGAACCCATACCAGCTCCACTAAGCCTAAGGTCTAAATACTACCTCAAATCCTGCAGGGGAAGGAGTCAGATAGTTGACATATCCTTGCCTTTACAAGAAAGTGACAAGCACTCACTCACTGGAATGGATAAGCTGAAGGGCAGAACCTGGACAGGAAGGGAATACACAATGGCTTTGGCTGGCTAACTTAAATCACCACCTCCCAGGGTGCCGCACGAGCTGAAAGCAAAAAACTGTGCCACATCCAAACCTGCTGTCCTCACCAATGTTCTGGTTTGGGCTTCTTCCTTTTGAGGGTAAGTTGTTTGGCAGGGATGCTGTGGTGAAACCCAGGTCCTGCACATGCTAGGTAAGTGATCGCCTGTGTCTAGTCTGTCCCACTCCACCCATCTCCTGTTGTCACAGCGAAGCCTGGCAGCACCCACCACACTACAGTTCACCTTAGGCAAGAGGACCTCTTGCTTTAGTTAGACCTCAACAGCTAGTTCCCGACTTGGGCAGTTGCAGTGCTTCTGTACAGCTATCCTAGCCACTCACTTCCTACATGATCTTTGTGAAGTCTTCCAGACCTTTCTGATTTATGTGTTTCCTCACAAATACCTGGTTGAATCAAATACTGCACTTGATGGAACAATCTGGAACTCAGCCAGTTGTGGCCAGAACATCAGTGGAAGTTCCATCTGTGATGGCATATTGGTTCTTTCCAAATCTGAGGTTTTAGGACTCTCCAAAATCTAATACAGTGACACCATCCATGCCTGATATCTACTTGTCCACCACCATAAGGATGATCTGGCTGAAGATCACTTTGTGACTGCCAGTAAGGGGCCAGAGGGGTAGCTGTCAGACTGACAGGGCACTTCTACTCTGCCCACTTAGGTGAGTAGGTGATACACAGCAGGTTGGTGCTGTGGTGCTCTTCCTTCCCTATGAGCTACCTGGAAGTAGACTTGGTTTCCAAAGGCTACACTACTCCCAGGAAGTGGGAAAACAGGCTGTGTGGGGGAAAAAAAAACACCTCAAGAGCCCTACAAAGCCTGGGCATTTCCCAAGGGCTCCCAAACCTGTCACCCACTGTGGGCACAAAGATTAAGCTAGGCAGGTGTGTGGATGGGGGGGTGGGGCACTGACTTGCATAATGGAGTATCTAGCAGTCAAAGTTGGGTGTTCCTGCAGTGCCAACCACTTGAAGGAAGACAAACAAGGGCCGCAGGCTTAGGGAGGATAGCGATCACACCTGTTGCCTGGGCACAACTGCAGGCTGGCCAGACATAACTGTAGGCCCATAGGTGATGGCTGAGAAGCAAGCATTCACCACACTGTAGGGTCCATTTTCCAATAATCACAGAACCTAGTGGGAAACTCACTAATCAACATTGTCACTCCAACTCCCCTGCGGTCACACAGCAGCTAAGGGTTTCTCACTGTCGCCTGGGTTCAAACTGACTTAAGTTTTATCCTCCATGCCTTCACTTCTGTCAGCCATATCAGCCTAGAATCATAGAAACTGAGTCTAAATACGCCTCCAAGATCAAGGCCAGAGTCTGGAAACTGTTGGGAATTCAAAAAGACTAAGAACCTTGACTCCTTGGCCCTCTCATCTCCGCCTGCCTGCCTCCACCTTCTCCCCGAAATGCTACCTGCCCTGGACAAAGCCAGCAGGGGCATCAAATAAGTCCTCAGCCCCTCTGCCAGTGTGCACCCTCGGCGGCGGTTTACCTGCCTTGCGCAGCAGGCCGATCTGAGAGCCGTTGAGGGCCATGTAGTCGCAGTCGGTGATGACCCGCACGCGCACCCCGCGCTGATGCAGCAGCTGCACTGCACGCCCCAGCTGCGGGCTAGAGAAGGCGAAGAGGCAGAGCTCCAGGCTGGAGCGGGCGGCCAAGAGCGCGCGCAGCAGGCGGCTCAGCGAACTCTCGCTGTGTGGGAGGCTGCACGGGCAGCCCGAGGAGGGCCCGGGGGGCAAGCCTGGGCCCTGCAGTAAAGCCTCGGTACAGGTCACCTGTGAGGGGAAGAAGAGCACCTCGCGCCGTGGCCGCCGCCCAGCCAGCAGCCACCGCATCAGCCACGGCAGTGCCTCTAGGGCCAGCGCGAGACCCGCACCAGCCGCAAACACCAACCGCCAACTCGAGCGCCCCATGGCCGCCACCTCAGAGGTCAGCCGTGGCACCATGCGCTTGCGCGCCCAACACGTGCCAGCCCACCCCCAACCCCGGGTGTGCCACGCCCCCTCGTGGGACCCGCCCCCAGCCAGGCGCTAAGCAAGCTGTTGCACACCCCACCCAACATGGCCTTGAGCGCTTGGAGACTGTGCGCTCATCTGTAGACCAGGCTGGCCTTGGACTCAGAGATTCACCTGCCTCTGCCTTCGAGTGCTGGCATTAAAGGCTTCTTCATTTGACTTCTTTTCCTATGTGTTTCCCTTTAATTTCCTTCCCTTACCTGATTGCTCTAGCTAGAGTTTCAGCATCATATTGAAAAGAAAGAGCCGGGCGGTGGTGGCGCACGCCTTTAATCCCAGCACTTGGGAGGCAGAGGCAGGCGGATTTCTGAGTTCGAGGCCAGCCTGGTCTACAGAGTGAGTTCCAGGACAGCCAGGACTACACAGAGAAACCCTGCCTCGAAAAAACAAAAAAAAAAAAAAAAAGAAAGAAAGAAAGGGGAATAGTGGGATGCCTTGTCCTGATTTTAATGGGGTTTGCTTTGGGATTTTCTCCAATTACCATGTTGTTTGTGAATTTGTACGGTCTACAGGAAGGAGTTATGCACGGTACTATACCTGGACATTTTGGGATCCTGATGCCCTTGAGTCAACAGGCTAAAAAAGGAGTAACTGTTAAGATGTGTGATTAATTCGGATAACTAGGGGGAAATCAGACATCCATTTCACCATGCAAGTAAGGGGATATGTGCAGACGAACATTGGCAGAGGGCTAGCTGGCCATAATGGCAGGGAGGGTACGAAGTAGGGATCACATGTCAACCTCACACTAAAGCGGGGGTAGGGGGATGGGGGTGTGTGTGTCTGGGGGGAGGACTGGAAGTGGGTGAGGCTGCCTCTAAATTGCCTCCAGCGATGCGCTGCTTCTTCAAGACTGCACAGCTCTAAAAATTTCATTAACCTCCCTAAGCAAGACTACCAACTGGAGACTAAGTTCAAGTACATGAATCTATGGGGGTCTTTTTTCATTCAAACTACCGCAAACACATTACCTAAGATCGAGTAATTTATTTAAAAAAAAAAAAAAAACAAGAGTAGGGAGAAGAAGAAGATGATGATGATGAAGAAGAAGAAAGTGAAGTGTAGGGTCCATTAGATGGCTCAGCAAATAAGGATCCTTGTCAAACTTGGAAAACCTACCTGAGTTTAATCCCTAAACTCATGAGAGAGACAACTCCTCCAAGTTATCCTCCGACCTTCTTGTGTATGCTGTGATACAGGTCTCTCTGTCTGTCTGTCTCTCTCCGCCTCTCTCTCTCCATCTCTCTCTCTCTCTGTGTCTCTCTGTCCCCATGTCTGTCTGTCTGTCTGTCTGTCTCTCTCTCTCTCTCTCTCTCTCTCTCTCACACACACACACACACACACACACACTTGAAAAAAAAACTTAAATCAATTATCAGGCTGAGGGAATAGTACATGCCTTTAGTCCCAGCACTTGGCCAGCAGGTGTAGCTCTGGGCGTTTCAGACAGGAATACATGGTAAGATCCTGTCTTTAAAAAGGAAAGTCTTGGGAAGGAGAGAAATAGGTCAGCAGTTAGGACCTCTCTGCCTGCTCTTCCAGAGGACCTTAGTTTGGTTCCTATCACTCCTGTTGGCACCACCTGTAACTCCAGCTCCAGGGGATCCAACACTCTGCCACAGGCACTTGCACTTAAGTAACAGACCCATACAAAGACACATACATAATATATACACATAATTTAAAATAAGAATATGGGGCTGAGAGGTGGTCCAGTTGTTAAGGAGACTGTTACTTTTGCAGTGGATCTGCGTTCAGTTTCCCAGTGCCCACAGCAGCTCATAATTGCCTAACTCCAGGACCTCCTCAGCCCTCTTCTGGCCTCCACGGGGCCTGAATGCATTTGATGGACAGACACATGCAGGCAAAAGACACATATGCAGTAAAGAAATAAAACCAAAATGTACATCACACAATTATAAAAATAAGTCTTAAAAAATAAATTATTTTGCTCACAGTTCTGGGGCCTGGGAAGACCCAGAACATGACAGATCCTTCTGACAAAGGCCCCTGTTACTGCGGAAACAGAGCAGCAAGTGGGGCCACACGGAAGAAGAAAGCCCAGCTCAGGAAGCCAGACCCACTTCTCCAACAGCTTGCTCTGAAAAGCTGCTTTAAAACAGGCACTGACGCCCTCCCCTCTGCCTGAGACTTCACAGATTGAAAGGACCTCAAAGTCAGCACAAGACCCCAAGACCAAGTTCTTAGCACAAAGGAGATTTATTTGCTTCAGAGGGAAAAGGGAGGGGAATAAGAGTCAAAGACAGGAGATAGAGGATGAGGGGAATGGAGAAAGGCAGGGGGAGAGGGTTTCGAGGAGGAAAAAAGGACTGCCTCTGGATAGAGAAGAGACAGATGTAGCCTGTAGGCAAATAGCAGTTTATAAAAGAAAAAGAGGAAAACCCTTGTTAGATAAGGTGTCTCATTTTGATTGGGCATGTGAAGGGAGCCAAAGGGAGCCTTTGATTTCTGGACGTTGGTAGAGGGCCTCAGAGGGAGGAAGTGTCCAAATAAGGACATAGACCTTGGTGCTTGGTTTTGGGAGTGTAATATAATGGCTTTTAGCATGGAAGAAGGAGAGGCGGGAGGGCAAGGCCTACCAGAACCATGTTTGCCATGCTTGGGGCCTGCTAGAGTCCCACTTGTGTGTCTATTCAGGAAGCTGCCAGTGTAACAAACGCCTGAGACAACCAACTTATAGTCTTATTGTGCCCATAGCTTTGGAGGTTTCGGTCCATGGACATATTCACCCGGTCTGTGTCAAGGGAGCACACTACGGTGGCTGAGCAAAATACCCACCAATGGCCAGAAAGCAAAGGCAAGGAGAGGAATTTATCCCTTACTCCAAGGGCATGGTATCAGTAACCAAACGGCCTCCCACTAGGAGCTCTTAAGGACATAGGTCCTCCTAAACCAATGGTTCTCACCTAATTAGGGTTCCTAATGCTGGGATCTCATGTTGTGTGACTCCAACCACAGAATTGTTTTTGTTGCTCCTTCATAATTATAATTTTTCTACTGTTATGAATCATAAATATTTTTGAACACAGAGGTTTGCCAAAGGGGTGACAACAATACCACCGTAGTGTGCTTCCTTGACACAGGCCTGGTGAATACGTTCATGGACCGAAACCTCCAAAACTATGGGCAAAATAAGACTATAAGTTTGTTATCTCAGGCGTTTGTTACACTGGCAGCTTCCTGAATTGAGTCCTCGGATTGAGAACAGCTGTCCTAAACAGTGCTAGGCCGAAACGTGGACTCTGAGGGGACAGAGTCAATACTATTCTTGGGGAGATATGCACAAACATTCACTCACCCCAAATAAGGAGCTGACAACAGGCTAAAGTTTGGATACAGTCCAATAGATACCATCCGAGGCGGACCAATGAGTTTTACTGGAATTGCTTATAGAAGCAGAAACGCTGCATCACCAAAGCCCACCCCGACATGGACTCACCGCTGATTTCTCAGCCCAGCTGACCAGCATCAGTTGTCCCAGTAAAACGCAGTTTTCACTCTAGTGTTCTGGTCTCTTGTTAATCACAGCTGATCCTTTAGCTACAGCTGACCAGAACCACCGATTCTTAAAATAGCAAACAGCCCCGACAGACTCATTAGGGACTCTGAGCCTTCGCTCTGAGACCTCATAAGCTGGGCCTCGCTGTCTGCATTGCTCATAACATTCCTATCTCCAGGCTCCGACAGAACAGCTCATCAAGCCTTGAACATGCAATGTCTTTTCTGGCCCAAAGTTCCAAAGTCCGTTCAGAATCCTCCCAAAAGTACATGATCTGTTATAGCAGTACCCCGCTATCCTGGTACCAATCCATGTCCTAGTTAGGGTTACTATTGCTGTGATAAATCATCATGACCAGAGCAACCTTGTGAGGAAAGGGTTCATTTGACTTAGACTTCCACATCACTGTTCACCATGGGAGGTCAGGACAGGAACTCAAACAGGGCAGGAACATTAAGGCAAGAGCTGAAGCGAGGTCACAGAGGAATGCTGCTCACTGGCTGGTTCCTTTAGCTTGCTCGGCTTGCTTTTGTATAGAACCCAGGACCACCTGCCACAATGAGCTGGAGCCTCCCTAATCAACCACTAATTAAGAAACTGTCTTCTGGGCTTGCCTACAGTCGGATCGTACTGAGCCATTTTCTCAATGGAGACTCCTCCTCCTCTGATAACTCTAGCTTGTGTCAAGTTGACATAAAACATGCTACCACATGCATGTTCTGATGGTTGAGTCAATCCTTAAGAATTGTTTTCAAGGGGCAGGTCCACAGTGGTCCACACTCAGCATCTTGTCCTTGGTCCCTAATGATGCAGCAAGTTTTGCTCTCTGATGGGAAAGCAGGGTGCATTCCCTCCTGTGAGATGGATTCAGAGATGCCTCAGGTTGCATTCCTCCTTACTAAGAGGCTCAACAGCTGAAAGAGCAGACAATCAGAAGCTTTGACTGGACACAGGACAATGATTCAGGGAATGTTACATACTGGAAGACAAGAAGACCTCTTATCCAAAACTTAGAAGATACAGACAGACATCACTTTCCTTCACCCCTCCAAGACCACCCAGGCCAGCATGGCTTCCTACTCTGAGCTGCTGGGGCACCCCCATGTTCCAAGACCGCCCTCTCATACCCATGCCTCTGATACCTTCTTCTAATCTGTAGAGACTGACCTATTTCCTGAAGCTGGGCACCATTAGACAAACAGGTCTTACTCTGTAGCACAGCCTGGTTTAGATGGTCTCAGACTTATAGCAATCCTCTAGCCTTAAACCCAAGAGCTGGCACTTATAGGACTGAGCCATCATGTTCAGCCCTGTTAACAATGGACCACATACACAATGCAAGCCATGTAAGATTCTATTGTCCAGTGTCTGAATCCATCTGAGCCTGCAGGTGTACCCTATGAAGCCTCCCTCAGCCCCACCGGTACACATGATACACAGTACACACAGCTGCATCTCCTCGATGGAACTGGATTGATTAATACTTATCTATCCTAGGGTTTTACTGCTGTGACAGACACCATGACCAAAGCAACTCTTATAAGGACAACATTTAATTGGGGCTAGATTACAGGTTCAGAGGTTCAGTCCATTATCATTAAGGCAGGAATATAGCAGCATCTAGGCAGGCATGGTGCAGGAGGAGGTGAGAGTTTAACATTCTCATCTGAAGGCTGCTAGCAGAATATTGGCTTCCAGACAGCTAGGAGGAGGGTCTTAAAGCCCATGCCAACAGTGACGCACCTACACCAACAAGGCCACACCTACTTCAACAAGGCCACATCTTCTAATAGTTCCACTCCTTGGGCAGAGCATATGCAAACCATCACATTCCACAATCTGGCTCCAATAGGCTTGTTCAAATATATGAGTCTATGAGGGCCATACCTAAACATAGCATAATGCAAAATACATATAGTCCAACTTTAAAGGTGCCCACAGTCTATAGCAGTTTCAACAATGTTAAAAATCCAAAGGTCCAAGTCTCTTCTGAGATTCATCCAATCACTTAACTGTAATCCCCAAAGCGAGACAGGAAACCAGCTGGACAAACTCCAAACTCCATCTCCATGGCTGATGTAAAAGTGGTCTTCAGATCTCCAACTCATTTTTCATCTTTGTTGACTGCAACAAACTTCTTTCTCCTGAGCTAGTTCGGCTCCCTGTTAGCAGCTTTCCTCAGCAGATAGCCCTGATAGATGGCTCTGGCACCTCGAACATCTTGGGGTCTCCAAGACAGCTTCAATGTTACAGCTTCTTGTTTCAGTGTCTGGGATCCACACATGATCTTCTGGACTCATCCAAAGGGCTGGCATCACTTCTCCAGCTCTGCCTTCTGTAGCACTCTAAGCTCAGGTTGATCTATTTCACTGCTGCTGCTGTTCTTGGTGATCATCCCATGGTACTGGTATCTCCAATACTTCTGCTGCAAGTAGGCTTCACCAATAGCCTCTCCTAGACGCTCTTCATGGTGCCAAGCCTCAGCTTCTTTGCATGACCCCTTTAGTCCTGGGCCATCAACTGCAACTGAGGCTGCACCTTCACCAATGGCCTTCCATGGCCTCTCACAGTGCCAAGCCTCAGCTGCTCCTGATGACCCCTTCATGCCTTCAAAACCAGTTCCACCTGAGTGACTCTTACACATTACCAACTCCAGCTGCAGCAAGAGGTACAATCTTGGCTATCTCTAGAACACAGCTTCTTTGTGCTCTCAGAAAACACTTCCCAAAGATTTCACCTCAGTGATGCTGGTCTCTTCTTAATCACTGCTAATTTCTTAGCTCCAGCTGACCAGCATCAATTGTTCCAGTGGTCCCTTCTACTCTGGACTCTAAAGCCAGAGCCACGTGGCCAAAGCTGCTGAGTTCTGCTGCTTGCTGGGGCTGGAACATGGTCCCCTTGTTCTATGACATTATCGCCAGCTTTCTGTTTTCCAACTCCTTCACTGCCTAAGCTTGGCTGTTTTGGAACTTGCTCCATAGATTGACTTTGAACTCAGAAACAATCTCCTGGCCACATATTAAAGTTCTTCTCCACTGAAACGTCTTGGGCCAGCAGGCCTACACAGCTCAAATCACCTCAACAACACTATCTTCCATATTCCTACTAGGATGGCCCATTAAACCCCACTTAAAACATCCCATGGCTTTCCAAATCCAAAGTCCCAAAATTCACATTCTTCCAAACAAAAGCATGGTCAGACCTATCACAGCAGTACCCCAGTCTCTGGTACCAACTTCTTCTTCTTCTTCTTTTTTTTTTTTTTTTTTAAGGTTTGAAACTGGGAATCTTTTTGTTTTGTTTTGTTTTGTTTTGGTTTGTTTTGGTTTGGTTTTGGTTCTGGTTTTTTGAGACAGGGTTTCTCTGTGTAGCCCTGGCTGTCCTGGAACTCACTCTGTAGACCAGGCTGGCCTCGAACTCAGAAATCCACCTGCCTCTGCCTCCCAAGTGCTGGGATTAAAGGCATTTGTCCTGCCTGGTGGGAATTTTTTTTTTAAATTTATATTTATTTATTTTTTTAAATGTTAATCAAAGGCTTTATAAGTTTGGTAATGCTCAATAACAAGATAACCATACAGTCAGAAGTGTAACCCAATACCCAGCCTACATATACCAACTATACATATACCAACTATCTTTGACTGGCAGAGACAGTCTCCATGCTCCCCACCCCCTCCCTCTCTCCCCACCTCTCTCTCTCTCTCTCTCTCTCTCTCTCTCTCTCTCTCTCTCCTCCTAGCTCCTCCTCTCCTTACTACTCCTCTTCTTCTCCTTACTCCTCCCACCGTACCTCCTCCTACAGATCACCCTTCCTGTTAAGATAAAACTTTTCTCTCAAAATACAATTAGAGCATAACTATAACAATTTACATCAGTAAGATACAAGATAGACCTAATACCCAGTCCATCATTTTGTTGACTAATCAGAACCTCTGTCATCTCTCCTAACTAAAAGACTTAGTTCTGAACCTGGCTTTGTTCTTGGCTTTAGAATGAATGTCAGCTGAAAACCATCCTCTCAAGTCTTTTCTCTCAAAGTAAATAGCTGGGATTGGCTATGAGACTATAAGTCTTCAACCCCGTCAGAAATCCAGAATGACTGAATTAACTGAAATTATGGGAAGCACAAAGCATAGCTTCTAAAACTTAGCCAATTTATAGAGACCTCTGAACACCTGGACAGTCCCAATACTACAAAACGTTGGAGCATCTGATCTTCAGCCTTCTGGCCCAGGATCATCTGACAGACCTAGTGATGCAGAATTATTAAGGGCTGATTACTCTGTCTTGGCAGATATAATCAGTCGACTATTCCGCAAGTGTGTCCTTTTCAGAACAGTAATTTGTAGATGAAAAGAGGCAATTCTTGCCTAGTAGCTGTCTCATCACAACTGGAGTAACTCCAAAGATGCTCAATTTTTTCTTAGAATCCAAGACAGGAAGCTGTCAGGAGCAGATAGGTCTCTAATCAAAATGAATCTTAATGCAGAAATGTTTGTAACGTCAATTCTGTGGACTTCTGATGTTTTGAAAACTTGGTACCAACTTCTTAGTCAGGGTTTTATTGCTGTGAACAGAACAGACACTGTGACCAAGGCAACTCTCATAAGGACAACATTTAATTGGGGCTGGATTACAGGTTCAGAGATTCAGTCCATTATCATCAAGGTGGGAGCATGATGGCATCCAGGCAGGGATGGTGCAGGAGGAGCTGAGAGTTCTACATCTTCATCTGAGGGCTGCTAGCAGAATACTTGCTTCCAGGGAGCTAGGAGGAGGTATTAAAGCCCATGCCCACAGTGACACACCTACTCCAACAGGATCACACCTTCTAATAGTGACACTACCTGGGCAAAGCATATACAAACCATCATAGTATCTAACATAAAAACATGTAGTCAGTGGTTTACAAAAATACAGATTTATTGTGTTTCAACATTCTTGCAACTGTACAGAGACCAAGAGACATAAACGTAGTCTTCATGTTAAATATAAACAAACACCAAAAATATTATAAAAACAAACTGGGAAGGCTTTCAGGAAATCTTTCCAAGCTCCATCCTTATTAAACTGCAATGGTGAGAGGTGGTCTATCTTAACACGGTCATAGTCTGTAGTCGCTGGTTAATGCTACAGCAGCAACAAAGAAAGCAATGTAATGCTCTGATGGCTCAGTTCTGTAATCCCAGCACTTGGGAAGCCGAGGCAGGAGGATTGCTACAAGTCTGAAAGTAGCATAGGCCACACCGTGAGTTCTAAACTGGGATAAGATACAGAATAAGACCCTGACTCAAAAACTAAAATTAAAAAAAAAAAACAAAAACAAACAAAACAACCATGGTTTTGATGTATCCACAAGCTGGCGAGCTGAACAGAGGCCACAGGTGTGCACATGACCTAAGAAACCATCAACCCAAAGACGAACGATTCAGGATGCTTGCTGTCTTCCACGGTGGGAAGGTGTTGTCCTAACCCCCACGAGGACACCCTGCAACAGCAAGGCCTCAGAGGCAGACTGATCGACTCCTCTCAGTTCCCAGCCTTTGTCCTCAGGAAGCACAGAGCACATCTCACCAGTTCCTGACAGGGCAGTCTGATGCAGAGGGACCACTGTTTCTGTGTTCCCTACATTTCAACATGGGCTGAGAGAGCCTCAGAAGGAGGGTGAAGCCTAGCCCTTAAGTCTTCACTCCTCAAATAGGGCTTCACTCCAGCAGTCAGAAACCCAAGGGCAGCCTTTCCCACAGAGCTGGTTTGTACACCACCATCCAGAAGGTGTTCAGAGTCAGTTCCGAGACTCTGCAGCTGTGGGGCTTCGGACTGTGGACATGAGATGTGACTTGTAGGTCTTGCTCAGGCCTGTCATCCAGAACTTCAGCAGCTTAACATTGTCCTCCTCTGATGCGCCCAAGACGCTCAGGAGCTTCTGCGTGTCCTCCTTGGGGCGACTGTCTACCTTGGTGAATTTAAACAGGACTTTCACTTTGCTGCGGAAAACAAAGACGAACACTGAGACCCACAGCTTAATCAAGCTCTCCTCATGCGGCCCAACTTCTAGGCCAGGGCAAGCTCCGCAGGCCCCACTGGAGCTACAGTATGCCAAGCTCACCCCAAGCAAGGCCAGGTCACCACTGTGGCTAAAGAAAATAGCGTGCTGCAGTCTCAGCTACTCAGGAGGCTGAAGCAGGAAGATTCCTTGAACCCAAGGACATTCAAAGCCTGGTTGGCTAAGACCCGGTGGGGTGGGGGGCGGGAAATCCCTCTCGAAAAAGAAGAAATTTATGAAGAAATACTGTTCCTGAGTTTTCACTATTTATCTGAAACCAGGAAGATGCTCAACTAGTTCAATTAATTTGATAAAATATTACCAAGACTCAAGGCACAAGGCAACAAGTGACTTTCCTTTATAAACTTGTAAGGCCGCCTGCCCAGCTGCACCTGACTGAGCCCTTGTCTAGGTCGGCCGGCCACTTAGCACCCTCCAAAACCAAAAGGGAATTAAGGAATAACGAAACAGCTCTTGTTCAGAACCTCTGTCACACACCAGCATCAAATCTCAGGAGCTGCAACCTCTTCTCAGGACGCAGGGTCCAGGGCAGGGGACACTGGGTCACTTCCCACGGCAGCAAACTCCTAAGGAGCAGGGCCGGGGTCTGACCTCTATTCTTAACTCTCACGCTCTCATGGGATCCCGCAGGACACAGCCTGGCCTCTTTTTTGTTTGTTTTATTTTTTTCCAGACAGGGTTTCTCTGGGCAGTCCTGGCTGTCCTGGAACTAACTAACACACTAACACACACACACACTCTCTCTCTTTTTTCTCTCTCTCCCTCTCTGGAGACCAGGCTGGCCTCAAACTCAGATATCCACATGCTTCTGCCTCCTGAGTTCTGGGATTAAAGGTTTGTGTCACTACCACCAGATGCCTGGCCTCTTTTAACATGCAGATTCTACTTTCTGACATGAAAGCCCACTGCCACAGAGCTCCACCCCTTGGCATCCCCACCCTCAACCCCACCCACCCTCTACCTACCCCCCCCCCCACACACACACACAGCTGGAGAAGCTGTCAAGGCAAGGCTGGGGCTTACTTCATCCACTCCTCCTTGAGACAGATGAGGCACTGGTCCACCACATCCACAGACAGGTTCTGGTTGGTCAGAGCTGCTTCAATCTTATTCAGGATAGTGGGCCCAACTGGGGATACAAACACTGGATGAGGCAGAGGCCCTGGTGGCGCCCCTCCCCGCCCTGATGAATGGAGACAGCAGAGGCACCCACCTCTGTCTGCAGCCACAGGGCTACCACTGGTCACCACAAACTCATACTTGCTGAGGGACTGGTCGTCCTCGCATCCAGCAGAGTGGAGGTTTGAGCGAGTAGCTGTGTGTACCTCCACAACAACTACGAATTCTGTAGAAACAAAACACATGCTAGCTTGTAAAGTGTCCCTTGACCTCACTGCAAGCCCCCTCCCCCCCAGGCTTAAACATCAGGGACAGGCCTCCTGTGAGCTAAGGGGCTTAATGCCTTTTTGCACTTACTTCATTAATCGAGTTAAAGGGTAATTCTTGCCTCAGTTAAACTAGAACATAAATTACATATGTAAGCTCATTCTAAGCTGCACTCTGGGAATGGTCTCCCTATTATGCTAGCCTGTAGATCGGTGGTTCTCAACCTGGGGGCTGTGACCCTCTTGGGGTCTCCTAAGACCACTGGAAAACACAGATACTTACATTACAATTCATAATAGTAGCAAAATTACAGTTGTGAAGTAGCAACAAAAGTAATTTAATGGCTGGGGGTCACCACAGCATGAGGAACCGTATTACAGGGTCACAGCATCAGTGAGATTGAGAACCACTGCTGAAGATGCAAACTGCCTTGAGGGTTTGGGGGCCACACAGACACAAAGCTGGTGGTGTGGGAACTTTACAGTCAAACATCTCTGCACAGATTAGTCCTAGTGCAAACAGAGGGCATGGCTCCAGGGGCTCAGGACAACCCCAGGACATCCTAGCTGGAGCTACAGAGTACTGTCTTGCCTTAATATCTGTGACTTGGACCCAGATGCACCCCTGGGCTGGATACAGGAGCCTCTCAGAGCAGCAGGCAGTATGTGTCTCACAGAGGGTACTTACCCGAGGCCAGAACATGAGCAGGGATAGGCACGGGAGGGCTGAGCCCTAGGAAGTTACAGCGATAGGCCTCCTCATACTGGCTGCTGTAAGGGATGATTCGGACACAGCCTACAGGCAGCATGGTCTGTGGACAACAAGGCTGCTCAGAATCCATCCAGCAAAAGTACACCCTCTGCAGCTGGTTCACAGCCTCCCTCCTCAGTGTGTCCATGGTGTCTCAGCCCATATGTAGCCTTCCGCCCAGATGAGCCCAATTCTGTCCTGAGGGGGCAGTCATCGATCAATGCTGACATGTGCGGCCTCTTCCAGGCTCCCTGCCCACTGAGATGCTCGCTGCATGGAGAGGCACTTGTGTGTTCTGGCAGCCAGCAGACATGCTGAGATGCTCATGGTGACACCACCACCCCAACTTGACAACAGCCACGCAGCATCAGCAAGCACAGTTCTTGCCCAGGTAACTTCTCAGAAGAATTTCAGATTGAGGAAGGGGAGACAGTGTAGCTGTCAACAGTGACAATGAAGGCTCCTTCCATGGAAGTACCAATGCCCGCCATCATCACCAGGCAAAGAAAACCAATTCTGAGGCTCTGCACTGGTTGTACCCCTAAATAGTCTGCCCCAAGTCAAACATTAACACACGGGGGAAGGTTCTCACCCGGAGGACTTCAAATGCGGAGTGGACCAGGTTCATATCTCTGCTTTTCCAGATCACCTGATTTCCCATGAGGACATGCCAGGCCAACATACGAAAAGATGGGGCGCCCAAGACCTGAAATACAGCACGTGGTTCTTTAGGCTTTTTATAGGAGCTAAATTCTCTTTCCCGGGATACTGGTGACCTGCTAGAGGCTGACAGGGGCAGGAGAAGTCACCAGATTCCAAAGGTACTACATTTTTAATACACCTCCCCGTACACTAAGAGAAGTATGAAGCAAGCCAGGCGGGCAGTGGTGGCACACACCTTTAATTCCAGCACCAGGGAGGCAGAGGCAGGCAGATCTCCGTGAGTTGGAGGTTAGCCTGGTGTCTAACTTTTGCAGCCTTTGCCCTCTCTAACACGCTGTGAAGCTGCAGAACCTTGAAGCGAATGTCCGGCTCACCACACCTGCCCAAGCCAGCTTCCTCCGATGCTGAGGCCATCACAGGATCAAGCCTGCTTTTTGTTTATGGTATCTTTGTTTTTAATCCAAACAGCCTTCCCCCGCCACACCCCTAACCCCTGCCTGTGTCACTGACAATCAGGAGGTACCTGTTGTTTCTTGAGGCCAAACAGGAGGTTGAAACTAAACAAAACTAAGAGAAACAGAGGCTACAATATGTACTTTACAAAACCCAAAGCTGCAGATGGCAATCCCTGCTACTGTTGACCTCAGAAGAATTCCCAAAGCCAACGCAGCCCCTGGAGAACAAACACCTCCCAAGCTGAAACCCTAGGGCTCAATCCATTTGCCTGGGGATCGAACTTAGGTCTTTATGGTTGCCAGCACCTTTACCCTGGGGGTCATCCCACTAGACTCCCCAGTCTCCAAAACAGAAATAATTCCTAGCTGGTCAAATTAATATTCATTGAAAAATAAATAAATAAGGTGAGAGATACGTCTCAGCCTCTGGCCTCCACGTGTACACTGTGGCATGTGTGCCTCCACACACAGTGATAACCGCAAATAAAATTTAAAAATTCTAGGTTAAAAATAAAAAGAAATCTAGTACAAAAAGTAAACCTGGGGCTGGAGAGATGGCTCAGTGGTTAAGAGCACTGGCTGCTCTTCCAGAAGTCCTAAGTTCAATTCCCAGCAACCACATTCTGTAATGGGATCTGATGCCCTCTTCTGGTGTGTCTGAAAAGAGCTATAGTGTACTCACACACATAAAATAAATTTTAAAAATTGTTAAAAAAGAAAGGAAGGAAGAAAGGAAGAAAGAAAGGAAAAAAGGAAGGAAGAAAGAAAGAAAAAGGGCTGGAGAGATGGCTCAGTGCCATCTGATGCCCTCTTCTGGCACACAGGTATACATGCAGGTAGAATGCTGTAAACATAATAAATAAATAAATAAATAAATAAATAAATAAATAAATAAAATAAAGAAGCAGATACTTATCTGCTTAAAAAAAAAAAAAAAAGTCGGGTGGTTGGTGGCGCACGCCTTTAATCCCAGCACTTGGGAGGCACAGGCAGGCGGATTTCTGAGTTCGAGAGTTCAAGGCTAGCCTGGTCTACAGAGTGAGTTTAAAAAAAAAAAAAATTAGTAAACCTGGCGTGCTCGCACATGCCTATACTCCCGCACTTGGTAAGCTATATAGTGAGGTCAAAGGCCACCTTGGATACATGAGACCCTATCCCAAAGAGAGACAACAGTGTAAAGAGGAGACAGTGTGCCTTCACCTGGAGCAGCCCTTGCTTCTCATCTGATCCAACAAAGCACGTTCAATCTCATGAGACTTGTTCTATCTCTGCGAGGCTTGTGGACATACCTCCTGCCTCCTGCTGCCTGCTCACTCTGTGACGCTAAGTAATATTCCACCATCTACACACATCAATAACAGCTAAGGTTGGCATGTAGATTATGCCCAATTTATTACAGGATTGACCATTACTTTAAGGTCTAGCCTGCACACAACACAGGTAATAGTGCTTTTTCGACACCTTCAGGAGGTTCCAGGCTGACAAGGTTAGAGAACCTCAGGAAACCTTATAGACAAACAGATGCTGGGCTGGACAGACAGCTTATCTTCAAAGTACGAGGATTTGTGTTTATACTCCAGTGCTCAAATTTAAGAAGGCAGGCAAAGCATGGTGGCACACACTTGTCATCCTACAGCCACAAGGGGTTGGGAGGCAGATCCCTGGGGCACACAAGTCAGCCAAATAGCATACTGGACAAATCCCACACCAGTGAGATCTCAAAATAGTGAGATACTGTCTCAAAATACAGTATCAATAGCACCCAGAAGGATGACACTCTGATCTGTCTCTACATACACGTACATACACAAACATGTACAAATGCACACACGCATGTGAAACAAACCAACAAACAAACCAGATGCCTAGTCTGTCACTAAAAGAACGCTGCTCCTGCTAAGACAGGCTGATATCCTCTGTGCCCTCAGCCATATACCCACTCAGAAGTTCCCAGTGTGTCCCCTGCTCATAGATGTGGAAGAAGATCAGACAAGGAAGACTGGTACCGTGCAGAGTAGCCTGGGCTGTTCTCAGTTTGGACCACGCCCCTTCTGCTTACCTGTCTCATGTGTCGAAGGGACTTGAAGACGGAAAGCTTTGGGGGTTGCCAGCTCCCACAGGCTGAGAGAAAGGAAGAGTCTGTTGGGCAACTCGTCAGGTCTCGCCCTTCAGCACCCTCTGGCGTAACAGGGGCTTTCTCCTCCTCTTCAGCCTCGGAATTATCCCAACTTTCTGATTCTTCCTCTAAGTCTACAGGACAGACATGGAGTGAGCGTCCCCTTAGATGCTACAGTTTGGTTCTGTGGTTATTTCTGCCTCTGGGTACCTACAGCTATACTACCAATTCCTATCGCATCCCAGAGAGGTCCAATGACTATGTGCTACTGACTGGGCATCTGGGGTGAACGGAGGAAGACTTGGGCAGAAGAGACATCTTAGAAGCTCGACAATGCAGAGTGACAGCATGAGCTTGTCAGCACTGCTCGGCCAGGGGCCGGCCTTGTGCTCCACACACCACGTCACCCCATCTCCCTCTACCTGACAAGACACACGTTTTACTTCCATTAGTCCTCATGGCAGAGCTTCACAATAACATCTTTGCTGCAGGTCACAATGAGAACCAGACAGCAGAGGCAGGGTTTGAAGCCAGTTCTACCCGACTTGAAAGCACACCTGAGCCCACACTCAGATCCTGCATGACACAAACCTGTCTCAATATACGACCCCTGTCTGCCTGCACATCTCACAACCCACCACGACATGACTCTGAGCGTCTGCAGAACCTTCGTGTTTGTGAGCCGCACTATACTCAAACATTCGAAGACTGGACCAGTCATGGGTCTCTATGGATCGGATGATCCATGGGGATAGGAAAGCAACTCTAAGGTTGACTTGACACACTTCTGAGTGTGTCTGGCTCTTGACACCTCACTCCCAGGTCTCTTCATTTTTGAGTACTTGTCAGAGCACAAACATGTGCAGAGTGAGTGCCGACTAGTGACAACCTGGAAAGAACTCCAGCTGCTTACAGTGGAGGAGCAGGCAGCACCGTTAATAACAAACTATGCACCATGTACTGTAAGTGACTGCTGCTTTTCCACCTCTCAGCTGTTGGGGAGGGGAGAAGGGCGAATGGGGCAGGCTGGTGAACTTCAGAACTCTGAACTCAAAACAGTCGCTATGGAAGTCGAGTCAGACCTGAGGGTTACAATCCTGCATTGGGGCCATCCTAGGAAATCAGCCGCACAGGAGTCTAAACCCAGGGTGCAGAGATTAAATCATGGATATAGGGATGTTGTATAGTGATTTCCTCTGAATTGAAACATTCCCTCCAAGGTGAGTCTCATGAGATACAAGTCTCAGGAAGTTCCTGAAACTAACAAGATTCAGAAGGCTTCCCTTCAAGGTTACAGAAGCAAAAAACAATTGCTGAGGAGGAGAGCAGCTGAGGTACCTAGAGAAAACTCTGGCAAGCAAAGCTGCCTGGAGACTGCCCAGGGCAGCTGCCTGCAGGGGACTCTCTAGGGATCCCCAACCTACTTGGGAATAGGCACCATCAAGGAAGACAAGTCAGAATCCTAATATTGTCATCAAGATCATGGGAGTGGTTGTCACAAAGGCTCATTATGCTCATTCACATCCAGACTCCCTCGTACCAGTCCCACTCACCAGCAGCCACAAGCCAGGGGTGCTGCCGCCACTACAGATGGCCCAGCAGAGATAAACAGACTTACCAGCAAGCTTCTCCATCTGCACCAGGGTGTCCTCTGTGGGTGCACCCTCTAAGAGCTTTTCTGTCAGCCGGCTACCACATGCCTTCAGGAGCCTAGAGAATAAATACAATGCTAGTCATGACATATCCTGCCAATCAGAGAATTGAACCTGAGGCTTAGTAAGCATTGGTTCAACACCCAGCTCACAGAAAAGGCCTACACAAGCATACTCCAGGACCGCCTCCCAACCTCCCCCCACCCCTTGCTGGGAAACATTCCATAAGACATGAGTTTGGTCAACTCCATTAAAGGAGATGAGAAAAATGGAGTATGGGAGGTTTGAAGGAACTATTGTTTTTAACTCCAATTCAGAAGTCACTTTTAAGACAAAAGGGAACCCTGAACCTAAGTAGCACATCAGACAACTCTTTAGTTCTGCTATGTGAGGTAATATCCTCATCTATATAATAAGTGTAAAGACACAACCAAAAATATTCTAGACCATTCTCCAAGGAAAAAATTACAAATGACCAACTAGTATGTGAAAAGGTATTCAATATCCTTAACTATCAGGGAAACACAAATTCAAACTACCTTGACATTCCATTTCACAACAGAATGCCTATCACCAGGAAAACAAAGGGCAGAGGCTAAAGAGACAGCTCAGCAGTTAACAGCATTTGCTGTTCTTACAGAGGACCCAGGGTCAGTTCCCAGCACCCACTCAGCGGTTCACAACCATCTGTAACTGAAGTTCTACAGGATCCAACTCTTTTTTCCTGTCTTAGTGGAGAGGTTCCTCCAAATCCATACCATTCCCGGGCATTACCTGATGGACTCCAAACCACCACGGCAGAGATCCTTAAACACTCCTGTTTACTGCTGCTCTACTCACACTGGCCAAGGAACAGACCCAGCCTAGATGCCCATTGACTGACAAATGTGGTCCCGATAAAACAGCACTCTAGAAAGAGCAGTACATCCCTGCCATGCTCAGGGCTAGTGCTCTGCAGGTCCTGTGTGCCTAGACTACTCGGTTTGAGGAACAGGAGCTCCCTGTTCATAAAACACCCACACACCAGACCTTTATTCCAGATACCAGCTGACGGCTCTCCACCAGGAAAAACTCCCAGACCTGAGCTCAAAGCACCAGCTACTGGCTTGGGAGAGCCCTGAGCCAGAAACCTTTTGTCATCTTCAGAGAGGAGACTCAGTGGTCTTCACACAAAAATGTTCGTTGTGTAAGTGCAAAATGAGTTCTACATCCAAGTGTTTCCATCCAGTGGGGAGACAGACGAGAGAATTCTCTGGGTTGGAGCAGACCCACAGAGGCACTCGGGTCAGCCCCACTGGGAGACAGATGGGTGACTTTGGGTTGTTCTAATGGCTTGCAGGGTGCCAGGACCCAGGATTCATTACCAGGCAAAGGAAGTGTGCAGACACGCCCACAAGTTGTCATCACTGGTCAAGGAGGTCAGGGAGCGGGCAGCGTTGCCATTCCTCTGGTGCAGGAAGGGCGTGAAGGCAGTGTTCATCCTCTGGGCACGCTGTGGACATCCAAACTGCTCTGCCTCAAACACCTGAATACAGAGGGTGGAGAAGAGGGCCTCTTCAGGGATGGCTATCACCGAGCCTTTCAGTTACCTCCCCGTCTTTCCAGATTCTCCCACTCTGTTCTCTTGACTCAGAACACAATCTATGCTAGCAGTCTGCTTCTGCTAACCCAGAGGGTTCTGGGTATTCCTCTCTGCCCCTATGTGGCTCCCTTGGCCAGCCTCCCCCTGACAGGCTTATTCCACACACCCAGCAGGTGATGGTCACATGCCTAACTGCTTATAGGAGAATCCTATGTCTTCCAGCCACATTCTAACATGGTCCGGCTGCTCCACCTATCAGGATGAAGAATGAACAGCCTCCTCCTCTACTCCCCAAGGACAGAGCATGGACAAGGAACAGGCCACTGAATCTAAGAGTCTGTGACCAAAGCATGGCCAGGTCTGCCTGCATGCCATTCTGCAGCTGGAGGAGGTGCCCAAGGTGGGGGTCTAGACAAGACTAGAAGACAGTCTGGGTCCTCAAGGGTATAGGAAGTAAAGATACCAGGCAAGAAATCAGAGGTTGAACATCATTTAGGACAACTGGGTGGCTGGGTGGGATGCTTGCCTTTAATCCCAGCACTCGGGAGGCAAAGGCAGGTGGGTCTCTGAATTCAAGGGCAGCCTGGTCTACAGACTGAGTTTCAGGACAGCCAGGACTACACAGGGAAACCCTGTCTCAAAAAAGCAAAACAAAACAAAAACAAAAACAAAAATCCAAGACAACAGGCTGAAGGAGCGCCAGAGTAGTGGGTAAGCTGAAACCAGGAGTTGGTTACAGGCTGGTCGGGAGGGTCACCCATCCCCACCACTAAGGCCAAGACTACAACTCAGGCCCACAGCAGAGGCAGAGCCAAGATGCCCACTGCTGGGCACTCAACATCCACGCCAACAGCCCAGAGCCCCCCGCTTCGAGCATCACCTTGAGGGCCTTGCCCTGGAGCTCACTGATGATGGCGCGGATCTTCCCCAGTAGGAAGGGCCACGAGTTGATGAGGTAGATTCGATCCATCATGATGGCAATGATGCTGTACCAGCGCTGGAAGCCTCTGGCCAGGCTGTCTTTGATGAAGAAGGTGTGGCTGAATACAAAGCCATGTTGCTCATCACCAAAGAAGATGGGGCCTTCACGACCAGGGCATACCTTGGAGAGAGCCACAGAAACTTTAGGGAAAGTCCTGCCTTTTACCTCAAGCCTCTTGGGCCCCTTTTCCTGGTTTGGTGGTGCTAGGGTTAGGACTCAGGGCCTGGACAGAGCAGGCCAGTGTCCTATCACTGAGCTGCAACAAATGTTCCAACTTGCTTTTGCTGGATAGACTGGAGTGCCAGCAGATGTGATGGCAACTACTGGGCCTGTAGAGTAAAACAGCACGCTCTTAAATTCTGGGGCCCCTCGCACACCCCATTTTTAGAGAGCCCTCTGGTCTTTCCCTCTTGATAAATTGGCTGAAGGTGTGGCTACTGTGCACAGGACATGTGGCTGCTGCCGAGGATACAGCAGGAGAGAGAAAGAGCAACACTAAGAACAAGCAACAACATGGGGGCCAGGGATCCGAGAAGGTGGAGGCCGGGGCAGTGAAGCACGGAAGCTGGACCATAGGTGCCTGTGTGACAGATCAAACCTGAGAGCTGAGTCAGGCCCCACAGCAGGAGTTCAGGAGCAAAACATTCTTTGTTTTTAACCCTTTATTTTTACTCTCAGCTTATGAGTGTTTGCTGGCATGTACGTCTGTGTTCCACATGTGTGCAGTGGCCGTGGAGGCCAGAAGGTGTCAAATCCCCTGGGAACTGGAGCTATAGACAGTTCTGAGCCAACATGTAGTTGCTGGGATTGAACTCGAGTCCTCTCAAGAGCAACAAGTGCTCTTAACCACTGAGCCAGCCCTGCAGCCCGATGCATTCTTCAGAAGGTTCTAAGCATTCCATCATGGTGACTCGGCCGTTGATCCTATGTAAAGGTGACACTTCATGCAGCAAACTCCACAGCCTAGAACTGTGGTATCTTAGAAACACGCTCATCAAGAATGCACGAGAAAAACCCAGTCTGTTGTTCAAACAAAGACTTACTCTTCAAGCTCTAAAAACTGCAGCCATGCTCACACAGCCCTGAGGAGCGAGCCCCTAGTGGTCTATGAACAGCAATGAACCTATATTCCCACGCGTTTCCCACAGACAGTCTGACGCTGGCCTTACCTCACAGCTCAGGCTCCGGACACAGGCCTGGCGGACAATGCTGAAGAGCTGCGGGTGGTTGGGGTGCTGGTGACTGACGTACTTAATGGAGGTCTCTTTATCATGACTGATATAACCTGGGTGCCCTACAGCAAGTGACCGGCAGCCCTGCACACAAAGGAGGACAAGAAATCTCTTGGCAAGAAGCAGGCAACACATCTACATACAGAAAACACGATTCCTTTTTAAATTTTTTAAAAATAATTTTCTGGCTGGGCAGTGGTGGTGCACACCTTTAATCCCAGCACTAGGGAGGCAGAGGCAGGTGGATCTCTGTGAGTTTGAGGCCAGCCTGGTCTATAGAGTTCCAGGACAGCTGAGGCTACTTAAAAAACCTCGGTCTTGAAAAAAACGCAAAAAAACAAAAACAAAATGAAAGCTAACAAAAAGAGAGAAAGAAAGAAAGAAACAAACAAACTTGCTTTTTCCCTATTTTTAACTGCTGTTGGAGAAAGCACTCTCTCTAGTTGCTAGAACTTCATTTAAGTATATATATGTGTGTGGGTTTTTTTGTTTGTTTGTTTGTTTGTTTTTCAAGACGGGTTCTCTGTGTATCCCTGACTGTCCTGGAACTCTCTCTGAAGACTAGACTGACCGCTGCCCTGACTAGGTTAAAATGGCTCATGCTGGGGTGCTTAGAAAAATGCCCTCAGGACCTTTGGGGTCCCCCATGCTCCCACTACAACCCACCACTCACAGATAGACTAAAACCAGCTCATGGTCCCAAAGGACACTTGCCTCACACATGTCTGATTTCTTGGGCCCAGGGCTGCTGGACTCAGTGCTGGCACCCTCGGCTGGGCTGTGGGCACGGACCCGGCTGCTCATCTGGATGCCGCCCTCCTCTTCCTCAGCCTGCTCAACCTGGCCAGGACTGTCCCCACTTCCGGCACCCTGGGGCAGAGGAGCGTGTAGAACTTCAGTGCAGAAGAGCGTGCGGGGGCCATGGAGCTCGCAGAAGTGGCAGAGAGCGACGATGGCATTCATGGTGCTGGAGAATGGCGGAGGCCTGTAGGGAAGAGATGGTATCTGTAGGCCCGCTTCGTCCGTGCTATAAAGTCATGCACGGCCTCTGATATGCGGTGAGGAGCTTCTGCCTGGCAGAGGGATGCCCCCACCTGCCAGCACTGCTGGGTACCCACTGTGTAACAGTTGCTACATCAAGGGCAGGAAAGACACAGGGGTGGGGGGCAGACGGACCAATAGATGGATAGATGGGACAGGCATCAAGGAGGGTCAACCTTCATTATCTCCCACACCTGCGAGCTGGGATACTTGGGGTGGGGGTGGGGGGGAACGGGACTCATCTACAGAGATAAACATCTCCTTTCTGCATGGGGAGACTCAGAACACAGCACTGCAGCACATATAGAGGACTCTGAGAGGAGGTAGGACAGAGGAGGGGTTGGCCACACAGGTCCCAGTGGAGCCGAATGGAGCAGAGCTCCCAGGGCAAGCAGGTGAGCGGGGCCTGAGTGAGTTCAGAGATGGACAGGCCGGAGGGCAGAGGCTGATCTCATGAACAATTTGGCCACAGCCAAGCCCATTTGTTTTAGAAATGGCAAGGTGGCCAGGGTTCTGATGAAGGCAAGCAAGCTCTGAAGGGTCGTGTTGAGAAGCAGAGGGTGCCAGATGACAGTCCCACTGCCCATTGAAGAATCATGGGGCACTGGGGGGTGATGGTGATAGGTGGGGAGGCCAAACAGTCCCAGAGTTCCCAAATGAGTCGGCAAACTCAACTAGCGGGAGGAGAGAATGTGGATCGTGAAGATGGAGATGGGGGAAACAAAGGAGGGGCGGGGCGGGGTGGGGCAGGGTGGATGCTGGGGTGGGGAAGCCAGGGCCTCAGACAGGAACCATGTGGCTTCCACAGATCACAGGGCCCTCCAGAGCAGAGCTACCTAAGAGCTACCTAAGCCATCCTGCTGGACCATGGAGCGCTTTAGTAAGGGGAAAACGGGTGTCACTCAGCCTTGAGAGTTAGGCAATCCTACAGCCTGCTGTATCTCTCTAACAGAATGAAGCCAGGCACAAGCAGGACAAGCACTGGCTAACCCACTGGAGTGATCTGGGGGAGCTGAACCTGACCCCATCGAGGTGATCAGAGTTTGATGGAGACAGCTGGGAAGACACCGGAGCTGAGGTGGAGGGTGAGGGACGTGGGAGTTCCCAACACCACTGAGCTTCCACACGCATAGAGAGGTAAATGCTACATCATATGAGTTTTATCACAATGTTTTAAAAAGGCATAGGCAGGCATGGTGGCACATCCGTGATCCCAGCACACCACAGAGGAAGTTGCCAGTGTAGTCTACAAAGCCAGTTCTGGGCTAGCCAGAGTAAGACCCTATCTAAAACAAAAACCAAACAAAACCACCCAAAACTGACCACCTGAAGAGTCACGGGAAGGTCACTCACTGGCATGTGATTTCTAGAGGAGAAAGGAAAGAGTGGGGACTAGTGCTCCAGTGGGGAAGGGTCAGGGATCAACATGAAAGGGCTGTGGTGTCTGGGAAGTCCACCTGACAAACTTGGAGCCTCTGTAGAGAGGTGGAGGCCAGGAGGTAATTCACTCCTTCTGTCGGGGGGTAGAGGGGGGCAGCTGTGGCAGGGTTGGGTAGCTGAGGGTCATTTGTTCCCTGCTTTACAGCTAACCAGAAAAGGTGTTAAAGATCAGAATATCCTAGGGGTCCTGACAGCAGAAGAGACCACAGCAACAAAGGCAGAGGCAGGGACAGCCATAGCCAGCATACCTCACCCACGGACACTGGTAGACCATACTGGCTGGCTGGAGAAATGTCTGGAATGGAGGGTTAGAGTGACCCTGTATTCGTCACACCCGTCATATCCGCAGTCACATGTGACAACTCAAGATTTAAAGAAAACAAAACAAACAACAACCACAAAAACACCTGCTCCTGAGGAGAATCCTACTCAAGGCAATGTGCAACTATTTAAGTCTCTGAATAGAGGCAAGAGGACACTTTCTTCCTAGGTCCTTGTCCCCGGGAGAGCTAGGTATGAATACAACCAAGATGTGGCCCATCAGACAAGGGCAAAGTTGGAGCTCACCATGCACCACACAAGTAGCTAGTGACAGATGGCTGTGCCCTGGTCGCCTCTAGCTGCCTCCTTTGAATGGCACTCCCGTCGGCAGCTGTCTCTCTAGCGTTTCTGCAGTCAACTCCCTGAGCTGATAGGCCACCAAGCACCAGTCCTCCTCGGCTGGAATAGGACTGCCAGCAGGAGCCATAAACAACTGATAAGGCAGGAGACTGAGAACTTGGGGATACACTTACCCGTGGGGATTCTGACTGCAGCATGAGACAGAAGACGATGCTGCAGACCTTTGTCCAGCTCATTCTTTCTGAGTACTCGGCCTCATGTGCCTGTCCTTACAAACTAGCTCACGCAGACTGACAACCTTCGTCCTACCGGCTCTTGCTCTGTCACTTGTCCTAGGCTTTAGGACCTACATTGTGTGTGTTTTCCCTTCACAAACGCTAAGCCCCTCTTGGTGGAGATTTTGTCTAGTTAAATACAACCCCTTCTGTGTCCATTGAAGCTCCCAACACACAGAAAGCACTAAATGACTTTCCCACAGAGATGACCATTGTAATCAGAGAAACTGCAGGTATTCAAGGAGGCTCAGATATGACCACAATCAAAACAGAGCCTACAAACTGAAGGGCCCAGAGGAGGTTCAAAGGGCTCACTACAGCAAAGTCAAGGGTCACTATGGTTTAAGGATCCATCGCAGCTGGTCATGGTGACACACATCTGGAATGAAGAAGATGCCAGCAGGAGAATCAGCCAGCTTTAGCTACATGGAATGTTCCAGGCCAGCCGGGGCTACCTCAGAAACATGAAGACACTGTCTCAAACAGAAAAAGAGTCCACTGTGGAGGAAGAGATGAAGCAACCAACAACAGGATAAAGAGGCTGGGGAAATAAGGAAGTCAGGACCCAAGACTGAAGCATGCATCCTGGGAAAGGGGCCACGTTCACTTTGGAGGGACACAAGGAGGAGAAATAAGCACCCTTCCAGCAAAGCACACACGTGAAAGCAGCCCTTGGCTGGATTTCACCGATGTGTGGAGCTCAGTACCAACCTTCCGCTTAACAGATCACAACTGCACCATCCTGCCTACATCAGAACATGTACAAGGCTGGCCGGATGAGTCAGGTATTCGAACTGCACTCGAATTCAAAGACTTGAGGTTGTCTAGAGAAAAAAGAAAGAAAGAAAAAAATCAGACCCAATTCTGAGAGCTTAAGTTTTTGTAGCATGGACAAACATCTGAGGCAACTCAAATCAGGGCAATCAGGAGGAGCTGAAGATTTGTCTGCTGTCGTGCTTTGGATCTCAAAAAAAAAAAAAAAATGTTAGCCAGGTGTGGCAGCACATACCTCCTTTGATCCCAGCACTTGGGAGGCAGAGGCAGGGAATCTCTGTGAGTTCGGGGCCAGCCTGGTCTACAGAGTGAGTTCCAGGACAGCCAGGGCTATACAGAGAAACCCTGTCTCAAAACATAAGGATGAACAAAAAACTGTTGGTTAGTATGTGTGTGGTGAAGAGGTAGGAGGAAGAGAGACAGAAATGCACACATATGCATGCTAGGGCATGCGTGTGAAAGTCAGAGGTCAGCCTGCAGGTTACACTTGCCTTTCACCTTGCTCCAGGTCTTCTTTCTGCCACACGGTGTACTCAGACTAACCGGCACAAGAGCCACCTATAGCTGACAGCCTGAGTCCCAGGTCTAAATAGTGGTTTCCACTATTTAGACCAGGTTAGCCTTGAATTCACAGAGATCTGCCTGTCTCTGCCTCCCCTCACTATGGGAGTGCTGGGTCTTTACCCGGGTTCCAGGGCTGGGACTCGGGCTGTCAGGTTTGTGTAGCAAGCACTTTTGCTAGCTGGGCCATCCCATTGGCCATGCTTTGGATTGTATGTATCGTTCCCCCTCCCCCCGCCAAGGGAAATCATGTATGTATTCAAGGCTTGATTCCCAGCTGATGGTGCTGTTAGGGGTAATGGTGCCTTTTAAAGATGAATGGAAAGAAGTCAGGTTGCTGTGTTGTGCCCTTGAAGGGATCACTGGTACCCCTCACCCTATCACGCCACCACAGGCTCTCGAAAGAAAACCACGAAGCAAAATCAGTTCCTCTTCCTTTTAAGTGGATCACCTCAGGTTGCTGTTTTGTTGTGGTGGTTTGGTTTTTCACGACAGAAAGGTAACACACTCGGGTCCTGACTGGTGTGGGGTCTCCATCCCCCATCCAACAGCGGCCGAGTTGAGAGCATAGCTAAAGCTTCAGGACCTCACTACACAGCCTTGGCTGGCCTGGAACTCACTATTTAGACCAGTTTAGCCTTGAATTCACAGAGATCTGCCTGCCTCTGCTTCGTGGGTATTGAGGTTAAAGGCGTGCACCATCATGCCCAGCTTCAAAAATAAATTTAAAAAAATGTTTTTGAACACTTCATTTATTATTTTTTGCCTGCATGAATGCCTGCGTACCAGGTACATGCATTTGCCACGGAGGCTATAAGAAGGCATCAGATCTCCTGAGACTGGAGACAGGTGGTGGTTGTGAGCATCCGTATGGGTGCTGGGAATCGAAACAGGGTCCTCTGGAAGAGCAGCCAGTGCTTGTAACCACTGAGTCATCTCTCCTGGCCCCAAACATTTTTTAAAATGCGAAATTTCCATCTTTCCAACAGCTGGCTATACGGAGACTGTTTTGGTAGCGCACACACCACTCCAGCGTAACCCCTCAGACCACACCCCTTGAGTCTCTCTTCCAGTTTTTCAACTGTCATAAAGCATCAGGATCACACAGGATGTGCCTAATATTAGTTCTGATAAAAAGCATTTGTCCAACAAGAGTTTTGAATATTCACAGTACTCATCCCTCAGCCCAGGCAGTCACTGGAAGACAGTAATAGAACCCTAGATGACACACAGTTCCAGAGCCACAGAGAAACCTACTACCTGAGTTTCTAACCCTTAACAGCCGGTGACACCAACAGTCACTTACCCTCTGGAAATCCTCCTGGGCACTGAGGAACAGGCCTCTCACACTGTACTGTATACGGACAGAAGAGCCCAGTTCTTCAGTTATCTCCAATGTCTACCACACTCTTACTGAGCTGCCTTCTGTGAATATGCCTAACCCCCGTTCCTAGTAACGTCTCCAAGCCGAAGACAGCCTCCTCACCATCATACTTGCATGCTTTGTGCGCCAGGCTGAGCATGTACACGGCTTGCTCACACTGTCTAAACCACAGGCCTGGCAAACGAGACCCACACCATCCTTCCTGGGTGTGCCCTGGTTTTACCTCATCTCTACTTCTCATCTTCTCACAGCACCGGGCGACTCAGAGTGCCTTCCTTGCAGACAGGCAAACAGGGGTTACAAGGTTCTCCACCGAGGTCAGCAGGAGCTGTAACTGTCTCCCACCGGAAACTCATTGCTCCCCGCTGCCACACTCACTAGTACAGACTGGCTAAGAAATTCAGCAGGGAACCTTATCCAACTTTGAACCACTCCCCACTGTACTACTGCCAACTTCAGCAGGACTTCCTTTAGAGATCGCCCAGTCACTTGACACTAGCAGGAGCAAACAGTGTCACGTGCCATGACCTCTCTACTGCTTAATGACAATTATGATAACCCTGCACTGCCAGTAGTACTCTGGCTGTAGCCTTTCTCTCTGCCGGGCACCATGGGTGGTGCCAGGCTTCCCCACCCCCACCCCCGAAAAACGGAAAGTCACCCTATACTAGCAGTAAGTCCTCCTAGCCCCCTACTGTCCTGGGCTACTTGTGACCAGAAATACTATGATCCACTAGCTAATCCCAGGATTAAACATTTCTTCCAGCGCATGAGGACGAGTTATCTTGGTAGAATGGAGAGAAATGAGGTGTCCTGCCTGCTCTATCCTCTGATGGCCATCCTGCTAGAAAACGGAGGTGGACTGGCAGGACGCGGTCCCCAGCAGTGTTCAAGCTAAAGCAATTACCCCGACGGGGGTTGGGGGGGTTGGAACCTGTCACCTCCCTCTCCCTGGTGTTTACCATCCCCGCTTTCCATTCAGCCCTATGGCCCAACACCAACCCAGCTGGGGCGCTCGCCGCCGTCTCCCGGATGCTGAGCCGGAACCCGCTCGCCACTGTCCCAAGGCTGTCGCCACCGCTCAGCCCCTCGCCAAGTGCTAGTCCGTTCCGCAGGCCCTTGCACCGAACCTAGCGCGTGACCCAGCCGGACCCAACCATCCGCAGGCCAGCGGAGGGTAGTCAACACCACCGATTAGCCCGAGCAAGCGGCGCCGCGTCCCCAACAGGCGACTAGGATGTGCCGAGCCTCGCTGTGCCACGTTAGCGCCTCCAGGCCAAGAATCCGAGCCCCTGGGCCACACGCGCCCCTCCGCACCGCTTGTCGTCCCGCGGAGAAGCGTAGATGGTTCCGGCCGCCGAGAGAAGCCATTCTGCAGGGGTGACATCAAAACTAACATTTCAAAAGAGTCAGAGAGAATTAGTCAGCCCATGCCCTCGTCCCTACAGAAGAGGAAAGATACATGGAAAATTTCCTCTGGGCTCTCTGAGTTCTTGTGGCTCCACTCCCTGCCTGTTAAGTTGCCGATCAGAGACACCGTCTCCCCTTCGTGAGAAGTGGAAGGTGCGGATAGGTCCTGGGAAGGAGGAGCGGGTACTGAGCGAAGTAGGACCGCGCTTGTGCGCGGCTCAGTCTTGCCCTGAGCCAGATCTACGTTTGCAAACCAGCTTTCAAAACAGTTCGTGGGTTGTGGGTTTGTTTTCTCCAGGCCCTGGGTTCGATTCCCAGCTTAGGGGTGAGGGATGAAATACTGTCTAACTACCTAAAAATGAATTTTAAAGCTATTAGTGCATACCATGGACCCTTGAAGCCATGGGACTAGGGCTCTGGGTTTGACCCTGTAACTAATGCAGCCAGCTGTACGCAGCAGCCAGCCTCTGCGGTGCACACTATGCTGGCAGTCCAGGAGGATGCCCAGAATGTGGTTATCAGGAAGTGGAGGAGCTTCAGATGAATAGAAGTAGTTGTCTGTTTGTTTCTCAAATCACAGGGATCTGAATTCTTTCTCTATATTTCAGCTTTCATGTTTTGTTGGAGAGGGACCGGGAGAAAAAAAAAAGTGAAAACAAATTTGCAAACTTGTGTTCTGTACCTTTGTTTACTGCCTGGTAAGGCTTGAGGAGTGTGGATGTTAGATATTGTCTTTTGTGTGTTTATTTTTACCAATCCGATTATTCCTGACACTGTGAGTCAGCAATGGAGACCATCTCCTGTCTTCAACATGATTCTTCCCCACCCTCCTCCAAGAATAGAGTAAACACACAGCAGAATAAAAAAGCAGATATGTGTCAACTAGGCGTTAACAAACAGGATAAAGTAGCTCTAAACAGACTGCCACTCAGGATATAAGTCAAACTGGTTGGAACTCCCCATAGCAGTGGGATGTTATGAAGAACCAGGTCAACGCTGACTGTGGCTCTGAGAACCATTATCCTGGAAAGCAATCAGAGGATTTGGGCAGCTAACCCAAAGCAGGCATTCCAGAGTGAGGTCACTGGGGGGACAGTAGGAATGTGCATCTCCCTATTGGCTCCCCCAGCTCTCCAGGGCTGAGGCAGCTATCAGGATTCTTTTCTGCAGTCATTGAGAAGTCTTGGAGGCTGGAGTGGGAATAAGCCTCTTTGCCTGCACCCACTGATGCAGTCCCAGAAGCTAGCTGAAGCAAGCTCCCCGTAGAAGCCTCAGCCACAGGAGACTTCCTAACTCAAAAGGAGCTTGTCTTCAGAGACAGGTTGGATGATTAGAATGTCAGCACCAGTGGACAGACTGGAATGCTGCGGATCCAAAAGCTAGTTTTGCCTTATCTTGAGCTAGTTCTAGCTAGCCCTCTAGACTAGCCATTCCTTGCCTACCTCCATGTCAGAACAAATAGATAAAAACCTTGTGGAGTGTATTAACTCACCAACTCAAAAGTTCACCTAGCATCTTGGGCCTACAGGAAAGCTCCCCCACCTAGTTATACCTGCCTGAGGTACCCGCCAATGTATTTTAAACTTGCTGTGACTTATGACTTTCTTTCTTCTGTAAAACTATAACATTTGAGCTAGGCAAAGGTGGCACATGCCTTTACCACCACTTGGGGGGGGGCAGAAGCAGGCAGATCTCTGAGTTCAAGGGCAGCCTGGTCTACAGAGCAAGTTCCAGGACAGCCAGGGTTACACAGAGAAACCATATCTCAAAACCAAAACAAAACAACAAGGAGAAATAAAAAACAAAAACTATAAAATACACACTGGAACATTTAATTTGGGGTAATCTAAATTTGTGTTCCCAGGCCATTTAAAATGGCTCCAGAATAAACTATGTCTTACTCCCTTTATGATGAGACCTGTGGTTTTTTTGTATCTACAGTCCTCAAGGCAATCTTGCTTCTTTGATGGGTGAGCCAGCAGAGAGCTGGACCTTGAAGTCTTCAGGATTCTTCCTCTGAAGAGAATAGAGGTATCTGGGGCCAGGTTCCTAGAAACAGGCACACATGCCTTCCATCTCTTCTCTGTGGAATTCTGCAGTAACGCTGCTGGTCCAGATCCAGATTATCCTAATTTATAGGGCCTCCAGGATGCATGGTAGGCCTAATTAGTTAAATGTGGATATGCAAATAAGGTGGGAAGGGGACAAATCAGAAAAGAGTTATCAAACCCAGTAGGGTAGGGTAGAACCCCAGCCCTCCAAAAGTTGCCTGAAGTTCACAATCAAGTCCACAGGTCTCCGTCTCTGCAGAGGTGGGAAACTCCATCATCTTTGTGCAGTTGTTGCTACTGCACTAACAGAGCTGTCCAGCAGCCTGCTCTGCTGGGGATTGGTTCCAATGCTTTGAATTAATTGGCCCCCAAAATTGGTAATCTGTGTGTTTGATCCATCAATAAAGAGCCAACGGCCAATCGCTAGGCAGGTAGACTGAGGCAGTATCTTTAGATTTATGTGGGCTAGAGACTGGAAGTAAGGAAGAGACAGGCTCTCCATGACTTGGAGAAGAAAGATGGGAAGTAAGAGCTACAGGAGAGAAAGCCAACCAGCTATGTAAGAATTCTTAATAGGGAAGCCACTTAATCAATTGGGTCTGGGGTAGCAGGGGAAGGTTTAGGAGTGCCCAGCCTTTGAGCTAGCCATGCCATATCAAAAATTAACTGACTCATGAGTGCATGCATGCATCTTCCATTCCAAAATCCAGATAGCCCCTGGGAGGGTGCATGTTGCAACCCACTGGGAGCCAGAGTGGTTAGCCAACTACTGCTCTCTTCTGCTCCTTTGTCAGTTACCATAAAGTGTTGAAAAGCTTTCTAACTGGGGAGAGGCACCTACCCCTAATGATTGGACTCAGTTTACTTGTTTAAGGGGTTGTTACAGATAATTTCTGGGCAAATTCAAGTGATTTAGAATTCTAGTTTTACAGTTGTTTTTGAAACAGGGTCTCACTGTGTAGACCAGGCTGGCTTCAAACCCATAGAAATCCTCTTGCTTCTGTCTACTGGGTACTGAGATTAAAGGCATGAAGCATCACTCTTGGCCTTAATGCTGCTTTGCCATCAGTATGGCTGGGCATGCAGAGGCAGGAGGAACAGGGGTTGAAATCTGAGACTATCCTGGGTGACATGAGACACTGTTTTAGTCTATGGCCATACCATCCTGAACAAGCCTTGAACTCATCTGATCTCAGAAGCTAAGCAGTCATGCCTGGTCAGTACTTGGATGGGAAACACTGTCTCACAAAGAAAACAAAACAAAAACCAACCAGGAGCTAGATATGTGGCTTAGCTGGTAGAGTGCTCGGTTAGGACACAAAAAGCCTTAGGTTGGATCCCTAGCAACACACCACTCCTAGGGTGGCAACGCATGTCCATAGTCCCAGCAATTAGAGGCTGAGGAAGGCAGGGGGTCAGGAGTTCAGGCAGACCTGGAATACATAAGAAACCAGGAACAAAGGCAGATAACTGGAACAACCTTGGCTGAGTGTCTGTCGCCACCTTGATGCTACTGCTTCCCACAGTCTTAATAGACAACATCTCTCCAACCTGGCAGTGGTGGGCAGTCAGCACTCCTGAGGCAGAGACAGACATCTCTTTATGAGTTCAAGAACATCCTGGTCTACAAAGTGGGTTCCAGGACAGCCAGGGATACACAGAGAAAAAAGGAAAGAAGGAAAGAAGGAATGAAGGAATGAAGGAATGAAGGAATGAAGGAAGGAAGGAAGGAAGGAAGGAAGGAAGGAAGGAAAAAAATATCTAACTTTTGTTGAAGAGAATTCATAATGTAGCTAGATGTCTCTGTACTAATGTGTGAAGACATATACAACTTTCTATACACTAAACTTAATGTCCCTGGCTGGTTTTATTTTGAATGTTTTAATTATTTCAGTGATCTTGTTTTCCCCATTTTCCTCTTAGTAGCATGTGTTCTTTGTGCTCCAGGAATAAATCCACACCAGGCAAGAGCTCTCTGCAGCTATACTCTCCAGTCCTGTGATCTGTTGAGACTAATGCTTGTTACTGAGGATTTAACACCATTTAAAAAAAAAAATCCTGTTTAATTCTGGGGATTGCTGTTTTGGATTTGTTTGTGGAAGCTACTGCCTTATTCACATTATCCTTATTTCCATGACAGAGGAGGACGATTACTGGCTATTTCAGTAAACTCCCTTCCAGCTGGGCCACTGCTGACCTTCTCAGCACCATGGGCTCAGTCACCAATGTGCATGAGTGTTTGCCTGCACATATGTATGTGTATGTACCATGTGCATGCCTGGAGCCCACAGAAGCCAGCAGCGGGTCTTGGATCCTATGGAACTGGAGTTGGATGGTTGTGAGCTGCCGTATCTGTGCTGGGAATCAAACCCAGGTCTTCTGCAAGAATAGCAAGTGTTCCTAACCCCTGAGCCAACTGTTCCAGTTCCCACACCCCAATCATTTCTTAGACAATACTTAATGCCAATATCTTTCAAACTGAACCAAGCATACTCACTTATGGGTTTTAACCATTTTTATTTGTTTGTTTGTTTGTCAGTGCTAGAGATCAGGGGAGAATACGTACTAGGCAAGTGCTTGACCAATGAGTTACACCTCAACCCACAGGCTCACATTAAATTACTCAAGTTGGCCTTGTGCTTGTGATTCTTCTGCCTCACCCCGCTCAGCACCCTGTATACCAGGTTACAGTCTGTATAACAGGTCCCATAGTTCCTGTAACTTAATCAAACTCTGGCTCCTTAATTGCTTCATTTGGCACAAATCCAAACAGAAGCACAAATGTAACGCAGATACTGGATTCCAGGGGAAATTAATGAGTGGTTCTATCTAAACTTTTAACATTGGAGATTACTGTGCAGAGACAAACTTGCAAAGCT